GTAGAGTATACTATACTCCGTTTCACCTTATGTTGTACCGCAGAGAAGGCTAGAAGCGCAAGCTCATAGCGTTGGGAGCTGCTCTTAACGCACGAGAGCTTGTGCCGCCGAGATGTGGCCTAGAGCAAGGAGCTCGCCCTTGTACCTATTACTGCGGTACATCATAAGGTGAAACAGAGCATAGATTGGATCCCTACCCAGGGATCCTGGGTTCAATCCCCACCCCTGTCCGTTTGGATCTGGATGAGCATCGTTCCCAGGGGTTTCCGGGAAAAGATGGCACGCTTGTGCCGTAGAATCAATAATCCCCAGACAGACATGGAGCAGTGCGGCACAAAACACAAAACCAAATATGCTGAGTGTGCCGTCGGAGTGGTTTATGAAATTCCGCTGACTTGCGGCTCCGTGTACATCGGCCAGACTCGCAGATGTGTCAATGATCGTGCACGGGAACATGCGTCAGCTATGAGAGCAAGCCCGTCTGGTAATCTAGCTGTTCATTGTAGTCGCTGCCCGTGCTCACCAGTTCTGCATGATGTGAAGGTTCTGGCGAAATACAAAGATAAAATATGCCGAGAAGTGCACGAGGCGTTTGAGATTAGAGCAAAGGGAGATGAATGCGTTAGCGAGCCTTCCCTTGCCCTCTCAGGGAAAGAGTTTGATTTTATCAAGAGGTCTTCTGGATTGATGGGATGAATAGGCGTTTTTAACGGCCTATATATTATGTGTTTTTTTTCCTAAATAAACTTTAGTTGCGAGTGCGCCTCGTCCTGTTTACTCTCGTCTTTGTCCTGTCGTTTTTTGGCGCTGTAAATACTGATCATGAACCAACTAGCCCAAATTTCTACTTTGCTGCGTTTCCGCAGGATTTGAAATTAGGGGGGGGGGGGGGGGGGGGGGGGGGGGCATAGACCGCGGGCGCGTAGATGCGCTCCGATAAGAAACCGAAATCTAGAAACGCGTCCAAATGAGGCGTTTTTGCAGAACGCCGTAAAATCCTGCCCCGGCGTTACATCCTTCTAAAGAGAGTTAATTTGGTGGTTTTCGATGATGCTCTACAAGTTTCTAATTGGAACCGCATGTCTATTTTTACTAATTAAAAAGTTAATTCACGAATTCTAATTAATTAGCCGACTTATCTCAAAGATTAGCCACCCACATAATGTCCGCCTGGCCGTATAACGCACCTGCGCAAGTCGCATAAGTGTAGCTTTCACGGCTTTTTTAAAACAAATCTGAAAGAATAAAAAAAAAAAAAATGAAAGCCGTTTACAAATCCCTGTAACGCCGAATTGGAGCGCAGCTCTTGAGGAGGAGTAGGGAAGGGTACTGAGGGGGGTCACGTCACCTGCGGGTAGTCACGTGACCCCGCCGGGGTCACGTGATCTCGGGGGGGGGGGGGGGGGGGGGGGGGTCACGTGACCGCGGGAGGGGGGTCACGTAACCGCGGGGGGGGGGGGGGGGGGGGTCACGTGACCTAAGCACGTGCTTCCTTGAGTAACAATATGACAATGGTAAAACACACATGTTCAGAGGTGGAAGCAAGCTTCAGCCTTTTGGAACAAATCTGGGAGCAGCCAAAATGTTCCCTTGGAGCACCTTTGGAGCAGTAAAAGTTCAACTTTGGAGCAGCTCAGGAGCAACAAAAATCGAGTTTCATAGCAGTATAAGCAAATCTTGGAGCTGCTTGGTGCCATAAGCACAGATGTGTTATTAAAAATACAAAAATAAATATAAATAAAAAAGCATCTCCATGAGACGTTCCAGAACCATTTCCAAACATGACCTTTCCTTAAATATATTCCAGCCCTTAGCAAAAAAGATATTTGAATGGCTGCCATTGAGAACTGTTCTGGTGGTAGTGGGTTGGTTCTTCTCATAGATTTACAATAGTAGGCATAAACAACTAAAGAAAAACAACTTAAGCCTCATGAAAACAAGACATTTTCACTGTTTAACAACCCAAGTCGCATGTTCCATAAATTAAAAACAAAACCATTTCAAGCTGCAATAGTATGGTATAAAATAATGTCCAGTACTGAATACAGTTCATTAGGAAATACACGTGTTTCAGGTCCCTGTTTAGCAAAGAAAAGTATTCCAATACTCTGAACAGAGTGCAAATCAAAAGTATTCCAATGCTCAACAGTGTACAAATCTACTCTATCTGATAAAAGTACAAATTTCATGATACCATTCCTGTTTATACAACGCACTTAATTAACCCTTACTAAAAGAAGCATCACTGACTAAATAAAAACAAAAAAAGCTTGATTAGGAGTTTAATGAAAAAAATTGACTGACAAAACTACCAAGTAAGACCATAAAACGGAAGGTTTTTCTTAAGTCAGGAACGCAAGTTTGTCTGCTGCTTGCACAGGGGTTGCGTGACGTCAAAACGCCAAGCTCTTATTGGCTGATTAAAAAAAAAAAAAAAAATGGGGGGTATACCTCAAGGCATTTAGCATTGAGGTCTACCCACTATCATTTCAATCAAAACCAATCAGAGCTCAGCGTGGTTCTGAAGTCACCGCATCTCCTGTGCAAAAGGCAGATGAATTGCTCTCCGCATTGCTTGGATGCGTTCTAGCACAACGGTTTAGAATTCGCTTCGCTCAGCAGCACATTCCCACTGTTCTCCTCGTCCTCCCGCCGGCTCGCTGTTTGGGTGTCAACGGGTGTATTCGCCACGTACGTTATTTACAAGAAACTCTACAGATGATCGAGGCAACCACTTATCGCTTTTATATGTTACGTTTACGACACGAATGAGGAATGCGGAAGCAGTCTCAGCAAAAGCACCTCCTCCTCCTCCACGTCGAAGGAGGAGGAGGAGAGGGGGGCACTACAAGCTACGTGAAACGGAAACTCTTCAACTTTAAAGTTTAACTTTTCCCTCACCACAGTCTCGGGTTTTAAACATCATGATTAACTATCACCAGCTCGCTTGTGCACCCACTGTCCTTTCGTTACTGATACTTAGGGTTGTCAGTTCGCCTGTGCACCCACTGTCCTTTCGTTACTGATACTTAGGGTTGTCAGTTTTCGGGTAAAACCCGATCTTATCCGATTTTTACACCCCGAACATGTTTCAGGAGAATCGGGTTAAACCCGATTTCTTCCCGAATTCCAAAACCACATCACAAACCTTTTTATTTTTACGCACGGAGTTTCCTGTGCAGACACGCTAGCTAACCAACCGCCCAAACACCATGACATTCTACGGGGCCTCGGAGAGACATTTCCGTCCCGCCACGCAGCTTCGGCCCTGCTGCACGCAGCTTGTGAAATGCAAGATCAATCCCCCTTCAACCGCTCAGGTGTCGAAGCCCAGCAGGGTCTCTCGGGTAGCATGGCCATCTCGCTGGCGTCCAACTTTTCTCACGGACAACGTCCGAGCCAGGCAGTCGCGTAAACAGATCGGGACAATTGAACAGGTTTATTCTATAGCGAAATATCTGATTGAAGACGACCGTCCCTCCAACGGTCGGGGTTTTTGTTGACACACGAGGGAGGAGGATTCCGTGGGCGGTGCTTCCCTTGAAGCGGCCGACGGCAATCGGAGTTGGAAAGCCCCGATGTCCTCCCGATTATCAGCTTGAAACAGACCCCCAATTTTAACGCGTTAGCGTTAAAGAGCTCGTATTTTGCTCCAATACAAAAAAAAAGTATTACTAAGTACATTTGTAAATTCAACCCGAAAAAACCCGAATTTCGGAATGTTTCCACAAAGAACCCGATTTCTCCCCGATTATCAGCTTGAAAAGTAGCACCTGATTTGCAACTAAGAAAAAAGGAAAAAAAAAAAATGATGCATCACTACACCACAGGATGAATCAGTGTTTATTAATGTGAAAGAACGTGCGAAAAAACAAATACGAAAAGGAAAGGAGAGAGACTGGTAAATGCACCAAACCCCACCAAATCAGATCGGAAAATCGCAAAGCATTCACTTGTCGTGGCCGCGGTCCACGAGGTCCATCAACATTCCGTCGACGTCCGGGCTGTCGTCCTCCTGCGAAAAAGCCCAGACACAACTGAAGCCTCCGCAACAACCCCTCGACCAGAGCCACTAGGTAGGCTGCACTTTTGGTGCTTAAAACCCAAGTTACCCAAGTTTTATCGATTAACACGCTGGCACACTGGTACCGTCCATCGGGCAGCCCTGGTACACTTCTGACCGGCGTATGTATTTTTAGAACTCGTTAGCAATCATTCTTTCACTGTAGGATTGAAATACATTATAAATGACTATTGTCCACAAACAGTGCACAAAGCACTGTTTTGCAAGCAAGAACAAGCTGCAAGAACCACCAGCCTAGTTATACACAGGTTGGAAGTGTTCCGGGTCTACCCGACAGCGACAGACGGCGGCACTGCGCCAGCGTGTTAGGCGGTGACACAGTTCACAGTCAAACACAAATGTGCGACCAAATACCCGGAACCCTACCGTAGACGGCCTCGCAACCAAATTGCATAGCACAATTACTTCCGGTTAATGCAAAAACTTTGGTTGTCCCGCTATGTTTTCAATGCATTTATAAGCTGCATAATTCAAACAGCATTTTTGCTTAAAGGGGCGATGCAACAATTTTTGTACTTTGCGCAAATACCGCTTAGAAGGGATCCCCAACGTTAATGACCTATGAAACACGGACTTGTTTTTCGCCCCACGCAATAGAAGTCCCCAAAAAAAATTGAAGAAAAACGAGCAGCGTTCATTCCCTCAACTCGCAGCCAGATCCGGAGCCAATTATATGCCGTCAATGTTGATCATAGCCACGCGCTGGGGTTGGCAAAGCACAGGGCACGCGCTGAGTTCTAGATATTGTTATGGCTCGGCTATTGTCGTCGTTGCAGCGATTGGCTGCAACGACGAACCGCATTCAAATCCCCACGTTACGTCATCATATTTTGCAAAGGAGAGATTGAATGAAAATGATCGCTTTTGTCCTTGAAATTACACCGCAACAAAGGAGTTTCTTGGCCAGTGGCATTGTGTGCGAGTAGCCTTGAGCCCCACTAGTGCCAGTAAGCACATGTAAAGTGAAAAACATTCCAATTGAGTATCATTGCACCGCTCCTTTAAATCATACCATTTGTTCTTTACGGCGGGTTACTCCCTTTGAGTGCGCTGCTCACCGAGCACCTGTGTACTGTGGGAAAGCAATACCCACGAAGCTCGCTGTCACTGCTCTTCCGCAGTACGAGGGTGCTCGGCAAGAAGCACACTCGATGGGACTAATCCAACCGCGATTATGCAAGCAGAACTGTGCTGACAATGTGCTTTCATTATTTATGCTTGTGTATTTTTATGTTTCGGAGGGGTTAAAGTCGAGACTAAAGAAAAAATATTTCCGTATAGCAAGCAGATTTATAAATTCCATCGATCAGGATTAATTTTATGTAAAATCTGTCATTTACATACTGCCCCAATTGGACTTGGACTTCCTGAGGCCACAGTTCATAGATATAGTTATATTAAAACTAACTGAGCTTAGAAGTGGACAAGTGCAAGGTTGGGAACAACCTTCACAAGTTCAGCTGAATTTTCCTTTAAGCATGTACTACATAACAGTAGTAAAAGGCTCAGAGAAACTATTCAATATTAGATTAAAAAATAATTGGCCAAAACCACTATTCGCTTTACACTTCACCAATGTTTGATGTGTGTGTCTGCTTATAAATAGGCCTGTGTAAGTGTAAAAAATCTGCTTGGTATGTGTAGCTATTCCTAGAGCAAATCGCTACTTTGCCTCACATCATATTTGGATGAATTTCTTATCATTCAAACTTCTGATATTTCAAACTAGAGTCTGTGGCTTCCTCGAGTTTAAATTAATGAGAGTAGACTACAATGATTAGAGCCCTGCGGACTAACCTTGCTCTCCACGGCGCAAACCTCGTGCGGAGCCGACGCCTCCTTGGCGACGATGGCCTCCTTGGCGATGATGGCCTCGGCGGCAGCCTCGTCCAGGACCTCCGCTTCCCGCAGCGCCTCTTCCGCAGCCTCCTCGTGGTTCTCCAACACGACACACACACTCTCACCCTCCACATAGTCCGCCTCGGCCTCGCGGCTCTCGACCTGCTCCAACGTCGACGTCGACGCAATGTGGAGCGTCGTGACGTCGGAGTCACCGCAGACCGCTTCCGCTCGGTCCTCCTTCGCGACGTCTCCGTCGACAATCGTGTCGACCGCCGCCGCTTCTTCCCCCACGACTCCGGATGCGGGGTCGACTTCAGATGCGACTTGCTCCGCGTCCGAGCTGGCGCGTTCCTCCATTGCGTCGTCGCTCTTTCCGTGGTTCTGCGCTTCGTCGCTCTCCAACTCTATCAGCTCCGCATGGGGCTCCGGCTCTTCTTCTGCCTCCATGTAGTCGCCTTCTTCGTCGTCTTCGTCAAAGTCCTCCTCGTCAGAGCACTCTTCGTCTTCCGTGCTGTCTTCCGCGTTGACATACTTCGGGGCGCGGCCGGCGACGTTGGCCGGCGTGGCCGCGGCGTTGAGCGGGTGGTGGGCGTTGTTTCCCTGGCCGTTGACCCTGGGGCCCTGCAGCGTTCTCGAGTCTCGGCCGTGGCCCCGCAGCTCGAGGTAGTCTTCGTCAGCATCCGAGAGCAGTTCCTCTTCGTCGCTGAGAGCTTGGTACACGTTGCTGCAGAGATTTGGACATTTTTAATGCTACCCGCTGAAGATACGCTAGCCTCGTGCGTGTTCGTCAGACCATGGAAAGCAAACTTGCTAAAGGTGGGCCGGATGGCACTGAGTGCACAAACTAAATCCTGAAAAGTGAGGAGTTTCAAAGGAGAACTCTAGCCACCGACAGCTCAAGAAATACGAGACACTGCCAGCCCCAAGCGTCTTATCATCGCTACACGGTCAGTGAGATCGTGACACCAGCAAGAATGCTAAAGAACGAATTGCGGAGCAAAAAGCACAAAGATAACCCCGCATTTCTCAAGTTGTCGGCGATGGCTAAGCACGGCGGAACGACTGAACGCAGGGTAAACTTTCTGGCAACAGAACGGGCCTTGACGACAAACGGCACGGCCACTCTCGAAGCAAACGGGTAATACTTTGGTCGCCGACAGAATTAGAACGACAGGCAGTCCTTCAGTTGTCTTGCCTCGAGCGTGAGCCCTGCCATTTTCATCCAGTGGGCGACCGTAGACCCTTTTTATGTTCCCAAGCCCTCTCGTTTCTCAGGGGACTTCCGGTCGCTCCGTTTTGGCAGGCCTTCCGAGCCCGTTGACGTTTCTATTCCTGGGACTGTGAAGTTTAACAGAAATCATTATGTTGGTGATTTAGCGAGGTCCTTAGGCTGTGCTATTCAACATATAAAAGAGGATTGGTCGTCTGATGTGTGTATCACGAATTCTCCAACAAATCTCTTGCCAACCAGTCCTTTAGCCAACTACCTGAAAAAACTGTCCATAAAATATTGCACGAACGCTGCAAGCGGCGCTATGGTGGGGATTGTTTGATTTCTCATTTGACCGGAAGTTTGCACCTCCTTTCGGTGCTTTCATAAAAAGGGTTTATACAAGAGAGGTGGGGCACGCACCCGGGGTCCCTCTTAGCCGCCCTGTAGGGGGTCAAGACCCTCCTCTTCTGGGGGAGCACCATCATCGGCGTGGGCACTGGCGTGGGCACTGGTGTGGCCGGCGGCGTGGTCTGGGTGCCTGCAGGGGCAGCAGTCTTGACCGCTGTCTGGCAGGCGGCGTCCCTCAGCCTCCAGGGGGCCCTGTTGCAGCGCAGGGGCTCTGCGGGGGCTGCTTCCTGCCTGAAGGCGGACCCCCGTGGGTGCATTGCCAGGCTGCAGCAAGCCAGGCCCTGACGGCACAACTCAGCAACCTGAAATGCCCACACAAGGGGTCGTTCGTTCTCTGTTGGGCAAGTTTCAAGCGAAACGGACTCTGGACGAGACAATAAAAAGATTGACCGCAAACTTTACGAGAGACTCCCGTCGAAGGGACAGTGAACTGGGGGCCGGGGGCAGAAAACCGGATGACCTGCAGCATTTTTTAAACACATATTGTGCTTTATGGGGCATTTCCCATAAGAAAATTGTCATGAACAAGCGTCATAACGACCGTCATGCTCACTCTTCATCTGACATACAAAGTGCCAAATAGAAAATTTTAGAATCGAATATAAATAGTATTAGAAATACACAATTCTTATTCAATATTTCAAATATCTGTTCACCCTTAGCAAAAGGTCAGACATGCAACCCTGCTGAAGACGCATGAAATTGCCATTAACACGACCATCCAAGCTATCTTGAAAATCCTGGCATGCACTCTGTTGGCAAAGTTTGCGCGTCGACAGATTGCTCTGCTCTGCTCCCTTCCGAGAGAAGATACTACAGTGACTCTGGGGCCCCCCACCTGGATGCAGGAGTCCCTCTGACCGGCACTGAAGAGTCGCACGGTGCAGCTCAGTGTGGGGGGACAGCCCGGGTGTGGGTGGACCAGCAGGGTCAGCAGTAGTGCGTACAGGGCCTGACGGCAGGACGGGGAGTGGTAGGGCTGGCACAGAGCGTCGAGTGACCCCTGCTGCAGCTGCTGCTGAATCCGCAGCAAGAGGTGAATTACGCTGCTCTGCACCTCCTGCCCACGAGAGGAGAAATTGTTAGCTCAATGCCCACGGGTACTATGGCTCCTAAAAAGAACATCCAACTGCCGAGACATCTCCAAACTATAGTTATTTACAAAAGCATAATGTGCATAGTGAAAGTGAATAGGTGCCACAAACAGATATGAAGTTCCAAAGCCGGTAAGGAACTGTCGAAACAAACTTCCACAAAATTGCGCCGCCTCAGTCGTTGTCAGGAATCAATGCCACGTCGTTTTCTACCGCAGTTTCTTTCGGCTTGTGGTGGCACCACGACGCGGCACACAATCAGCATTTAAAGCGTCCGAAACTGCGAAACTTGGACCTTCAAAACCCTCGACAGCTTTGAACTGCATAATATTGAGCCTTGACGGGGTTCGAATTTGAGTATTCCAGTACTTCTCAAGCTTGAGGCTTGCATGGCACGCAACATCTCCGGTGGAAAAGTTAGCTCTGGTGGTGCTGATGATACTGATTTTGTTCATAGGTAGTGCTGATGGTGCTGATTTTTTTTTATAGACGTTATAGAAGGCAGACAAGGAAGCAGAACGGCTCACCCGCAGGGCATCAGGCTCCATCACAGTTCCGTACGTAGAGATCAAAGCCGAGAGAGCTAGGAAGAAGAAAGACATACATTTAATAAAACTTGTCACTCGCTCACATACAGCCGACTCACAGTCGACTGTATGTTTACAGTCTACTCTCATTAATTCAAACTTTCCCATCCTATGCATTTATGGGAGGAAACTCCTGATAGTTCGAACTTTGCTTTGTATTCGAACAGATTTTTGGCCCCCCTCGAATTTGAATTAACGAGATTTGACTGTATAGTGAAACTTCATTAACATGAATGCCCATACATCGGTTCTTCTCGTCTCCTATACTTCCTAAAGAGTTTTGATGTATCTTCTCTATATAGTTTTGACAAGTTCTGAAAACACTAACACTGTAGATAAGTGCAGATTTCTTTTTCAGGTTGGTTGTCACTTGACTGCGACTGGCTGCGCTGCCAATAACGACCTTGGCAATGGACTAGTTCCATAAAGCCCTGCATGCAACACGGCGCGCGTTGCACTCTGGGAACTAGTTGGCCAGGCAGGAGGGTGGCATGGTTTCGGTTTCGATCGACACGTCAACAAGAGACTGTTTTTTGGTCCCGAGAGCGTCATTTGTGGTCTCTAAACTGACCTAAATGGCCAGACCTCGAAGCTTTAGCACAAGCCCGAGACGTATAGCTTGTCTTAACACATGCTTGTTGTATTTTTGTACTTGAGCCTTCCTGTTGGCGCTCTAATCGAGGTATGTGGACGAGCCAGTGCTGGGAGTCTCGACGCTGCGAAGCTCGGGTGCTCGGGGATCTTGCTTGTGTACGAATCAACAAGCTGTAGCAAACAATAAGTATGCATACATCGAACTCGCGCCTTCACATTAGTGTTGTTGATCAGGAAGTTTGTTCGCTTCGTGAGTCCATAGACGAAAAATTTCTTTTTGAAATTACTGTTTTTCTTAATGTGCCTGACTATGCGAGGTAAAACTCAGAGGTGCAATTGAAAAGCTCAATTTTAACACACTTCTTATCTCTTATCTGTACTGACCCGCAGCACTGCACGAAGTGAAGTCTCCACCCGCTTGCATTTCACTAATATTCAACATCGCGTATGCGCATAAAGTTATCCTGCAATCATATAGGCACATTCGCGCATACAGACCGTCTTAAGAATGTAAAAGTCGAGCACTTGTGTGAAGAATGTCGCACCGTTCGCCGGAAGTGCGTCAGACGGGCATGAACCCCTCTGCGCACCGCATTGGGGTTCATGCCCCTCCGGCGCACGGTGCGACATTCTTCAGACAAGTGCTCGAACGAATTCAAAGCGCATTTGACGGTTGCTAATGGCCATAATATTTGTTATGTGTTTGCTTTCTTCCTGCCTGAGTATGCCGAGATAATTTCAGACACACCGTTCCCGGCACAGATCTCGGGCGTCAGTAAAAGCTCGTCCAAAAAGGCTTAGCGAGGAGTAGGGGACGCTTGTTAGGGCCTCCGTCGTAGCTAGCCGATCTCAGCGTTTGCGAAAAGTTAATCTTCTATCAGCATAAAATTTGAGTGGGAGATATATGATGACACGAGGAAGACATCATAGTAACGTTTGTGCAGTAGTGAGGTCGAATTTATTGCGTTTCATTAGAAGTTCATGCGTAAACGCTGGCCTCAACTTTGATACCCAGTGAGGATGCGGCTTGCTTTTCGCCCAATGAAGTAACAAGAAGCGGACGTTTGGCAAACAAAATGCGTGTAAGGCTCCAGACGAACAAATTTCAGTTGTAGTTCACTGGTACTAGACGGGATTACTGACATTGAGCTCAAAGATGTAATCGTGGGGTGAGGTGACTAAGCCACGACTTACTACGTTCGCATACGCACGCACAATATCCGGTGTTTCGGGAACCACGGAAAGTGCAACGGTCTTCGTTTTTGTATCGCTCGAGAATGAGTGTATAGCACGTTCGCGAAAAGTCAGATAATCGAAAACGCAAGCAGCGCGTTCGGTCGCGGCGTCATAGCATGAGATGAAGCTGCTCTGTCGAAACCGAAACTGAGTGGCCAACTAGTTCCCAGAGTGCACTGCGTGGTACTTCGCCGCGATGGGGCGCGTCGGTTTTGGAAGAAGTCCATTGAAATTTGCGCACAAAAATGTCCCCAGACGAGAAGACACAGAATGCCTCTCGGAATGACCACTACCAAACGTGACAGGGAATTGTGAAGTCACAGATTGCACAATTATTTCGTGGGAACAAGGGTTCACCTTTGAGGGCTTGCTCGCACAGCTGTGCCCTGACCTCTGGCTGAAGGCTCTCCTGCACTTTCACGTGGCCTTTCCTAGACTCCTGGTGCTTGATGTTTCGAGAGCTCAGCTGCATTGGGCATGCAAGAAAGGAGGTCTGCAGAAACCCCAAGACTTCCAACTCGCAGCTCTCAAAACATTTCCAACAACCCAACAGAGAGCATGCATTCCCAAACAATTCAGGTCAGTCTTCGGCAGCAAAGGGACCAGAGACTTGGCACCGACAAAGTGGGGCACAGTAGAGTGAACTTCGCATCGGCATTTCACTAATGTGAGATGCACAAGTACCGTAAAATCTTGTAAGAATGCCCACCCAAAATGAAGTCTTTTTTGATTGACATTTATTTATTTATTGGTTTTGACATTGGTGCACAGAAGTCAGATTCCTATGAAACATGCAAACATATGGAAACCACAATAGTCATATTAGAACAGTCAGCATAATAAAACAGTCATAACAAAGTACATAAAATACACATCAGGTGTTAAAGGTAAAATAAGGCATGAAAAAAAAATCGTGCTGGACAAGGAGGTTGCATGATGTCTGAATACGATAGATTGGTGAATCCTTTAATCGCATGTCGGGGTAGAACATGTCGCACTGTCACGTGAATTTCGTTGGCACACGTAACTTTATGCTGCCCAAAAGGTCAGGTACGTCAATTACACCCTGGATAAGCTTTTGTAGAAAAGCCGCATCTCGGCAATGCCTTCGGTCATCCAAAGTGCTGAGATTCAAAATCTTAAGCAGAGAATGGTGGTCGAAGTAAAGTCTCCTGTGGAAGTATCGATCATAGACTATGCGAACCAAACGCCTTTGCACCGCTTCAATACGTCTACATTCAATCTCCGTTAAATGGTTCCACACGACAGAAGCGAATTCGAGCCTGGGCCTGACCAGAGCACAAAATAAACGTAATATGGCCTCAGGTGCTTGGAAGTGCCGAGTCAAACGGGAGATCATACCAAGCATTTTGAACCCGGTAACACAAATAGTAGTTACATGAGAACTGAACGTCAGTTTGCAATCAACTAACACCCCAAGGTCCCCGATCATATCAGTTGAAGTAATAATACAGTTTTCCAACGTGTACTTAAAATGTAAGGGATTTTTACGTCTAGTTAGCGAGATGACTTTAGTTTTGTTTATATTCAAAGGCAAACGGTTGGATGAGCACCATTGCAAAATACTCAAAACATCAGACTGTAACGCATCACAATCTTTTTCAGAACAAATACTTGAGAATAACTTAATGTCATCGGCAAATAAAAGCACTTTAGCAAACTTTACACACTTTAAAATATCATTTATGGTGAAAAACATGAAATGGGTTATCTTTGGGGATGTGACAGCAAACTTTATAAAAAAATATCAGCGATAAACACCGGGGCACCCACTAGTACAAACCACTTTCACGGGAGCTGACACCACAGATTGCAAGCACGGCAACTTTGCGTTCCGGGATGCAATAAACACGTGTCATGGGAAAGGATACCGCAGATTGCGGATGCAGCAGATTTGCATTTTATGGGGCAAAGGACACGCGGGAGTCTGCCGCAAACTCGCATCTCACAGGAACAAATACCACAAATCGCCAATGCAGCAGATTCAAATTTTGTGGTGCAATAAACGCGCGGGGACCCGCTACAAATTTTTTTGTCGCGGGAACCGATATTGCAGGTGCAGGTTGCGGACAAAAACGCGGGAACCCGCTATGAACTCACATGTTACTGGAACAGATACCGCAGACTGTGGACTCGACAGATTCGCATTTCAAGATGCAATATACACGCGGGAACAACGCAGGTCACGAGAACCAATATTGTGCGTGCAGATCACAGACAAAAATGCGGGAACCCGCTACAAACTCGCTTGTCACACAAGCCGGTATCGCAGATCGCGCGGTTGATGAGATTCCCGTCGAACATGGCACGACGTCCAACGAGAATTGGGGGGTGGGCGATGTTTCCGAATTTTTACGTTACGGATATTTAGACAAAAAAATGAGAGGGCCAATCTCTCGGGGAAGGGCATCCTTATGGGATTTTACAGTAACCATTCTATGCCACCAACATAGGTTGTCATTTCGGTACCCACTTGCTCACCATTGCATCACCAAATTCACCGAGTCAATCAACATTGTATAATGAACTTGCAACACTTCACGAAATCCTTAAAGCCGTTTGCAATTATGCGGTAAGTCCAAGCGAGCGAGTTTGCGAGTGAGTTCGCCGAGGCACGGCCACCCCCAGCTACGCCCAACTTCCCTCTCTCTTTGGGTACTGGCCCCCGGAGCTGCGCTCACCTCCACGGTGGCTGCGCCGACGGACTCGGCGTCCTGCAGCATGACTGGCAGCAGCTTGCCCAGGGAGCCTCGGAGGCCCACACCGGTCCTCATCGTCTGGAGCCACAGGCAGAGGGCCCCGTAGCCGGCCTGACGCAGCTTCCTGCCACAAGGAGCACGCCGGCAGTTGTACACAAGCCAAATGAAGAAACTTGTCTAACAATGTCTCAATTAAGCCAGTTCCATGGAGAAAGTAGAATCGTGTGTGCACCTAGAAAATGAAGCTCTCATTTATGTGCAAGAGTTTGCATGACTCTGCAACTTTTTGAGAGTGCATGTGCAATTATCAGTCTTCCATCAAACTGCAGGTGGAGACTCGTGTTTTATTGGGCCAGAAAAGACATGCCCAACAAATTCACAGCAGCCAATTCGTACAGCAGAGGGTGATTACAACCCGAAATATTTCAGCAGAGCAGCAACTTCGTCTATGGGGGAAAAAAAAAACACAACTAAAAAACAATTAACCACTGCAATAAAAAAAGACAAAGTAGTTTTAAAATTTCCTGCATCAAACCCCAAGCAGAGAATGAGCCAAAGGAAAAAGATCAATTAGCATAACGATCTGGTTTTTGATACCACAAAGAAAAATGAGGAAAGACCCCAGAAAGGTATGCTCGATGCGGCTGCCTCTACCTCATGTCGCAGGAAGAGTCCTGCCTTGTCCTTAGGATGACGTCCTCGATGAGCTCGGTGATGATTCCCGCATCTCGAAGCAGCACCTGGCGGCAGCTGAGAAAGAGCACAACTGCAAGTCATGCGCATTCACCAATGCGAAGGTCGAGTCAATGGTCACATCAGCAGTGTCACATTGCATAAGCGAAGGCTCCCACTCAATCACCATGGGCACCTCGACGCCGAGGTCTAAAATGAATGTGCGAGTAAACATTATACCAGCTTGGTCACGTTGACAGCTTGGTAAGTGCAGAATGTATGACAGGCCTTCCAGGAGGAAGGCCTACCACACATTCTGACCGCCCACCGAACATACATTCCAATTTCTGACACACGCCGTGAGACTGCGCAGCATGGCAGGAAAGGCCATGAAGTGTGCGACCGCGTTGGAGGGTTCACTTTTGTGCATTCCGAACACCGACCCTAGGTAGCTTGGTCGGCAAAGCACTTGGCTCACAATCCCAAGGCTCAAAAGAACCCCGGCCTAGTGCCGTTCACGAACCTGACGGCGGAACGATGGGAGGCCGCGTTACGCAGCGGGAACTTGAGCCCAACAGCTACTGCTGGCAACGAGAGCGGCGAAGGCGTCCAAAGTCAGTGGAGCCCCAAAATTGGGGCAGCCACCCATTGTTCTCCCTTTTTCCCTAGCCTTATTAGATTCAATAAAAGATGTTTTTAACAAACAACAACAACAATCTCAAAGTGGCAAGTTCAAATCCTGCTGGGCCCTGAAGTTTTTTGACATGGTTCCCTATGGGCATAACGCTTTTCGGTCAGTTTTTCATTACAGCCGGCTGTTACAGTAAAATGTTACAGAACTACGCAGAGACTGGCTGATGAAACTAGGGTTGTGTGAATATTCGAAATTTCGAATAGTAGTTTCACATAATAGACTATTCGATATTCGCTCGAGAAGGACTGCACTATTCGCGTTTTTCGAAGTGTTGATCGCGGTGGGTTACCCCCTTTGAGTGCGCTTCTTTCCAAGCACCAATGCACAGTGGAGAAGCAATATCAGCTGTTCCGAGCTCCGTGGGTGTTGCTTCTCCGCATTACATCGGTGCTCAATAAGAAGCGCACTAATTGGGGAAACCCGTTGCGATAAACACTAGGAAAAGTATGAATATTGCAAATGCGTGCTTGGAAGAAAAGCATAGATTCAAAGCAGGATAGTGCATCCTGCTGGCTGTATTTGGGAATAAATGGAAACTTTGTGAATGTGTATATCTATATTGTAGTAAAAGTTCCAAAATTAAACTGACTGTTATGCAAGAGTATACTATGTTAATCAGAGATGCCCTTACAACCTGCGTTCAAACATGTGCAATTATTTCTTTTTTAACTCGAGATTAAAGAAGGAATATTTTTATAGCAAGATTGGGTATAGTTGGGTACAGTTGGCCATCTCTATAGGATCCATTTTATGTCAAATCCGTCGTTTACTTGCCATCCCAAGACATCAGACCTTATGAAGACACACTTCAAAAATATAGATAAACTTAGCTTATAAATGAACAAGCGGAACACCCTTCACAAGTTCAACTGGGTTTTCGTTTAAGCTTTACACAATGATAGTCAAAGGCGTGGAAAAACTATTCGATATTCGAATCGAAAATATTCGGCCAAAACCAGTATTGACTTCGAATTCGCTTCAAACTCAAAATCCACTATTCGCACTAGACTAGATAAAACACATTTTGCGTTAAAGGGAAGCTGAAGAGGATCTCGAAAAAATCGAGTTAGAGGCGAATTCTCGCATATCTTTATCCCGTGAACTTGAATGTCACGTTTGTTTTCCCTGAAGATGTAACTGAACGCAAGAAAACGGGAAAAACCTCCGACCAGTCGTTACGTCAAACAAGAAACTTTCCGCGGCCAAGCGCGTGTCGCTCGTGTGGGCACCGGTCGTGACGTCTTTTTTTTTTTTTACCTCTTTTGAAAATAGCAAGCGTGCGTGTGCCCAGCTTTGATAGGCGCTCAAGATGCACGAGAGTGAAGATTCCAAAAACTCCCGATATGACGTCACGCTCCAAAAAGAAGGGGCTTCAGTGGCACTTTGAAAACGATTTTCTGCAGCCTCCGTGCACCAAATTGACCAATAATCTCCATATTCCTGATCTTGGAGGCTAAATGAAGGTGATTTAAGTGTTTTTCCTCAAATACAAAACCGCTTCAATTTCCCTTTAAAATATGTTCATAGCACTCACGAGGCACCAGTATCAAATGTCAAATTTGAAGGTTTTAATTACCGAACCAACAAAGGGCATCTGGCATGCCCCAGTGGAGGATTGTGTATTAATTCCGACTACCAGGGTGCAACCCCGGTAGTCGGACGACGGTTTGACGTGCAACTAAAACCTCGGAGATACGCAACAAGCATCCTTCGGACTGCCAGCCCCTCGACCGGGATTTGAACCCACCACCTGGGTACCGTATTTACTCGAGTAATAGCCGCACTATTTATAAACAAGGCCCTTACGTCTTCTTTCCCACAGAACACATATACAGCAAATCATTGCGTTGCGCGTAAATAACATAGTGAATAACCAGATAGAGAACACAATTCTTCATACAAATGCAATCTTCATAGATGGTATCTTCGCACGAAGACATTATCTATATCCTGTAAACAGCTAGAATCATGCTGTCGATCGCGATGATTGGCAATCTGTGTGCTCCGCGGAAAAACGGACCCTCCGGTTTTCTTCATAAACAGTGCGGCTATTATTCAAGTAAATACGGTATCTGTAAGACGGTGCTTTGCCTCAGAGAAGGTACCAGCAAATACATGGCAGTCAAAGCCTCCTAAACAGCTATATGCAGCAAAGCAAGCAGACGGGTACCTATCTTGAATATTTCAATTTTATACTTTTGGGAATCGTACAATATAGGACGACATGGTTACATGAACCCGAGGATTACATGATTACATGAACTGCAGATGCCAAAGAACAGCCGTTGGTATGAAAAAAAACTAAGGTAGACCATCTCTATGGCAAAGAAAGATATAGCAAAGATATAGAGTAGCTAAGCAAGGCTGAACTAGTATGCTTGATACTGCTATGGACATTTGGTATGAGCATCACCTTCTCATGAGTTGGCACAACAGCTGCACTGCTTCATATTGTATTGAAGGCAAGATGGCTGCCACCAGGTTGGCTTGCGCCGTCGCTCCAGTGCCCTAGCAATGAACAAACAGATTGGGTCAGTGGTGCAACCAAGAATTGAATAAGTACAGTACTATAGTTTCCGGACTGTAGTCCGCACCCGGTGCATAGTCCGCAAAGGGAAATTTTGGGGTCAAAAATAAATGTCTTTGCTTAGATAGCATAGTCTGAGCTTAGTGCCTAATCTGAACGTAAAAATTATCATACACAGCACACCTTGACAAATGCCTGCTGTGTTAGCTCACAAACTAGCTTGTATTAAACGTAAATCAAAATTAATATAGTCCGTTATTCATAAAATGATTCCAACTTGTCACAATAAACAATCTAGGAAAAAAAAATCCTTGTATAATCTGCACCTGTAGATAGTTCACATTGGGTAAAATTTCAACTTTTAAACATGTATAGTCTGCAGACTGCAGTCCAGAAAATATGGTGCTTGCAACATAATCCTGAAGCAAAAGAAGTTAAAAATGCAATGAATATTTCTTAACCCAGTGTTTCTCCAGTGTGCCTCTCAACTGATTTCGAAATATAATCTGTGGTTTGTTCTGCTGCAATGTGTTCTTTTTGGTACATTGGCATATCTAGAACACAGTTCTAAGCTTTTTTACATCAAACCACAGACAACAATGTCCCCGTGGCACACTCAAAGAGCCATGCATTTGTTCCCATCCTTGGAACAAACCTAGTGAATGGCTGGACAGAGGTGGTGTTTCTATCTTAAAGCTCAACACTCGTTTGCTCACCATGACTGGCATGCGAGTTTCCAGGACTCTCTGCAGCAAATGAAGGATGTCTTCGGTCGGGACACTGACTGTCTGGTGGAAGTTGCCTCTAATCAAGAGATGGAAGGGAACAAACCAAAATACAACTCATTGCCCTTGCTTACAACAAGATTGTGGAAACAACAGGGGGTGCAACACTTGCTTTCACTAGCAAAACAACGCAACCACAAAAGATGCACTTTCATGTTGAGAGCATGTTGGTGCACTAGTACCCGTGGGAAAACAAAGACATATAAAAGACAACGCCAACTTTTATACAGAGATGGCTTGTGCTTGGTTTTGAAAGCACAATGTCTCAAATGCATACCAAAGTTATAGACCAATAACAACTTTCTGCGTGTTGCCATCTTTGTCCACGAAGCTGTGGAATTAGTTCCGAGCAGCCGCTGTCTTCTGAGCATACAGCCCGGTGACTCTGCATTTTCCGCCTCAGCGATAAGCGCAGTGATCCGATTGGTCCGAGTCATTTTGGAGCAGCACTAACTCCTTTCCGGAGCAGCAGAGCAGCGTAAAGAGCTTTCAGAGGAGCACAAACACACACTTAAATTTTATTCATACCACTGTGAGGATCATATGTTAAGATTTGTGTGTTGGCATGCCCATCTAAGAGACATGCCTACTTTGCCTTCACACTTCTGTGCAACCTTTGGTTAGCATCAACGGCACAACAGGTTTGATTCCCTTAAACACACAACTAGCCATTTAGTTGCACATGAAAGCACTAGGCATGGCACCAAAGTGCTGATTGATTAATTTAAGGACAGTAGACTGCTATGAATGATTATTTTAGGTATGAAATCAAATGTAAACCAAATGGTACATTCCACTGAACTAATGCAAGAATAGAGTAATCTTGGACACGCAAATTGATGTTTCAATAAAGTTCTAAAGGTTGTAATGAAACTGAGACTCTTAATTCGGACAAAAAATCTTTTGTCATTGGCTCATGAACACCAATAACATTTTATATATTGAATTTTATAATAAGAAGGATTTGCCTGTGAACGATAAGTAGTATGCCATTTTGAAACAATCCAGCCAAACTCATTAGGTTATTCCCAAGCTTCCATCCACTGCTTCATCTAACTTAATTTTAACATAATCTATTCACTGTACCTTAAAAAAAAAAAAAAAAAAAAAAAAAAAAAAAAACTGTATAAAGGTGATAACTAAACGAGGAAGTTGAAATAAAAATAAACCTATAGAGCAGTTTATAAACGTTTTCTTGTGAGGACTCTTATTAAATCTCGAATATGAAAAAAATATGATCAGAATATTGTAGTCTATTATAAGTACTAACAGCCACAGTTTCATTTAAGAAGTTTCACTGAAAGGTAGAGTTGTTCCTCATTTCTTTTTAGGGGCGAAGCTCCTTAGGGGCTAGCCATGTCCGTATGTCCGTCCGATGTCCGGCGTCGGGTGCTCTTGCTCACGAGCACGTAAGCATGTGCTCCCGTGCTCGTGTAGGGCAAAAAAAAGAAGGAAAAACAACCGCATCTCCACGTGGTGAATGATGTTGATTGGGGCGAAGCTCTGGTGGTGCTTATCTGCGTAGACGCTGAGCCGCAGCATGCCGACCCTTTCGTTAGTTTTCATCCACGTCAGAAAGAGAATGTGTGGTATGGAACGTGGTTATATACGCATTTGAGCGTTTGATTGCAGCGTTACATGGATGAAAACGAACGAAAGGCTCGGCATGCTGCGGCTCAGCGTCTACGCAGACAAGCACCACCAGAGCTTCGCCCCAATCAACATCATTCACCACGTGGAGATGCGGTTTTTTTAACATGCCCAACTCCCGCTCTGGAGGAGTGCTTTCTTAGTCTGCGGGTCCACTGCAGTAAAGCAAGGTAAGCAAAACTGCAATGCTTACCTCACAGTTGTTGATTCACAGCAGCACACAAGTGCGCAGTGAGATGCACACTCAACAAAGCTAACAACCTGCCAGAGCAGATTACAAACATGAGAAATACTGTGAAAATTCTGGGGGAGTGCGAATATTTGAAATTTCAAATATGTTTAGAATATTTTTCTTATTCAATTCGTATTTGATTATGGCCGAACATTCAGACAATGCCCTTTGCATTTTTACATGCTATCTAGATATGTCCAGTTTTGTAGACTTAATTTTGTCCATTTTTTTTTTTAACTTATCAGCTGGAACTTTTGCCTGCTTTCATGTACAGCCGACAGGTGATTACTATACTCCGTTCCACCTTCAGTCCGAGCGCAGTGGACGCCACAAGCTATCCCAGCCGATCAGCGCCGGGAGAGAATCGCTTGACCTGCCGGCAGAGCGACACAGAGAGCTCAAGGTCGCATGACACTCTCTCAAAGCTGGATTGGCTGGGATGGCTCCTAGCATCCGCTGCGCTCGGACTGAAGGTGAAACGGAGTATAGTCAAGGTATAATATCAATATTACCAGTTGCATTGTTTAAATACTGCCTAGTCAGGTAGTTTCATTTACTTGAATTCGTTAACATAATTTTCGGTTTTGAACTTTGAACTTTATTTCAGCAACATTATGCCGAGGACACCGGACAAAAAGCTAACAGAAGCTAGGTTTTGAAGGTAATAAAACAAGTATTCGCATATTTCTTTTGTTATTTTTATTGGTACACATATTTGAAACATATGCAATATTTGAAGCTATTTTTATTTCTAATATTCATATTCAATTCATATTTGAGAATTTCAATATCCGCACACCCCTAGAAAATTCCTATTACTTTCAGTGTTTGACAAAGAGATAAAATATAATATTACATTATTTGCGGCGATAACGAAAAGTTCTGAAAATTCGCGCAAACCTACCATAACACTCAGGAGCAAAGCATAAGCTATTATATTTTCAGGATTAATAAAGTAAAATTAAGTTATCGTGCAACGTTGGCGCAAATTCCTCACATTTTGGCGAAATGTAGGAGGATGTAACAGGATAAGGACTTTGGCACAGCAATTACATCACTGTAGGTGCTGGAAAGGTTTATATGCTCCATGCTACTGAACACGACATTCTCGACAAGCCCTAGGAATAGAAAAGTCTGCGGCTCCGGTACAGTGAGTGAGGAAATTGCGTGCACAAGCCACACGTCGCTACCAGCTAAGCGTCATCTCCAAACCAGAAAGAGAATAGGCGTGTGAGGCGAGCTTAAGAAGAAGACCTCCCTTACCCGAGCATGAAGCAGATGGTGCGGATGATGCCGACGATCCTCCTCCAGCAGAGCAGGGTCCCCTGGTGGCTGTCTTCACTGCCAAGAGGCATCTCCAATGGAAGAGTGTTCATCAGCGAGCCCCTGCTCTTCACTGCACACACAGAGGGGGTGCCACTTCTCAACACGGCTGACCCGCATTCAGACTAAATTTGTTTACGCTGTTTCTGCTTGGGCACATTAGGACCTTTCTACAGGTTAGGATTCATTAGTGAAGCTAAGCTGAAGTATAATTGTGGCACTGGTACAGGCATTTCAGGTGCTTTACCACAAAAGGTTTCTACTGTGCATTAAAAATAAAAACACGTGGTGTAAAGCCTAAGATACAGGCTTGAAAAGGGGGTATATTTGGAGCACCCTTTCTGCTGCATCCCCCCCACAGTCTGTGTCTCAAGTCTAAAGTCCTAACATTGCCTTTTCCTACCAAATTGGCTCGAACAATTGCCGCGCTCTGTATGAACAAGCCCCACGTGCCTACGACTACACAAAGCGTAGAGATAACTAATTACTGCGAGTGATTACTACTCATGTGGCTCGGAAAACATCTGCTAGCCGAAATTTCCAAGTTCTAAGCCCATGAGACGTCATGGTTACTAGGCTCTAGCCGATCATGTTGCCAATCAGCAAAAGAGTAGATACAAAGGCATTGGTCATAAAGAGTTGAAGTATTTGCATATATACTGCATCTCCAGGCCACAAAGGGACCACAGAAGGGAAGAGCAGAAAAGAGATAGGAACAATATATACCGTATTTACTCGCACAATGAATGCACTCGCGTATTGAACGCACCCCTCAAGTCGGCTCTCGAAATTTCGCCTTTTTTTCACTCGCGTAATAAACGCACCCCCAACTCGGACGTCAAAATTTTGACCCCCTCTCCCCACGCGCGCCAAATGAAAGCAACTTTTCTATTCTGGTGCAGCGAGGTAGCGAATGCATGGGCAGCATGGGCGAACAAAACGCCTTGCAAAAGGCATTAAAAAAAATCGCTCAGATCCAACGGAAGCAAGAAAAAAAAAACATGGAGAGGAGCTTTTTTTTTTTTTTTTTTTGGACAACGCAGTCTGGACTTCGGGCTCGCGCGCCGCGGCGCGCAAGGAGGTAAGAAAGAGAAGCTGAGAAGCGCTCTAAGCGAACGAAACAGCTTGAGAAAAGCGGAAAAAAAAAAAAACACACGAACTAAGAAAAGACAAAAACAAAGAGGTTTTTTTTTTTTTTTTTTTTTTTTTCTTTTGCACTGGCGCAGTTTGGTTACCGGGGGTTTCGAGCCGCGCGCAAGGAGGTAAGAAAGAGGAGCGGAGAAGCCCTCTAAGCAAACGAAACAGCCCGCGAAAAACGGCAAAAAGAAAAAAAAAAGAAAAAAAAAACTGCGCTGTGCGAGGGCACAGCGCAGTTTGGTCACGGGAAGGGGGGGGGGGGGGGGGGTCGTGCGTCGCGCGCTGCGCGCAAGGAGATAAGAAAGATAAGCGGAGAGCCCTCGCCTAAGCAACGCCTAAGCAAACAAAACAGCTCGCGCAAAGCGGCAAAAAAAAACCCAAAAAACTAAGAAAAAGAAGGTTTTTTTTTTTTTTGCACAGCTTAGTTTGGTTATGGGGTCGGGCGCCGCGCGCGCAGAGATAAGAAGTTACTTAGATTTTTCAGGATAAAAGGTCCGTTCATTATGCGAGTAAATACAGACACAAAAAATTTTACTTCGCGTAATGAACGCACCCCCCAACTTTGCATCGATTTTGCGGAAAGAAAAGTGCGTTCATTCTGCGAGTAAATACGGTAATCAGTAACAAAGCCGCAACCAAGAAATCTCGAATCACAGCAACCAATCACAACATGCAATAAAGTATGAGTCTACTTAAGCTCAAAAAGGTAAATATAATATAGATACCATTAGCTTCTCCCACCAACAAAGAACCAGGAATTAGGCAAGAATTCAGTTTGTACCAGCAAAGAGGTACGCATGCAGGACACAACAGACGTCTCTCCTTGGCTGCACTTGCTGAACCGAAATCTGGATTCCCCAAAACACGCAGCAAAAGCGTGCAACGGGATGCTACAAACACCGAAACGTCACTCACACAGCGATATCTGGAACGGATGACCGGATGACCGTGGTTTTCAAAAAAAGAGGTGCATTCGGCAGGAATGTTGACGTCATGTTTCTCCGAGGAGAGGGAACGGCCTCGCGTCTTCTCTACCTCGCAGCCTTGAGGGAGCGAAGCGAGGAGAAAAGGAAACTTGGTATCTCGACGTCACGGGCCTCGTGGGCCTGGTTCAATCTCGACTTCTTTTTCCAAAAATATGGCCGTCCATTTGAGATATCGCCTTACTAGTAGTGCTGTAGGGATTGTAGAGTCCCGCCTACATCTCCAGCATTGTTTTTTTGAAATCCACATTTTGGTTCACCATCCCTTTAAAGGGGCCCTGCAATCATATTTAAGCGTCTACCTTTTATGCGGTTTCCACGTCTCTTGGGGTTCGGGCAAGCCAGCGGGCACGAAAAGAGTAGCTAAATATCAGTGCGCCTTATTTTAACCGGACGACACGGAAACCTCCTTCACCGACGAGGGCGGCCCGCGGTACCGAAAGCGCGCAAAATGTGACGTCTTTGGTCCTGGGCTTACTACTGGTCAGAGCCACTAAAAACTTCTTTTTGGTTGAAATACAAAATATAAGTGGCGCGAACCGTTTCAATTCTTTATAAAAGTAGTTCTTGTTCACTATTATAGATGAAAAAAAGAAAGAAATGCAGTTTATAAAGTACGGAAACAAGAAATGACCCGTCAACATACCCGCCGCCAAGCGGTGGAAAATGCGGCGCATACTAGAAAGGAGTAGTGGGATAAGGCGCCGACACGGAAAAATCCCGTATGTACGCGGTGGCGCTGCAGTCGTATGGACAGGAGGATCCGACCGGCTCCGAGTGTTCCGAAGGCCTTCGGCGAGAGGCTTTGTCTTGCGGTTTGGCCGTTTCGCGGTATGGCAGCGCGAAGTGGCTCCCATTCTGAACTGATCTTTACACCGTGTTTGCTGCCGTTTGTGGCCAATGAAATGTCATGCCGAATTAGTGTTTAATCACGCAGCAAACGCAATGAAAGCCGCTTTGGCTGCCCGCTGCATACGGCCTATCCAGAATGTGCTTTAGTGGCGCCCTCTGGCGCCGTCGACACGGAGTGCGGCGGCCGTGAGCGCTCGATGAGCTCACTACTCCTCCTCTAGTTCACGGCCACTCAAGCCAGGACCTACGACGTCATGAAGGAGGTTATTTTTTGCTTGTTTTTGTAATTCTAAATTGCCTATAACTTTTAAAATAAAGTGAATTTCGCGAAAAGAAAAGTTTCACTAAGTTACTACGTTCAGTGCGCTCAGATTCGGTGCAAATTAAAGCACAGTAAAAAGTCCTTGCAGGGCCCTTTTAAGAAGCTGAGCGGAAGCCTCACCCTGGTGCAAGTCTTCGAAGAGCTTGTCCAGTGAAACGTGGGCTGTGACGAGCAGACGCTGCACCTGCTTCAGCCAGGCCTCTGCCGCCTTAGGGCCCCCACGACGGCAGGCTGGCAGCAGTGAGACACACTCACACACCAGCTCCTGCACGCCCACGCAAACCGCAAGAAAGCACCTATGTCATGCTCACACTGACGGTGTCTCACAATGTACACCCATCTCTGGCACGTACCCCTCTGCCATGCTCGTACCTGAATGGTCTGCGAGTTCCAGCTGACCAAGAGCCTCAGGAGGAACTTCTCCAAGGCATCCTAAATGCAGAAGTCAGAGGGCTCATCAGTACACCTCATGCAAGCAAAACACAAAACAAAAACTTCACAAAAAAACCTCTAAAACAAAACTAGAATTTGGCTTTTCAGAAACCTTTATGAGGCAACATCCCTCAAAAAGGCTTCTGCTGAGAATGAGACTAGCACAGTACTCTTTTCTAACGTGTCCTCAAAGGCTGTACGCCACGTGTGTCTGGTCTGCAACGTGGATTAAGACAAATACTCCTATATCAGTGTGTCCTTGGGAAGAATTTACGCACGAAAGAATACAGATAGGATGGAGCACAGAACATATTTTTCAAAAAAAGATGTCGTGTTCTGTGCTTTGCTCTATTTGTTTTTCCTTTCGTGTGTAAATTGAACCTTACCAACATGCTCGGTTTTTAACCCCTTAAGTGCCACATCTTTTTCCTAAAAGTAGCCTAAAAGTGCCATATATTTTTTTTTATTTTGAATTTTTATTTTTATAGTATTCCACATATAATTTGAAAAGTTTATTACGAAAAAATCAGCGGAGGTGAAAAAAATGTTTGCCAACTAATACGAGTGCTGCCCATCTATGATCAGCGCCGCAAAACTACACGGACGAGCCTTGCTCGTTCGTGGAATCGAGAGTTAACGAAAAAACTGCTAGACGAGCTGAGCTCGTCCATGGCATTTTTAGCCCAAAAATGGCCGACGAGCTCAGCTCGTCAAAGGCACTTAAGGGGTTAATAAACCATAGATAGCTTTTCTTCAGGAACACACAGATCACTAGGCACCCTGTCAATGAAGCGACATGAGACATTTCCTTAACGAACACAGTTTGGCGTAAATCAAATTGCCTTAGCAAGCATCCACAGGTCCTCGAGGATGCTGCAGTGCCCTTTTTGTCATCACGATAGAAACTTTCTCTAAAGACAAAAGCCCTACCTGTATTGAGCCCAGCAGCCTTCCGTAGTCCTTCATGCAAATAAGCAGGCACCTCAGAGCACCTTCCTCAGGCTGAAAGCAATATTCGTAAAAGAAACATTGTGGTCAATAAGCAAATTTGGTGCAGCATTCAGTCATGCACCAGCCAAAAGTTTCGGTCACCTTTAGGACACTTTCACTAGAAGGGACACTCATTTTGTCAAAGCAACTAAAAGAAGTTGTTCCGTTAATGTTACTCCGTTACATCCACAGACATCCCTGCTCCGTTAAAAGCTCTAAAAGTTTCCATTCTCTTCAAGTATTAGGACTTGGCATACATGATAATCGTTTACATCAAAAATTACCAAATTTTGACAAAAACTACCTGCAGCTGGGAATAGTGTGAAATAATGACACAAAACTATAGATAAATTGGCCATTGATACTATCAACACCTGTTTCAAAACTATTCGCAACTCCAACGCCCAATAGATTGCGGGGCAGTAGTTCCAAGATGGCGGAAGAGGCGAGGATAGATTTTCTATGCGCCTGCTCGCTCATGCTAGTCAGTGTGTTAAATTAATTTATGCGGGTTCAAATGCTAAACGGGTAGGGCAGGAGCGTATCACAGATGACGGAGATGCTGATGTGCACTAGGAAAACGAGCATGGTTTTTTAGAAGTTACGGAAAGATCACAGAACTTTATGGAGGGCGAACGTGTGTTACGTCTTGTGTGCAGTAAAATAGTTTTGTAGGTGGTGAAAATATTGCAGTGTTTGCGATGTACCTGGCCACCAGTGCTCTAAAACCTAGACTGCACAGGGTGACCGTCAAGCTTCTGTAGAACAGTGTTCACAGTAGAGCGCTGCATGGGCCCGGGCCAGCACGAAAACCCGAGCCGCGGGCCGGGCTCGGGCCGGGTAGCACGCATTTTCTCGGGCCCGGGCCGGGCTTGAACAAAATATTTTCTGGGCCGTGTCGGCCCGGGCCGGCCCGGGCCGTGGCTGAGCAGTCGTGTGCCACAAATTTTAAATTGTTGATAACAAAAAAGGTGCTCATTTTTCTTTTCGGTTCAATGAAAACAAACAAGCGAAATGCAAAATTACTAGGCTGCTGTTAAAAAAAAAAAGACGTCTTGCACTTGGAAAGCTTTCACGTGGATAAACGGAAACGTATAGATTCCTCCACCATAGTGAGAAAGTACGGTCAAAAAACCGAGGGCACTGCAGTCGCAGGGTACAACATGAGTGTATTTTTCCTCTGCGTTTCAAACTGAACACAAGAAAAACAATGTGACCTTGATTTTGCTTTCGTGCAGGGAGCCTTACTATGCCGCCAAAGATAAGCTAACTAGATATTTTTATGCTTATACAGCTTTTTGAATATGCACTAGCGTGATTCTGATTATTTCTTCACAAAAACATGTAGAGAGGAAAGTTTTCTGGAACGAATCAAACAATGAAAAGCCCGATATCTCTTCAAGAAATGCATAAATAAAGGATACGGCACTTTTTTTTCTTTAAATCACTTATACACTGCATATTTCGCCAATATTCTCGAAAATGCACCAAGTCGGGATATTTATTGTGACAAAAAATCTCGATCCAAGTCCGAAAGAAATGTAAATCAAATATGCTCGCTTTATGCTTAGACAGTCTCAGGGTTGGGCAGAAATACTCAAAAATGTATTTGGAAATACAAATACTGGGATACATTAAAATAGTAGCCAAAATACTGATACTAAAATACATCTGTAAAAATGTATCGCGATACGTATTGGAAATACATTTAAAATAGAGGTAAAAAGTATTTGGAAATACAAATACAGGAATACATTCTAGGGAGGGCAGAAATATAAATACAGAAATACTGATACTGGAATACATTTTTCACAATTGTTAGAAACGCCAACTGAGATGAAGCTTGAAGTTTAAAGTGCACGTTTTTTATCCCAAAATTACTTTCCCGTAGGCTTTGCCTACGGGAAAGTTTGCCTTGAAGGTAGTGGCACTTTGCCTTGAAGGTAGTGGTTTCGGACGACGAGGAGCCTTCAATGGGCTAAAAAAACGTTCCATGAAGGACTGACCGCGGTCCCTTCCCTGACATCCTGTCTGTCTGACGAGGGATACGAAAAGACTTCGACCTCAAATTAATTCTCTGTGAACCTAAATTTCATCAAAACGTCACCACGCCCCTATCCAATAAGGACGTCCCTGCCAACATTGATGACATGACGTCAGGGTAGAATAAACTGGTATTCTTTATCTGTAGATGTGGCCTTGAACATTAAACTTTACCACGCTGCTGTATGAAAGTACAATACGTACTTTCGTTGTAGGTTACCTCGTCGAAGATCGTGCAGGCAATGTCATTTAGAATTTTCGAGACTAGTGGACCAGTTGAAGCATCTTGGAACACGTGTCTCATCTTCTGTTACAGTTGAAAAAAAGATACTATGGCATCCCTGTTGTGAAGGTCCTTCCTGCCGACCCTCTGCGACCGACGCATGGAAAAGTAAAAACAAATAAAAAAAATATGCGTTCAGACTTGTTTTTTGTTTTTTTCAGCTTGGGGGGGGGAAGGAGTATTTGTCAAGAAATGTAACGAAATACATTTCATCCTGATTGTATCGCGATACAAAGAAACATTCCAAAATGTATTTCGATACAGGAATACAGATACTGGTGAAAAAAATGTATCGCGATACAGAAATACAGATACGAAATGTATTTCTAAAATACTATCGCGATACATTTGTATCGCGATACTGCCCAACCGTGGACAGTCTTTAGGTTAAAGCCTGCAAACTTTTTTGGGCTCATGAATATAAACTGTCGGGCTCGGGCCGGACTTAAGCTTATATTTAAAACATTTTTGTCGGGCTCAAGCCGGGCTCGAACTTCTGTCTAAAAATTCTGCCGGGCCCGGGCCGGGCTATGTCTCTTCCGGGCCGGGTCGGGTCGGGCCTAGAAATTAAATATTCTGTCGGGCTCGGGCGGGGCCCGGGCCGTGCCTCTGCCGGGCCGGGTCGGGCCGGGCCTAGAAAATCCGGCCCGTGCAGGGCTCTAGTTCACAATATTTCTGTGTCAGAGGCTCGCAGCTCATTACATACCGCCATGGTTTTAGTGCACTGCAACCAGGGACGGCACCAGACTTCTCATAGTGGGGGGGCAGTGAGGAGGCGCACAACATTTTTGGGGAGGCATGGGCTTTCGATTCACAAATATTCAGGGACAATGACTTGGTAGAGAACTAGTCACTCCCGGCAAAATCGACTGCGAGCACCAAGTCGCTTGGAGAGTTTCTAATAGATATCAGCTCAGTTTATTTCATTATTTTACAACCTATCTACAACTCTGGTTAATGTAGCATTTCATATGCAAAATATTCAGGCATGTTTACATTCCGCAATACTAAATAAATATGTTCAAGCTCGTAGTGACTCATCATCTACTCTTTACGCAGTCCCCTGCACCACGGAAAACCGGAGCACGTCAGCGATCACGGAGATGTAGTGACGATTCTCCCTTCTTTGTTGAATACGCCTGGCTGCGGTACACGGCGACTGATTTATCCGCGCCACTTTTCTTCATTTGCTTGAAGGAAGCCGATGATGCTTGGGAGATCTTGCCTGACGCGCTGTTAGAGTGGCATCGTAGTCCGCCTTCCTTTTGAAAAGCTTTCTTCCAGTTTCGATAGCCTTGTGTCAAAACACAACACCTCCACTGTTCTGTCCATTACTAGTGGACAACATCTGACAGGAGAAACAAAAAGCAGAATTCGAAGTCACACTGTACTCTGACCACGGAAAGCAGGTGCATCAGTCTGACTTGGAAATCCTTGAATTACCGCCATAGTTGGTCACAGGAAGAGACCAGCACAGGCTGTACTAGCAAAGGCTGTTCAGGCTACCTTCTGTCTTCAGTTTAGGTCAGGTTTCGTGTTCTTCGTTCCGAAAGTTGACAATCGGTCCGCTGTCATCGCTATCATGCATGAAGACCAGGAGTGCCCCCAGGAATTGAAATTAGAGAAAAAGAGGGGTCTAAATTTTTTTTTTTTTGGAGGGGGGGGGGGGGGGGGGGCACATTAAAGATAGAGTTGTTGCGAATTAAGGGGAGAGGGTACATTAAAAAAAAAAAAGGGGGGGGGGGTGTAGGGAAATTACTGATGAAGACAAATTCATGTTCCTCAGCGCTTGCATATGCGCTGGGGTGGATATTTGTAACCACCCTTTGCTTAATTCTCAAACATTTCAAGAGTGAGTCAAATGACGTGATGTGTTCAGAGAGCGGCAACTGTGCTACTTATTCGACAACATGACAATGACGATCGATTGAAACTGTGCCGATCATGCATCATACGGTGATCTGCTATTGAAATAATGTTGATTTAGCATCGATATGTTGTTGATAAATAAATGAATTTAAGGTCATGATGCGTTTTCCAGATAAATTTAGCGGGGAAACTGAATTGGTGCATTGGTCACATGACTTCAATTTTTCTGCTAAATTGAGAGGGGTAAAATAAATCGGTGCAAAGCTCACGTGACAAATCTAAATTTAGCACGCAACCTGAATTTGTCTGTGGTCCCGTGACGCCAGATCGTGTGACATCAATCGAGAGGCAGAGTAAGATGGCGGTCCTCGCCAGGGAAGCCTACACACCTCCCTGTCCTGTGCAGAGACCTCCACGCAGATCTTCTCCATGAGGGCAGGGATCAGGTTGGCTGCCTCCTTGGCCTGGTCTGGCTGGTCCGCCAGCAGACGAAGCAGACGCTCGAGCACGCGCCAGGCTGCTGCGCGCTGGCCATGCCGCTTGCCCTGCTTAGTGTTACGAAACAGCAGGAACATGCCTTTGAAACGCACCTAGACACGCTGTGCATCTACCGATATAATACCTAAAACGCAAGTGAGCTGGTGACCGTTCCCTTTACAAAAAAAAAAAAAAAAAACGAGATTAATTTAAAACAAAGGGGGAGAATTGTGCATGTGTCTGTGTTTGTTTCCCTTTTTTCGTTTTCCTCATCTTGAGGTTTTCGTAAAGATATTCATGCATCTATTAATGTTTCCAGACAACCTATCCATGGTGCCAGGATGCTCTGAACTATCATGTTAGAACAAGCAAAAAGCAAGGTGTCTAGCAAATTCTTATTTTGAAATTCCCTGAGTTTTCCAGGCTTTTTCCTGACAATTACAAGTGAAATTCCCTGAGCACTGTAGAGGCGGTTAAATATATAGGACCTTCAAAACACAAAGCATTGAGCACGGTGACGATAATTTTGCAGGGGCTTAATCCACCTTGCATATTCTGAAATATTCGGGTACATCCAGCCCGGATTAAACAAGCACTTTCTTGTCGCCGGCATCACCAGTGAAGAGGCCACTTCCGGAAGCACGATGAATACACGACGCTCAACCACCCATGTCAATAACCGAATGGCAGCATGGCCGCCAGATGCAGACTTTCGGATACTTTCGGTTAAGGCTTGGATTGGATTGGGGTCTGCGTTTTTTTTATTTGTAACTAAAAGTAGTAGCTCTAACTGAATCTAGCCTTGTGTCGTGCCTTCAATTCAATCCAAGGCTTGGACTGGATTTGTCGGCTGTTCCCTTTGCATCGGGTAGCGCACACTACATCGGGGAAGCAAAGCCCACGCTCCGCTCTAAGCAGAATTCATTGTCTATTTTTCTGCCCCTAAGTCCTCACGTCTTGCATCAGGGCATTTGATGGCATTTCCAACTTGTTTTCCCTGACTGGGCTCGCTTTTTGACAATATCCCTGACCATTCCCCGATTTTTCCCGGTAATTAAAATTTCCCTGACAATTCCCGGTTTTCCTGGTCGCTAGACACGCTGAAAAAGTCTGCAATCCCAGATCTTAAAAGCAGTCAATGCTACCTCTCTTTCTTACGCAACGATTCATGGAACGTGAGGATCACATCTGGACTATTCATAAGCACTTCTGTGACCATGGCCAAATGTCAAGCAAAGTGCCTTTGGACACACTGTCCAAAGGCACTTGAAAGACACGAGAACGGGCCCAATGTGAACAACAAGCAACATTAGTGGCTAAAACAGTTGCAAGGTTGTAACATGAAACCCTTTCATTTTTTTTGCAATTTCTTTCATGCATGCCTTTTATGGCGGTCTTTCGAGGCTGCCGAGTGCATTTATCGAAAAATTCCACAAAGTTACAACCCAAAGGATCAAAAGATAACTTGGGCAAAATAAAGGGGTGAATGTTCACTCAAGCACATTACATTTTTTACGTCCCAAATATTGACAGAATGAGTCAACAGGACTGGGTATCTAAAAATCTGAAAGCAGGTATGCATAGTCGGTCTGTTACGATCGAAGCAAGCAAACCGTTCAACAAGTGTCGCACAAAGCGGACAAGGAATCACCCTCACCGCGAGCAGGTGTATCACTGAACGTGTCCAAAACACGCCATCTGTTTCTGCCACATGGGTGGGAAAGGAACTCAGGTAGCAGTCCAGCAGGAGAAGGCCATCGTAGCTGAAACAGTGCCCGTGTGTCAGAGCCAAAAAATTGCAAAACATGTACGCCCTCTAATGATCACTTTCAATCACTAAAAAAAAAAACTGAATTTCAAGATTCTCAATTTCCTTTGCCATTTTAATTAACGAGCATACTGTTTCCAAAATACTTAAATAAACTATAAGGTCAAAAATTTATTATTCCCATTTAAAAAGTATATCGCTGGAGCGAGCGTCACAAGAAAGAAGTCGTAAGGAGTTGGCAGGCATGACTCGTGACAATTTATTTATTTTTTAAATAAAATAATGTCACCAAGAGAAAGCTTCTGCCAGTTTATAACCACTTTGTTCAGTCACAAATTAAATTCACTTCGTGTAAAGTCTCGCATTTCTTTTTGTTTCGGCTTCAAACAAGGACAGCGAGTGTGTTAATATGCCTAAAGAAAACAGAGCTGGCAGTCTAAAATTTTTTCTGGACACTTTGGTTACTGCATTGCCAAAATTCAATACCACTTTTGCATTCCTGCCTATGTATACTGTTAGAGTGAGCATGCTAACTGTTTACACTTAAATTCCTGTGATTAACCGACCGTGCAAACGAATTATGTCACCAAGCCTCGTTTATGTGTGCTTATGTGGTGAGTGCACGTCCAATTTATTTTTTGCACTCCTCGACGGCAATGAGGCAGAGCTTGGAATGAATGCACCCAATCAGCATGTGCAAAAGCGGTACTCTTAGAGCTGCTGCTGAGATTCTGTCACTGACGACGTGTGATTTCTCTGTTGAAACAAGTCAGAAGTGGGAAAGCAGTGCATTGCATAATAGGAAATATTTGATTTTGCAATAATGTGTATTTCTGCAAAATTTTTCAATTCCCATTTCAGGTATGCATGCTACCCATTGTTTCCCACAGGCATTGTGGATATCCCTTTCTTCAGACCCGGAGGAGATGTACTGCTCTTCAAGGTAAAGGCATGATCCCAGCCAGCCAACAAAACCGGTCAATGGACTATACCTGGTTTTGTGAGACTGCAGGAGAGTTTTGACTTTGGCTGCAACAAACTTTGGAGTGATGTCAGCCTGCAAAGAAGGATATGCCATTTCAGTGTTTAGTCAGTACCAATCACTTTTTTTGAGGCGCTTATTCTAAAATCCCAGAAAGCTACGAAGATTTACAATATGGCTTGCAACAACTCTCACATCTCATCCTGGACAAACTCAACAGACACCCTTTCACAGCCGAAACGGCACAAGTTAAGAAAATCACTCAACAATTATCCTGAGCTCCCCATGATCTGCAGTTATAATCTCATCTGAACTGAGTGCCTAAAAACAAGAACAAGAGGAAGAAGAGACAACACGTTGGCATACTAGCAACTGAAAGTTTAATTTGGAAAACATAGACTGATACAGCACGTCAATTACACTTGCCCCTACTCTTTCTGCAAAAATACAAATTCCTGACCAAGAATACATATTTCTTACCAAGAATACATATTCCTCATTAAAAATACATTCACAAATTTCTTATCAACCTTTTCAATGATAGCTCGCTGACACACTTGCTTGTGCCTCTTGTTTTTTGTTTCAAAGGCCTCCTCCTGTATCTCATCTTATTAACGAAAAAAGTGGAGTGCAATCACATCTATTACAATGCACAGCCAAGTGGCCCAAGGGTGACTGTTTAGTGGCAGCAGCAGCATTATCTCAATTCATTAGTGTACACTAAACATTCAGTATGAGTTCAAAGATCTTGCTGACTCTAATGAATGGTGCGCTTTTGTTGTGTTCTTTTTCCTGCTGAATATTGCATGTAACCAGGGGCTAGGATCCTGTCGCAAGACCACTCGTCTTCTTGTGCCCCTGCACAAAATTACAAAATTAAAACTAAACTGGAGGACGTCAAGAGGGAGGGGAAGGGGGCGATCTTGGTGTCTCTGGACATCAAGGGAGCCTTCAACGCACTCTAGGCCCCAATAGTAATTAACAAACTAAGAGAAAACAACTGCCCCAGAAATCTTTTCAATTTGATTCGAGACTTTTTAACAAACCGCAAAATGTCAAGGGGGTGTCCGCAAAATTCACCCCTCAGTCCACTTCTTTTCAATGTTGTTATTGCGGATCTCCTTCAACAAAAATTCGAAAACTGTATAACAATTCAGGCATTTGCTGACGACATGACCCTAATAGTAACGGAAAAATCACGCAAAGAACTGGAGGACGATGCAAACCAGGCCCCAAATCTCATTAAAGAATGGGGAGATAGAAACAGGCTAAGCTTTGACCCGGCCAAGTGCGAAGTTCTTGATATTGGAGATTGATATAAAAAAACGAGTACCAACCATTAAAATGGGAGGTCGTAATCTCACTCATGTAAACTCATTAAAAATTCTCGGGGTCGTTTTTGACTCAAAACTGACATTCACTGCACATGCAGAATATCTAAAATCTGAAATAACTCAAAGAACCCAAGCCCTCGGCATGTTTTCCGGGGTCAACTGAAACATCAAGGGGCCACAATTCAGAGACATTTATATCAGAGGGATAGAACGAGCAATTACCTACGCCGCCCCCGTGTGGTGGAAAAACACAAACAACTCTCACTTGGCCAGAAAGCTAGTCCGTACAAAAAGGCGCACTTTTGAAAATCACTAAAGCATACCGCACCGTTAGCAATACCCACCTTAATATTCTCTCAAACATAATGCCAATAGCACTAACACTCGACAAAGAAGCCGCGTCATTTCACTTGTTTCAGCGAAATAATGACTACACTATACTTGGGACGACCTGGGAGACGGAAAAAATCCAAAAACTGCTAGATCCCTGGGATACGCACCCAGCAGAAAAAACATCTGTATGTGGAAACGTGCCACAGTGACACCTGTGCACAAAGGAGGCAAGGCACCAATTGACACTACATCATCATACCGCCCCATCTCCACGACCTCTGTAGTTCGCAGGACCATGGAACACGTAATAAACAAGAAACTGCTTGCTCACTTTGAGCAACATAATCTACTGACAGTGCATCAACACGGCTCTCGACCCGGTCGCAGCTGCGAGTCCACCCTGGCTGTTCTTGTCCACACTGCCAGTGACTATCTGGATGGTCATACCCCCTCTGTGCTTGTTCAGTTGGATTTCCGGCAGGCATTCGACAGAGTAGACCACAAGATCCTTTGGTCTTTGTGGGGAACTCCTTAACTGGTTAAGACTTTCTACATGGACGTACTCAGTGTGTTGTTTTTCGTGGCGCTGTGTCTGATACAGTTGAGGTCTTGTCCGGTGTGCCCCAAGGCAGTGTGCTTGGTCCAACCCTCTTCAACGTGTTTATCAATGATGTGGCACCACTACAGTGCAAGCCTCTGCTCTACGCAGACGACCTCACGCTCATCCATCCCATCTCCAACCCTATTCACCAGCAGCAGCTCCAGCACGACCTTGAGGCAGTATACGGCTGGTCCTGCCAGAATAGGCTACCCCTAAACGCTGACAAGTGCTCGGCCATGATGTTCTCGTGTGCCCGACGTCCGCTGGCCCTCCCTGACCTGTACCTCAACGGTGCTACCCTCAGCTGGAAACCAAGTGCGAAGCTGCTTGGTGTCACTTTGGAACCTCAGCTTCGCTTCTCTGCACACATTAGGGAGGTGACTTCGAAAGCGCGCCGCCAGTTGAGTTTCTGTCTCCGCGTGTCGAAAGGGGCTGGACCCGAGACCTTGTGGCAGCTCTTCACTGCACTCGTGCTCCCGCAGCTGAACTACTGCAGCCGAATATAGAACCCGCACCAATTGCACGTTGTGGCGGCGCTGGAAAGTGTGCAACGTCGGGCTGCCTACGCCATCCTGAAGAGGCAGACGCACGCCAACTTAGCCCGTTACCAGGACACGCAAACTGTTGATACGCTACAGTACAGGCCGTCGGGTGGCAGCCTCTAAGTCTACGACGAGCAGTGGCCTCTGTGAGACTGTTGGCTAACATTTCGAGATTTCAACCGGATGTTCTCCCTGGCGCTTTGTGTCAAAACAGGTCGGGCATCTTGCAGCCAGTGTTTGCCAGGACGGAGAGACACCGTCAGTCTTTCGCGGTGAGGGCCATTGCGCACTGGCGCTCACTGCCTAATAGCCTCACCCAGTGCCCGCCCACGTCACGTAAAGAAATGGAATTCTTCCGTCAAGAGGTGGCCAGTCATCTCCGCCACTCGATGTCATAATCCCTGTTGTATATGTACAGTCGGGACAGGATGGGGCGCGGGCGGCTGGTCGACGGTTCTCGGGGCACTGCCGACGCTGCGCTGGGGTTTGGAGCGCGCCGGGCTGGGATCGGGCACATCCGAGTAGGATGTGTACGGCCCTAGCTCGGCGGGTCTCGGGCTTCGACGTAATGCTGGAGGCCGTCGGCCTGTTGTTCGCGTTTCTTTTCGTTTCCGACTGTGCATAGTGTTGTTGTTATTGGTGTTTATTGTTTATCTACACCCCCCCCCCCCTTTTTTTGTTGTTACTAGTGCTTATTGTTTATCTACCCTCCAACCCCCTCCTTTTTTTTTTTTTTTATCTAGTTTTGGGTGTTGCAGGCTATCTGGTATGGGCCTTCGGCCTTTCTGCCGCACCCCCGTCTCTCCCGAGTCGAAATAAATGAAATGAAATGAAAATGAAATGAACAACAATTGGGCCCACAGCGGAACGAGCCAACATATTACTAAGTTGCCCGAGAAAACAGCGAAACTTGTGGTCGAAATTTTTTGCCAACAAACGAACTACGGTTTCAGAGGAGAAATGAAATGTTTTTGCACGCCATTTGATGACTCGTTTTACTCCCGCCATTCCTTGGCGGGGGAGGCGTGAACAGTTTGACTAGCGCACATGGCCCAAACCAACATGATTTCTACAATCGCTGCGCAAAACACAAACGCAACATTTTTGACAGCGCGGCTTGGCGAACCGTGCTCCGCAACACACCGTACAAAGCGAATTTGACCGTTTTCTTTATTTGTTTGCACGGTGCGACCGCCGCAACTTTCAAACCTAACAACCTCATCACACTAATGAATAACCCACTGTAACGGGGCGGCATACTCAGCTGAACGCAAGCTGCAAAACCGCGCTGTTTATTTTATTTTATTTTATTTTTTTTTAGGCCGAGAGCCGAGACGCCAGTCCGAGATCAAAGCGTGGTCAGTGAATGCAACGTACCTGGCCGAAGTAGTCGGAGCAGGCGTATGAAGCTTCGAGGAAATTGAGTTTGCTCTTGGGCGACTGTTTGGAGTCAAAAGATCTCTCGAGTAACGTGAACATGCTCGCATAGAAATCTCGGTCCCGGCTGCTCAGGCACCCAGGACGGCGAGGTTCAATTTGGTTCAAATCAGTTCCAAGGAAGCAAGACACGCAAGACCACAAACTGGCAAGACGCGCCACATGCGCCAGTGGCCAGCTATGAATGAATGGATAAATATCAAAGACTTTACCTATTGCGCTAGGCGGTAGCTTGCGCCCCCTGGCCAAACGGAGCCAGATCTTGGGGTCGACCGGGTCGACCACCCCGATTCAAAAGGATTTTGGGGCACAACTAAAACCTAAATAACTGCCGCTATTTAACTCTTTTGTAGCCAACACCCGGTGACTGAACCACTGGCTGTTTAGTGCTTCGGTGAAACAAAAACTTCAAAGTACTTGAAAAAAAAAAAAAAAAAAAAAGGCTTACCAACTACAGGGTGTCACAAAAGAAAATTTACACCGTCTTTTTTACCGCAAAAATAAACTAGGCATCGCCGAACGCTCATTCTCCGCCCAAAGGTAGAGCTAGAGGTCACAACCAGATGCCAAAGTTTCAGCCCCATCCGATAAGTTAATCAAAAGTTATTAGTGATTTTCTGAAAATTTCAATGGGAAAATGGAGCCCATTTTCGCCTGTTTTCGGTTTCTGGTGCCATAGAGCCCCATGTGTTTGAAAACTCCGTCGGCCGCCATTTTCCCATTGAAATTTTCAGAAAATCACTTAACTTTTGATTAAGTTATCGGATCGGGCTGAAACTTTGGCATCGGGTTGTGACCTATAGCACTACCTTTGGGCGGAGAATGAGCATTCGGCGATGCCTAGTTTATTTTTGCGGTAAAAAAGACTGTGTAAATTTTCTTTTGTGACACCCTGTATATCCGATTTGTCCCGCAGGTAACATTAAATGCACAAATGAACGAGGCCGGTACTTGTAAGAAACGCAAAGCATTTGAGGGGCTTTAACAATTCGACACCAGCGGCCACGACAGCCGCGAGACACCCTTGGTTCACTCCCACAGTGTAAGACTCTTACACCCCCGTGGTTCACTCTGGCCTACTCATTAGTTTAGAGTGACACTGCTGTCAGCTTAGGTATTTACAGGCATCCAAGGCTCTGCTTACAGGCAACGCTCTTCAATGCGTTTGTTCACTCTGGCCTACTCAGAATGGCGCTGCTGTCAACTTACAGGTATTTACCGGCATCCAAGGCTCCGCTTATATGCAACGCTCTTTAATGCATTTGTGTTTGGCTTGAAAGTAGTGTAAAATCTGCACAGGACTCGAGTTTACAACACAGTGAAAGGTACACGAGGCCTTTAGCAGGCGGACACACCACAAGGACAACACCATTGTCAATGTCAATAATTTATTCCTTGCAGTTGAATCACTTTACACATTTGTACATAAAATACATAAATCTACATGATGCAAAATTTGAGTTGCTGACGAAACTGGCATGACTTTGTAGCAGTACACTTTAAAACTGTCTCGTAAGTTAATTCTTGGGGCGCAGGTAGCAGCCTGGACTACTGCGGACCACTGCATTTAGGCGTGTGGACTTCCTGTCGTACTGCGACCCAAAGCCTTGGACAAGAGCAAATGAGTGCGCTGCCTCTAGGAGCACGGGTGGTCAATGAATGAATGAATGCCAACAGCATTGAGGCCAACTCCATGAAGTTCTGCAGAAAACTTTTTCTTTCTCAACACAGAAAAAAAAAACATGAAGCAAAGATCAAGCATGTTCCAAAGCAGGACATCCAGGCAGGCCACAAGCATCTTAAAATGCAACCTGTGAAGTACCATTCAGACAAACATCATCCTTGATGCAAACTGTACTGAAGGACAGCTAGCAACATATCCATCATTACATCGCCAGCCAATCAATTGTTAAGGATGAGTTGGGTGTTTTATGCCTGCTGCCGGCATATAGGCCATGAATGTGTTCTCGCTGCTACTGATGTCTTCTACCTATGGCCACTGTGAAAAAATGATAGATGCCTCTACCAGATATGTCACTTTTGAATTGTATTCAGTCCTCCAATGCATGCGCGTAAGTTGTTCTACCTCTGGGTTTGTGATCGATTCATGATTCTGCAGCGTTCCATGTAGGGGTGATGATGAAGGCATGTACAGGTTGGTTCTCTTTCTGCCGGTTCAAGTCCTCAAATGAACTGCCCATTTCGCACTCGACAGTCAATGTCTCACCAATGCTTCCAAAAAGCATAAAAAAAAAAAGTTTGAGGGTTGCATTTGTACAGTGCAGATAAGAATGCACAGACTACCACAGGCAGTCACTTTCTATAGGGATCTCTCACTCTCAATGAAACTCACCCATTCGATGAGAAAAACAATGTAGCGCTCCATGCCAAGCAGCAGCACACCCGAGCTATTGCGACACCCATGCACACGCGCACAAAATGAAGATTCCTGGCCGCATTCAGAAGGACAACAAAATGCGGTATCACACTAGGCTATTTTCACCTTCGACGTGCGACGGATCGGCCTCCGCTGGACAAGCATCTAAGTTTGGACTTGGTACACCCTGTAGTACTACAACTCAAAGAGACACTGGACGTCGTCTGCAAACACCGCAGAGTGGACGACTGCTCACACTCGCTGCCTCGGCCCACGAGGCCACGCCGCTTACTACAGACTCTTACGTGTAGCAAAAGAAACAGAATGCCAACGCAGAAATGTGGGAACTCAGGCCCTCGAGGAAACCGGGATGGGAGCAGGGTGGGACAGGACCAGTGGGGTGGGGCGGGTATGGACAAGCGAAGGGACAGGAAGGGCGGCTTCGGGGGTGAGAAGCGGGACGGGCCAAGTTAAAGGGTGGGATGACAGGGTGGACTGCACAAGCAACGTGAAATTAGCAAGACAGGTGAAGGATTGACGAGTAAAGGGACAGTACAGGCCAAACAAGACAGAAGAAAACTAGGACACAAATAAATACTGTGTACATAAAAACCACTCGGCTTTCGTAAACTTTAAAAACTTAAACAAAAACGGTCCATCACAAGACGAGAAGAGTAGCGGCGCCTGCAGCATACTTTGAAGTGTGTGTGCGCGTGTCTGTGTCGAAGCACTGGCCACAGAGGGAAAGAATCGAGGTGGGTCGACACAAACGCGTTCCACGTCGGCCCGGGCTGCCGCTGAAGCCGCCGTCTATTGCCTTTTCTTTCCTTCTTGCGGAGGCCCGGAAAAGATATGCCGGGAGGGAGCAGTGTCCTTGTAAAACTGGAATGTGGCATGCAGTTCTTTGGGAGAGCCTCTCCCCTCCACTCCGCCGTCTGGCATGTTCACGAGCATCTGCGACGCTGGGAGAAAATACTTTGAAGACTATTTCGAGATGTGATTGACTACACTTGTGCCGCTTTCTCGACGCCGGCGCGGCCGAGCACCCGATGCGAGTGCAGGGCAGAGATCGCAGCGAGGCTTTCTTCGTGGACGAGCCAAACAGTCGTACGGTCCCGAAGACACAAGCAACACACACACGTCGCGAGAAACATAGCCACCCTTCGCACAACCAACTCCTTCGCGCGAATTCGTCGCTCAGCTCTGGCACGTCAACAGAAACTAGCCAAGATGCATGCAAGAGAATAAAAAAAACGCTCACCCCTTCGTACGACCTCCGTAATACGCTCGCTACAAGGCTCGCAGACGTTTCGACTTTACTAAACGTAATAAATAGCCTAAGACACCCATCTTCCCTTCTGTTAGAGTAACTTCTTTGGATAGCACAAACATATATTACTTTAGACTTCCAAGGTATGCAATATAGAAACAAAAAGACATCTTTACAACTCTGCCAGTCTCTCTCGAGATCAATTCAAAAAAGCCACCTCAGGTAGACCCAAATAGAGAACAGGAAAGGGTATTAACGAAGGACGCTCGCTCGACGATTCTGGGCCATTCCAAGACAAAAAAAAGAAGGGACCTCCCTCATTACACTCGCACAATTTAACATTTACAGTGAAAGAGACTATGTGTAATGAGACTAAAAAAAGAAGGAAGAAGCCCAAATCGATCGAAAGAGGAAGGTGAGGCATTTGTGCACGAGACACCCACCTGGCGACGTCGACGACCAAACGGCACACCGTCGAGAGTGGTGCGACCGTGCCACCGTGCACGCCGAACACGAGCCCTTGCAACGAGCACAAAGGTTCCGAGGTGCACCACGCCGCTGGCCGAAACGACGCCAGGAAAGACGTCGCACCGCAGAGGGAGATCCAGCAATAAGATCCAGACTTTGCTCACTACAAAAGCGACAGGACGAGAAGTGAGATCAATCCACATTGGGCTGTCAGACCGCAGTGGGGCCAACTGTTTGCACGTCTGCGATCCAATTCTTACAAAGCCGCCCGTCTTAAGACGCAATGACTACAGCCAATGCTGGATGTTTGGCCACCACAGAAAGAAACCTGTCCTCCCTTATGTATGTGACAAACAAAAGAAAGAGCACCCGAAGCGGATGGGAGACTGCCAGCTAATGGTAGGCCACACCGATATCACTCAGATCTAAGGAATGGGATCTTCCTACTTGGAGATCCTGCGCAAACGTGATGGGCGGCAGCCACCAAAGCCCAGAATGAGAAATGTATGCGAAGAATGTGAAAAGAGTTCAAAGTAGAATTTTAAATTCCTCCGCAAAGATGAAAGAGCGCCGCTAACAACAAAATGCAAACAAATAAGAAGGAACTTGGAGCATGCCAGAGCCAGCGCAAGCAGCCAGTTCGTTCTCTTCGTAACGCAGATGCGACCGACAAGACTAAACTCGGCGCGCGTGAAAACAACGCTCTCCTTCTTCGACGCCCTGTCTCCAAGGCCGCGAGTGGCTAAAATTTTCCAAAGTAAAGAGCTAAAAGGGGGCTCGGCGCCGCAGCAGCTTCCAAACTGCCGCACCCAAGAGACACACCGGGAAGACCCTTCCCCATCGAACCGACGACAAACCTCAGAACCCTCGGACACACCTAAGAAAAAAAAGACGGGCAGTTCACACCAGTCGGAGAGAAGCAGAAAAGAAGCGAGACCAGGAGCCAAAAAAAAAAAAAGAAAGAAAAACCGGCAGCATACGCACGTCGGCTCACACCGGTCGCACAAACACACACGCACGCACGCACGCACACACTCGGACCGCCGTCACACGGGCGATGCCACCCGCGCCCCGCCCAGCCTCTTCCAGGCCTCGCCCTCGTCCAACCGCTGCCCGCTCGGCACCCTCCGAAACGACGACGACGTCGGCGTTGGGAACGGGTGGAACTTGACGTCCCGCGAACTGCCGATGGTGTGCCGACGTTGGAGCCCCATCGAGGAAAGCGGGCGCCGCCGCGTTGTCGTCGTTGTGGCCGCCGCCAGCACCACTCCGTCGCCGCTGAGCACGGCAGCGACCACTCCGTTCTCCGAGCGTCGCTGCTGCTGACGCAGTACTTCCGCGTCGTCGTCCACTCGGTAGATGGCGTAACGCGACGCCCCATTGAGACAGTGCTTCTTGCAGCGGTACGTGACCGGGGCCGGTTCGCAGGGTGACGCCGGACCAGCCTGCGGGATGTTCTCCTTCTCATGGCGGGAGGTCGTGGCGCGCGACGGCGCCTTTGGTGGGTTTTCGGAGGTCGCCGCTGCGCATGGTGGCGGGGTGTCGCCTCTCCGCGGGGACGCCGCAAACGCCTCACTGGCATTGTCGGCGGGCGAGGACGTCGATCCCGGCGTTGGGTTGGCTGCAAGAGAGCGGTGACGCAGCTCTACATTGGCTGCTTTGTGGGGAAGTTATGACTCTAGAGCTAAAACTGGAGATGCACATAGGCGAGTTAATTCAAAGCATGCGCAGTCTGTGAGTTCACCCGTAGCGCTGCTCTGACACACCAGATGAGAGGATTTACTCTGTAATGCGGGTCGTAAACATGATGTTTCGCATTCATTACCACAGAGCTTATGGGGTACTTAGTGCTTGTGTTGTGCAACCCATTTGCCGAATATTATTTAGCCTTTACTCAGTCAGATCCTTGCAAAGGGCTTAATGAATAGGTAAAGATGTATATATGTAACCAGCTTACTCTAAAATGGTAAATACATTACCAGCAGCTTGACACCAGTTTACGGTGACAGCCTGGCTTAATCGAGAACTCGCTCCAACAAGCCACAACAAACGCGACCAAAGGAGACTGCAAACTAAGTAAGCATCAGTAAAGGTCAGTATAACGCGCAAATGCATCAATAAAAATCCACGCCACTAACTGGAGAAAGTGTCAAAGTCAACTAATGCCAGAGCACACACCATTTAATGTCCAATGAGTGCAACCCCCCTTATCAGAACATGGATGTTATCCAAACCATGCGTTAATGTCAAACATTACTCCACATTTAAGATATCTGAAGTACCAGCCCACTTGCAACACGATAGAAGGAATGAAGTTAGGCCATTTTGTCGTGGAGTCTCGCAACGCTGGCTGGCATTTTGCCGAGACACTAAGAGCAAAGTTTGTCAGCGACACCTCCATTGCAATCCTCCCCGGGAAATCGCATCTTTAGGCCACAGCAACCAGCCTCCACTACTCTCATGCTTCATTAGTATAAGAGCAAAGGTCTATGTTACGGAAAGGTTTCGCTGCACTACAAGTCAAAGCTAACCCTCGCCACACTTAAGTTGGGCATCAGTGGCACGCAGGTGATGGGGGTGAAGTTAGCCACGTCTAGGCGTTCTCATGCCGAGGGTGGTACTGCTACCGCCAATGCAGGACCGATGCTGGCACGTGTGATGCAGCCAGCGCCACCACCCCACGCACCGTTCTTTCACAGGCTGGGCACAAAGGGCCCCCTTCCCTGGCGCTTGGAAAGCAAGGGTGGCGCAGATTCCGGGAAGGGCACTATGGATCCGTAAATTCCGAGCGGCCTCCTTGGCAGCGTCGGCGCGCGGCCTTCGCCGGCGTCAAAGGGCTCTGAGAGAGACGGCAGACCTGGCACTGTCATACGGAGACCGACTCAACTTGCGCAACTCCTGGGCGCAGAAAAAGGACTGCAGACAGTCACTCTGTCGGATCTCTTTTTGACAACGGGTCGTTCCGTCCACGCTATTACGGTTTGGCGACGCTCGCACGGCCAGAAACTGGTCGGGTCAAGCTTCACCAATCGACATCCGTAAGGTTTCGTCCACGCCAGATAGACACAATCCGGCATACTGCGACAGGAGCTCAGAAAACTAGGCGTATGCTAGCAGAGATGACAGGCCAACCGAGGCAAAGACGGCGTGGCGAACCAATACGACTGGTCGATGACATTTTAGAAAAGCTTGACACCTGGAGGTCATTTAAGTAAGGGTTCAATTCATGCAAACGCAATTTAAGCAAACGTTTAAGACCATCTAGATTGTTTACGAGATTATACATGGGACGTCCACACAACAAACTCTGCCCAGGTTTTCACCCACCATATCAAACATCTAATGCGTTTGTAGAGAGAGGGCATGTAAGAAAAGAGAAAAAGAAAACAGAACTAAGGAGAACATAAGAAAAAAAAAAAAGAAAGACGTTTACAACTTCCTGTAACGCCGAATTAGAGTGCAGCTCTTGAGGAGGGGAGGATACTGAGAAGAAGGTATGCCCCTCCTCCTCATCTGTACTGTCTCCTCCTTCCTCCTCCCCCTCTCCTCATCCCTCCTCCTCCTCCTCCCTGCGCGATGCATCATGGGACGTTGCCCATAATGCAATGCGTGACATGTCGTCTCGTCACGTAACCCACGTGACGTCACGAGTTCCGCGCTTTGCATTGTGGGACATTTCCCATAATGCACCGCACGGTTACGCCGATGGCGACGGCGATGCCGCTCAAGCCGGAATCAAGCGCCCAAGAGCTGCGTTCTAAAAAAATAAGCAACAAAAGCCAAGACATCCTAGATAAAGAGCTGCAGTGCTGAACTTTCTATCATGAACCAGAGGAGATGATAGAAGAGACGGACAGAGCATAAATTCTGCGTCAGCGTGTGGCTGGGACTGGTCTCTCCGCCAAATGAACATGACTACACCGACGCAGCACTCCACCTGTGACCTGCATTGTCCTCCGGCAGGTGGTGCACAAGCTCCGGCGCATGAGCAGCGAAGAAGAAACAGGCAGCAAAGTCTCACCTGGGAGGCCGGCGGGCGCAGGGGGCAGCATGGGCAGCGTCCCCTGCTGTCCGAGGTGCGAGAGCAGGAAGGCGGAGGGGTCGTCAGCGAGGAAGTCGAGCAGGTCGTCCTGCTCAAGCTCTTGCTTGGCCCGCTGCCAGTCGCGCTCGATCTGCTCCCGCTTGTGGGCCCCCTCCTGGCCGCTGGGGCAGCCTTGGGGGGGCGGCCAACTGCGCTGCGAGGCCCGCAGCTGGGCACGCGTCTCCGCCTCCAGGAACCGCACCTGGGAAACGACGAACCGTAAAAACCTGCATTTGGCACAAAGTTTTTTTCCGGGCTCTTGCCCATGAACTTTGCGCTTGTATATTATTAGCAAATGCAAACGATTCAAAGATTATGCAAGGTACACAAAAACGAGGGTTCACGCGGTTTCGATTTCCAGCTGTCATCGTCGTCGGCAAATATTGCATTGGCGCCACCACCCAATCCCGATGGCACACAGTACGCAGTCACCACGCAGCCACCGAAGTTTTTTGTCTCCGTGTCTCGACATTGGCGATGTCTCTGGCAGAAGTAGTACTCGGCTGCATTTAAAAGATGGGGTATGTCACGCAGCGACGAAAGTTTACGGTGACCGAAGGCTGCATTCGTGGACGGAGGAGACCGAAATGGGCCCCTTTCGCATGTGAGGGTGCAAAAAAATGTTTCCGGAGGCTGAAGAGAAGAATAGAGGGAAGTTTGCCGAGACTAAACTGACCCGACTCGGTTCGCAAAGGAACAAAGCGCTCTACACCTCGCCGTAAACACAGAGCTGTTGCAGGCAAAGGCTATGAACCTGTGTGTTCCTGAGTCGCATTATGCACAAATCAAACTTTTTTTCTTCTTTTTGCCGGTTTTAGATTGTGTTTTGTATTCTATGCAAGTTCGTATCACATCCAGGTTCTTACGGTACGAATGCGCTAGTTGGGGGGGGGGAAGACGCCCAGGCATCGATATGGCTCATGGGACACCTCTTCGACCGGTGCGTTTACTGCATCCTAAAAAGTGGTCCCTCGATTTCTGCTCGGCCCCCACGGCATCATTGGTTGCAGCCTCGGGACCACTTTGGATGCACGGGTGGGATAGGACACCAAACGCACCAGTCAGGAACGCGTGCCAGGCGCCGTACCGTAGGACCACACTCCGTCCAAAGGGCGGGCAGATCGCAAACGAGGGTCACATTCCGTGCAAAGGGCAGGCAGACAGCAAACGGAGCCTATGAGCCATGAACGACGGATGGAAGAGGCGATTATAAGCCAGAAACCGGAAAGGAAACCTTTCCCTCACCTTCTGCTGGGCCAGGGCGCTAAGCTGTCCGTAGGTGCGCGGGGAGGCGCTACCGCTCGCCAAGGATGACACCGTCAGGTCCCTGCGGAAATGTAAAGGAGCACCTCGGACCGACGTTTGGAGGTACCGGTCGACGGAAGCCTTAAACAAAGCAGTCTCATTGTGGCAGGCACCCCGGATGTCAGCTAAGACCATGCGACGAAAGAACTAGACAAATCCTGCGACGTGACACAAATCAAATAAGAACGCTTTGCATTTTCCACTTTAGCTCACCTCATCCTTCGTTCCCCCCTCACCTCCAGGCAGCAGCTCCTAGGCTCCGTTCGCCCCTCGGCAGACAGGGCGGCGGAAGCTACACACTTGCTGGACCACTCGTCCGTCCATCCTTCCCCACAAGATCACGCTCTAGCCCATACGCGTGAGCAGAGAGCAGGGTCAAGCGATGAAAGGGAGACTGTTGCTCGGTCTGGTGAACGTGTAGCTCCTGCCACCCTGTCACCAATATTGAGGTCACAGTGCCAGACTTTTTCGAATCACCTACCGGAAACCCGGTGCACGGCCCGATTGGACACAGGTGTCGCCTCCACACCCTTCTGCGCTGAATGCGAGTGTTGCCTCAACACGCTTCTACGCCGAACATGAGTGTTGCTTCGACACCCTTGCTATTTGGGCGGGGGAGGGTGTTGTTCAGCGGTGGGCACTCACTCGGAGCAGACGGAGGGTGTTTGGGGAGGAGAGCCCAGGGTTCGGGTGGGCGACGGCGGGTAGCTGCAGCTGGTGGCCCCCTCGGGCAGCGCCATGGCGACCAGCACGCTGCCGTTGCCCGTCGGGCTCGCCGCCTTGGGCCCCTCCTCACCTCCCTTGCCCTCGAAGGCCATGATCTTGTCCTTGACCCGCGAGCCCGGTTTGAGCACCGCCCCCTCCGTCGTCAGGGACATCTTGCGCTGGCGCAGCTTGCGGTTGGCCGCGCTCACCAGCGAGGACACCAGGTCTCGCGTGCACACCTCCTGGCCGGACCCTGCGTGGTGGCGAGAGCCCCTCGAGAAACCGCGGAAGGCCGAAAAGCCAGAATCCTCGCGGAAAAACATCTGTTTGGTGGCGCCAGTTTTCTGAGGGAAAATTTTCGCTCTATCGATACTTAAAACGCATTCAGTATTACGAGGGTGCTTCCACTTTGCTTCGCTCCGGGGCGGACTTGCCAAAGGGCACAGTAGGCGGCTGCCTAGAGAATTTGGGGAGACGGCAAATTTCGAAGGACGGCCACGGTGGCATCGACCCTTTTCAAGCAAACCTGTGGACGCGGCACGTACGAGCCAGAATCCTCTCTAGAACGTCCTCGAAAAGTTGGCTGCAGGGGAGCTACGTGTCCTGTAACACTGCTTTATGGCACAGACTATTTGAGTAAGCTCCACAGTATCTTGACAACAGCTGCAAAGGACTGTCTGGCTTTGGAAGGTAGGTTTGAACAGACTGGAAACCATACTTCCAGTTTGTGACCCAGTTTATCAAATTCTGATTCATGCAATTCTAATATACACCTTGGCAACTTCACTTGTATTGCATACAAGACTGCAGTCGCAGTCTGTAATATAAATACTAACTGCAATTTAATTTTGAAAATTTTACTGCGGCGGGAGGGCCGTTTTAAAACTTCCTGGGGCGGCAAAACGCTAAGTCCGTCTCTCGCATCACTATAGTATTCACATCTTAGCAACAAAGATGTTCTACTGTATCGAGCTCTGTAGGCCTTTAAAAGGATGTTTTTCCCTTCAACCGTGGGTTGTGTGATCACGTTCGATGAACACTAGGCTATTAACACGGTCTCAGTCAAGGTGCCCTTGAGTCTAGCTTGGCTACGCCGAGGACAACGGGCAAGAGAGTTCTACTCTGCACGGGTTCCCACCCCAGGAGTAGGACGAGAGGGCTGGAGCTCTGCATACCCTGTCCGCCGGTGCCAACCTTGTGCAGATTGTCAATGAGCACCGAGGAGTCCGTGTCCGAGAGGGGAAGGGCCACCACGTCCAGGGGCAGTTCCGGCACCGAAGACAGGCCGTCCTCTCCTTCCAAATCGCCAAACACGTAGTCTGCCTGTGGGGCCACGCAGTGGGGAGAGCGGACTAGTGACAAGAACGCCAAAGGGAAACGTCCCGTCGGCGTTTCTTAGGGCACAGTGCCAACCACATCTCACCTATGCAGCTCCGTAGCTATAACAGACAATACTACAAGCCCATAGAATAGGAAGACCGTCCCAGTTGACCGAGTGCGAGACACAGAGTGACAAAAAGCGACTCACATAGTTGATGAGGGCCTCTGTGATATGGCACTGGTGGGACATGTCGGTGATCATGGTGAGCATGCTGTTGTCTGCCGTCCGGACAAGCGTGGGTCCAAACACGATTGCCAGGTTGCGGGCCTCCATCTAATAAAATGAGGCGAGAATTAAGAATGTTTCATAACATAATGAGTGCTACAGAGCACCTTGTGAAATAACACAACTAAATCCTAAAAGTCCTTTCACATGGAGGAAACACGGCGGTGACACCAACACAACAGGTTTGTCAACAGTCGGGCAACTTGATTCTTGATCACTCTGCTGCCCGACAAACCTGTTGCATTGCAGAAACGTCAGCACAACACAGGCCACATAGACAATGTTGTCTTGGTGTAACAGCTTTCGGCAACAGAAACAGCAGTTGGACGACGCGCGTTGCCTGGATGGGTGGATGAACGAATTTTGTACTAACAAAGATAGCTTCGACAGTAGAGTGCTTGATCAGTAGCATATGTGTTTTCTAAGAATTGACCCCGGTGAAGGCCTGGCAAATGCTATTTGACAATATTCGAGGCTGGGTTATGGAAAGCGATTGCCAAAAAGGCCACAGCTACAATCGTGAACATTCAAATGGACGTTGATATTAAAACTGCCAGCAGAGCAGTTAATAATATTGCAAGAATAATAAAAAAAAATGTGCCTAGTCACTCATTAAAACAAAATTGCCCCTGTGCTGTACCAGCATGGCAAAAACAGTAGTAACACAGACTGTAATGTAGTAGCCTAGAGAAACTGGGTGCAAGTATGGAGGCTGGATGGCACAAATGGCATCCGGGTCAGCTTTACCAAAATCACTGGACGTGGCTTTGCTGGTTTCCCCGGGCAGCGTCGTGCCTGCTGCATTTTTATCCAAGCAGAGCAACACCTGCCTGGCTAAGGTGGGCGTGCGATTGTTGGCTGCCTGTTGGCAGTTTTGGAAGTGTGAAGGGCTGGCAGAAGATTTTTTTTCATGTGCACGCGTCATATGAAGAGGAATCCTGTGCCGCCACGAGATTCCAGCCTTTTCTTTAGAGCCTCATCCTCTCATTTGAGGACCTGCGAGCACCCCTCAAATGAATGTGTCGACGACTGACCTCACAGCGTTCCGTCTTACACGGCAAGTGCGTGAGCGCTATACCGTGGATGTCTTAACCCCTTGCCTACTCACTTTTTACAGCGGAGCTGTTAAGGGCTGGTTTCCCCAGGATCGTGTCCCCCGCAAAGAAATGTCGACACAAAACTCTGGACAGCTACCGCCATCTATGAGCGACGGCGGCAACCAGACAACTCGCTTGCCGGCCTTGCTCAAAAATGGCTGCAACCTTTCCAGCCTTTCCACTCTGGTTTTCACCAGAGTGGAAAGGCTGAATTTTACTAGGCGTCGTCCTAGAAGTCGTCCTTGAGGTTGTCCTCGAGGTCGTCCTAGAAGTTGTCCTTGAGGTCGTCCTTGAGGTCGTCCTTGTTGTTGTCCAAGAGGTTGTCCTCGAGGTCGTCCTAGAAGCCATCCTTGAGGCCGTCCTAGACGTCGTCCTCGAGGTCGTCCTAGACGTTGTCTTCGAAATCGTCCTAAAAGTCATCCTTGAGGTCGTTTTAGACGTTATCCTTGAGGTCGTCCTTAGGCGTCATCCTTGAGGTCGTCCAAGTCGTCGTCCTTGAGGTCGTCTGACTATAGTACAGCTTCGCTGGTCTTCCTTCTTCACCAGGGTGGAAAAGCTGAAAGTTTTTTGTTCTGACCTTTGTTCATACGCGGCACAGCGTTGCTGGAAATCTGCTTGTACAGAGTGCCAGTGCGTTCAAATTACCGAAGCCTACCACAGAATGACACCCCCCCCCCCCCCCCGATTGTTTCTTCGAAAAATGCATAGCAAAACTTTATTTTAAACAAACAATTCGCATCAAAATAAAACAAAAACATTTCCCTGATTTCCAGGTATGGTATTTATTTTGCTCTAAATCAGCACCTTTGGTCTTGTGGACCGCTTCAGTAGTTCTGCTAAAAACATTCAGGAAGGTGGAAAGCCACCTTGCACTGTCCACATTTTCCCATTCTTTCACTCTATTTCCTCTCGGCGGTGAATACTTTGCATGCCCGCGTCCGGTTCTTCTCAGTGGGTGTGGTGTCAGATGTGCCCGAGCATTCATCACTTTAGAAAGTAAGCTTTTCTACCTAGGTATTTGTTTGCTAAAATGAACTTCCACGCCGAAGCCATATTGTTTTAACACAAACTCTTACAAGCGAAAACAATTTTTTTTTTTCCTTGGCTGAATGGAGCGTTTTTTTTCTCATCAAACAGCAAAGCAAACGAGCAAACAACTTAAAGTAAGTGGAACAAGAGGGGTGGTTCTGACATCCGCAGGACAGCACTCTAAACAAGTGGCGAAACCGAAACAGGAGTCCCATTAGTGGTTGATTAAGATCCGTAAAGGGTGGCACGAGTGACGCTCATTATTCGTAAGCAAGGGGTTGGTTAATTGTGGGTGTCATCCTCTGCGGTGGACCCGTCGATGCAAAGTTCTCAGAGCCTGTTAGAACGTGAGACACAGTAGACTGAGCGTGCGGAAAGCAAAAACAATGGGAACGCGTCACCGACGTAGTGTGCCTAGGTTGCAGAGTGCTTCCAACTGCCCTATCGAGGTCGCGTGGTTTATGGGCCGCGTTTGCGATACAGTGCGAGGTGGTGACAAAAGCGTCGATCTTGTTGATTAATGATAGCCAGACGCTTGAGCAATTTGGATAAATTTGCCTAGGGGCTTCAGGAGGTATCCGCCTCTAAATTGCAAACTTTCTCAAGTTTCAGTCGCTCCTCCTCCTAGTTCTCTGCACTCTACAGCGCCAAGTGGGACAGCTCGCAAACGGAGCAAGCCTAATGTAGAGTATGTGTTTTGTTTCTTTTTCCTCTGCTTTCCTGTTGCTTTTTCTCATGCTTTCTCTGGAGAAGCCTGGAGCGTGCTCGCTTGATGGAGCAGAGCGCCACCGTACGACTGATTGCACAATAATTTACCCCCGCAGGGAGTAACACGGAGAAACTCCAGGAAGATGGTCGGCTGGCACTGGTGTCCAATCAGTGGAAAGACGAGCGCTGTGTCTACGTTAGGCTGGCAGTCATCGGCCTGTTGACTTCCGTTGCCGGCACCTAACCAAACATGGTTTGGTGCCAGCCATATGACACACTCTGTGTTAGAAGTCTAATAAAAATCATCCATGAACGCAAGCGAAATGCCGTAGCATAAAAACAACCACTGCCGATCATGAATGTTGATACCTTGGCCCTGAAAACGGCTACTGCTGGTGACCTAAGAGTAATCTCGGGACGTTTTGAAGAATGAGGCGACCACGAAGCATGCAGGAGAGGCAAATAGATAGCATTGAAAAATATTTATTCCTTCGATCGTGGTGACGACCGAACCGTCTCGATGTCACAGTTTTCACGTCAGCTCAGCCGAGCCCCACATTACATAAAACACTTTGGCGTACAACCGGTACTAACCACTTTTAACCAGAAATGAGAACTGCATGGAAAGCAGAACCACTCTGTATGGCGGCATAAGTCATAAAAATAGCAGCGACCTTATTTCCCCCGTTAGAAATAGCTGGTTCATCAACGACTGAAAAGTGTTCCAATAAAAAAGAAGAATGAAAAGTACATTTTAGGTTGATATTTCCAATCACTCGGGGAAGATGTCGTTCTGTGGTAGGCTCTGGTAATTTAAACACACTGGCACTCTGTACAAGCAGATTTCCAGCAATGCTGCACCGTACACGAAAAGATCGATCTCACAGACAGTTTCATTGTGCCACTGCTGCCGCCATGCATCGTGGGAACTGTAGTTTTTCTGCCTGCGCGACAACCCCGCTGGGGGTTTGCGCGAGCAAATCACAAGGTTGCACAACCTGGCTTATGAACTGGCACCTGCCTCCTATGAACTACAGTTATGGCGGTGTCATGCATGCATGGAATGCCTAGTGAGATCGGTCTATTGGCAAAGATAGTTGCAGGGCGACAAAAACATGTTTCCCGACAGTTGCTGTTGCCTCAATGTGACAGAGCCGCCGGAAGCATGTTTCCCTCATGTTGACGGACAAAGGTGTTTAACTGTATCCTCGATGTGACAGCACCTTAAGTGCTGGGCGCACAGTCAATAGCCCCATAGAATGAAGTCATTGATCAAAGAAATTAAGACATGGCAGCAAGTTTGGCTCATTGTATCGGTACAGTCGAACCCCGCTTCAACGAAATTTCCGGTTCAACGAATATTTTTCGGTTCCCCGTCAACGGTCCATAAAAACGGTCCAATGCATAAAACTTCTCACTACAGCGTCCACCGTTTCTTGTGCTGTTCCGCTTGAACGAAATTTTACAGAGCAATTCGAAGTTTGAAAGTTTTATTTCTCGTGCGAAAAGCAAACTTTCGAGCACATTGACACATAAAATATGTCTATTATAAAGTTTGGATTGCGTGTTGAACCACCAGAAACAGACACTAATAAATAACATGAACCCGAGCGCAACATTGACCAGGCGTGCAGGCTGCCATTACCCAATGGCGACGGCGATGAGGTTGGCCTTTCCGGCCTTCCTTCGCTGTTGCACCGATGTTGGTTGCATATTAGCTCTTGTCTTGATAATCCTCTGGTACAGACTATCCAAAGCCGAAGCTCAGTCATCTTTTTTGTTTTGTCATCCGTCCTTTTCTAAGTACAGTATGTGGGCTTTTTGGACATGGCATCGCCAAGCAAAACGCGGAAGTTTTTATCTTTAGAACATAAAGATTGCATCCTGGCTGAAGTTGCAAGTGGACAGAAGAAAGCTGTCATTGCAGAAAAGTTTGGAATTTGTCCGAGTTCTTTGTCGACGATTTTTAAGTCGAAAGATGCTACCAAAATGCTCTTGCATAGGGGACATCGGCCAAGCGAAAGAAACTGACATCGTCGGCGCACGAAGAGCTCTGCAAGGCTATGTACACATGGTTTTTGTGAATTTCACGACAACAACATTTTCGCTACAACGAATTTTTTCTCACGCACCGTCAATTTCGTTGTAGCAGGGTTCGACTGTATTCAACTATTCATGTGTGTCACCTTCTTTCGTCCACGGCTTGACAAAACCATTCAAAGAACAAAACTTGCATTTCCAAACAAGGGAATTCGACAAACTTCCAAAATTCAACGGTCGTTACAGGAGGAGCTGACCAGAAATGCCGCAAGGTGGCATTCACTCAAAGTTCTACGTGCACATTGCCTAAACTTGACCGAATGCTTACTTACGAAAGAAAACAAATTTCTGAGGAGAACGCTACGAAAGTTACGTTGGCACGCCTTAATGCAAAGGGTGGAGCAAGCTTAGCCGGTCCTTCAAGCTACTCAAAAAAAAGCTCACATGCTTCGAGTTCGGATGGAGTGTTTACCTTGTTTGTCGTGCTGTGAGCCACCACCTTCTTGAGATGCTGCATTAGGAACTTGAGTGTTTCAAAGTTGTGGATCGGCAGTTCGTGAACCTGCGAGAGGACGAAAAGGAAACAAAGATCGAAGCAGCTTAGACATTAGAGAAATTCCTCTAGAGTCTAGTTAAATAAATATTCTAAAAAAGAACAGTTAAAAAGCGAGGACCCAACACACAATCCTCGCAAAGCGCGAGATGGTTCGAGTTGAACCCAGGCGGAATGTTTCATTCCGGCAACACTTCTGGGGCAGGCATCTGGTCAATACCACCTATTATGTTAATGAATCATGTTGATGTTCACACATTATGCAAATGAATTTGTAACCCACGCCGAGCGGCAAGCACACCGAAGCCAGACAAAAGGCTGCGCCGAGGCGGCGGGCGTGCGCGTCTCGGTGCCGCCGCACGCTAGCATCGCTCTCATTGTGAAACGCCGCTGATGCCTCGGAAGCTGCACTCACGGCGACGCACACACAAACTAGGCAGTTCTATGTGAACCAGCTAGACTCTGTTTCGGCACAACTTTGCAAAGAGCGAAAGCCACGGTCCCCTCGAGCCAGTCGGAACGACAGAGCGAGGCACTTTTTGGCTCTCCGCGGGAGGAATGGGCTCTAATGATCTGTCGTCGCGTGCCTCGCTTCGACGCTCCGATTGGCTTTCCGGGGTCGTACTCGTTGCCCTCTGCCGAGTTACAGTAATAAAAGGTATAGTAACAAAGTCACAGTCGCTGACGAGATGAAACGGCAGAGATTCTAACGGCCGATCTCCGGTATGCGCTCGTTGCCTTTCACCGTGCTTTGACTACATGTGCACGCTCGAGGTTTTTGAGACGCCCGAGCCTTTGTCGGAGTTGGGATGTTCCCGTTGGAGGCGGGACAAACGTAACTCCATCCCGCTGGTGGACACGGAGGTGAAAAGGTTTAACGTTCGTCTTCCAGGGAGCATTGATCCAGCAACACCCCGCGACGGAGATGCGCGAGTTCGGAGCGACCGCGAGAGAGACGGAAGCCACAAAACAAGAGAAAGAGAGAAAGACTGAAACCCACCAGTGCCCTGAGGGCGGCCAGCCGCTGGGCCCCCTGGGTGCCCCTGGCGGCGGCGATGAAGCGGGCGTACCTGCCGGCCAGGGGGTCCGGCAGCTGGCGGAAGAAGGCCTTGAGCAGGCTGGAGACCACATGTACGTCCCCCCAGCGGGGGTCCCCCAGGTCCAGCTGGTCAAGTCCCCCGTTGGCTGCCGCCGAGAGGGCCGCTACCGCCGCGCTGTTGCCCGGGATCCGGTACACGCCCACCGTCTCCAGGCCCTTGGCCTCCACCACCCGCGTGCACAGGGACACCAGCCAGGGCACGTACTGGGGCGCAGAGTGGGAGGGAACAACCAATGGGGGCGGTCACTCCCGTCCGACAGGTGAGAAGCACCACATCGACTTCCTTACGGTCCAGAATTTTATGTTTTTTGACCCCCCCCCCCCTCCCCCCCCCCCCCAAAAAAAAGAAAACAATTACCGTATTTTCGTGATTCTAAGCACCCCCCCTCTATTTTCGCGAAGAAATTGGGAAAAAATTTTGCATGCGAATCTAAACGCCCCCCTATGCAGAGGCGCGTGGGCTCATGACGCCCGCGCGCCTCTCCAGTCCGGCTGTGCTAGCCGTGCTCACCGTTGCTGCGTTCCTACACTACACGACAGATGGCAGCACAGAACGTCAAAAACCGGTTGAAAGCAACCCTAATAACACTATCAGCATGTTGTCACGTGGGCCTGGTATCGGCAGCGCTTGGCAGTTTCACTTTCGTGGACATCGCGGGTGGGCGTTGCTTTGTTTGGTGTCAGTTGTTTGACAGCCCTAACGAAGTGATGAGTTCGAAGAGGGCTGCCTACAGCTCGAAGTCCAAGCGATGGTTCAAGCAAATGTTATCTCTCGCACCCGTCTCGTCGTCATGTCGCAGTGAAAAGGGGGGGGGGGGGTCATTCTAGATTTTTCGAATCTAAACACACCCCCCCCCCCCCCTTTGGGCATCGCAATCGGGAAAAAAAGGGGGTGCACAGAATCGAGTAAATACAATAACATAATATTTTTGTTCCGAAAAATAATTGAACAGAGCCATGAATGCGGCGTGCATTTCTCTCTCCACCTTTTTCTCTCGTGCCCCTTCTCAAAGCCCGAAAACGCACATCTATATGGGCAATAATGTGAATGTGACAGTTGAGAAACCATACTAACCGAGAATGTACCGACAAAGTTCTACTGTATTGCTTCGTTACCAATAGCAGCAACTGTTTTGAGTACATGTAGCGAGGCTACTTCCATTTATGCCCCTAATGGCTGCACTCAACTATCCCTTGTATTGGTGACATTTTACCGCTATTACAGACTAAGCAACAGTGTCCCAAATAGCGCAGCCAGAATGATATTCCAAGCGAAAACCTTTCGTCTGTTGCAAACTCCAAGGTGCTTTTGAGAGTCGACAGCATTGAGCTCCAAGCCTAACTGCATGTCTCAATTCGCAGAAATGTGCATTTTAGTGTTTCGTCCGCATGCAACCGGGAATAGGGACCCACCTGGTTGTCCAGGGAAGGAGGGCACTCGTGCAGGGGAACCCCGATGCTGTGTCCCTTGGGTGGCAGGGATGCCAGGGAGCCGTGCAGCCTCTTCCAGCTGTGCACCACCTTGCCCCGCCACATGTGCACCGCCTTCAAGGAGGGCTCGTCTGCATTACCAAGAAAGGCGCCACGCCGTGCCGCCGTTAGGAACCGAGGCGGACCAAACCGCAATAAGACACTCTTCGTTGCCGTAAGGCTTCGGCAAGAACCCTCGCCGCAACCTCAATCGCAGTGATGCTCTTCTTAGGGCTAGAACTTTTGAACTCTTGACATCTTATACCAACTGCTAGAGTCAGTCTAAGCATTCGGCATAACATAGCCTATTTTTGCACCATGAAAAAAAATAGCTTTGCCCCAATAAACAAGTGGGACATGGCTCTATTCTCCTCTCGCCCCTAAACTCCAGTGTTGGGTAAAGTACAAAGTATGTACATCAAGTAAAGTAGTAAGTACACCAGTGCAATGCACTTGAAGTAAAGTACTATAAATTAGGGGTGTGCAAATACTCAAATTGAATTCGAATTGGATAGAAAGTTCCCAAATAATTTGACTCACGAATCGAATTCCTAGTATTCGGTCACTCGAATATTCAATATATTCAACCAAAGAAGCGTGGTCGGCGCGAAGCTGACAAAAAAGCCGTTTTTTTCTCCCGATGTAAGCACAGTGATGTTAGACCATGCGACAAACACCTCTTGGTACTACCATTCCACAAAAATCTAACTCACAGGTTAGAAAAAAGAAAAGTAACTAATGTAGATTTACTCACGATCGTGACACAATCTTCCCTTGAATCACAACCGAAACATCCAGTTTGCGCCACTTCCAGAGAGGAATTGTTGGGAAGCCGGAATTCCGCGCCATGCCTAATTCTTTTCATGTGTAAAGCCCCTCGTTTCAAATTGAAGCGCCGATGTAAAACACACTTGCCGCACTCACAGAAATCGGCGACTGCACGATCACAGAAAGAAAACCATGTTAACCCCGCCGATAAAACCAGCAGAGTTATCGTTGCCATTCTTTTGGAACCGCAAGCCGCAAATTCTGATTCGAAACTGAACGGAAAAATAGTGTGCCTAGATTTGAGAGGGTTTCCAACCATTCGATAGCCGCGTTTGAATTACGAACTGTGAGAAGGTGACGAAAAGACGAAAGCGTTGATCGGGATCGGGCAGGCAGGGCGGGCGTCGTCGCTCTTCTGTTCGCTCGCCTTCTTTCCACGCAACAACACAACACATGAGCACTTATGACCAATCTGCGCTGGAGCCGTCTGCGTGGTTTGAGTTTCGCTTGCTCCCTCTTTTAAATCAAGGTTTTTTAAAACAGGATAGATGGATGGAAAAATGGATGCATAGCGGCAGTTGGACAGGTGACTTGTGCCCCCAACCACGTTTTTTTTTTTCTTACTTTATATTATATTGTTTAAGCCTGTTTACTCAGATTTAACACCTATCTGTTTATTTATGTGAAACAAAATCCCTGGTGCCCTTTTTTTTCCTTAAAATGGAGACCAAATATCGCAAAATGCCCCTTTTCGCGGTGTTAGGTTGTGCTTTTAACGAGAAAAAAAGGCAAGCTTGGCTGTAACTTTTTTTTTTTTTTGTCAAGTTTAGGGTAGATAGATTATGTTCATTCCATAAAGTTGGATCTTCAGTGCCGAACGTCCAACAGCATCTGTTTTTTTTTTTTTTTCACCTGAACTTTTTTACATTTTAGCTTTTGTTTTGTACAAGATGCATATTCTGCACCAGGCGTATACTCTGCATATATAATAATCTTATTCGCAGCACACTTTGAAAAATCCTACAAATAAGAGCACTATTCAATATTCATTTTTTTTTTTTTTTTTCTTGATTCGATTCGGTATTCGATTCGAAAACTACTATTCGGTATTCGCACACCCCTACTATAAATACAATGTACTTTCAAAATAAAGTACAAGTTTTTTCATTCCCTTAAAGGGGCCCTGCAAGGGCCCCTTTAAAGGGAATCAACTGATCCTGAGCACACTGCACTGATCCTGAGCACGCTTTATTTTCAAAGCTATAGGCAAATTAAAATTACAAAAACAAGCAAAAAATAACCTCCTTCATGATGCCCTTGGTTGCTTGAGTGGCTGTGAACTAGAGGAGGGGTAGTGAGCTCAGCGAGCGGTCATGGCTGCCGCACTCCGTGTTGACAGCTCGAGAGGGCGCCACTAAAGCATGTTCTGGTTAGGCTGTATGAAGCGGGCAGCCAGGGCGGTTCGCATTGCATTTGCTGCGCGATTAAACACTAATTCAACATGACACTTCATTGGCCACAAACGACAGCAAACACGGGGTAGAGATCAGTTCAGAACGGGAGCCACTTCGTGCTGCCATACCTGCCAAAAGGCTAAACCGCAAGCCAAAGCTGCTCGCCGAAGGCTTTGGGAATGCTTGGAACCGGTCGGATCCTCCAGTCCATACGACCGCAGCGCCGCCGCGTACATCCAGGACCTTTCTACGTTCGCCGTTCGTTCGTACCTGATCCCACTACAGTCGCCGACCGATTATTTAGACTCCGATAATTCGGACCTGTTTGATATTTCGGACCTAAACGAGGAACTGCGACTTACCCCATAGAAATAGTGCATATTCACGACCAATGTTTCAGACAGCTTGAAGTCCGAAAGTTTGATTATTCGGACAAAATTGTGGCGAGTGATCAGCGGGAAATGCCACCGAGACGCGGCCATTTTGAATTCTATGTTGGCTTCACATGGATTGGGTTGGTTCGGCAGCGATACTTGAGTACTCCCGAGTCCTACCGCTAGGTGACGCTATGCTAGCCCTTTTTTCCATTTAAAGGGACAATGAAGGCAATTTCGGAGATCTTTTTGGTGATTGAACTGGGTTCCAGGCACGTCTCAGGCCACGTTGCCCAAATTTCAGCCGAAACCGGCGCTTGTGTGCCGCGCAAATCAATTAAACAGTCGCGGTAATAATCATACCGGGATCGACTGGGGCGACGCCCCAAGAGTTGCGGGAAAAGCCAGGAGAAGCGGAGCTCACGTGACCGATGCGGGGCCAAGGAGCGCGACGTCACAAGAGACGCGTCAGCGATTGGTCGAAACGAGAAACGTGCCCTAGGTCACGTTTTGGTTCTCGATTTTTAGAAATACTGTTCTAATTTCCGCTTGAATAACCATCAAAAGTATAAATCAGATCGGAAATGATTACTAAACCGTAAATAAAGCAGCATCATTGTTTTTTTCTTCGCTACGCCGGACGCGAAACCGGCAACGAGCAACTATGGGCCAACAAAATAAAATTAAAAAAGAACACGGTACTTGAAGGATTTTGCAAAATGGTAGCTGTAGATGGCTGTTCTAACGGTCGACTGAAGACCAGTATTCGTTCGGGCGACGCTAGTTTTCACGTGTGGGCTGCTGTTCGTGTTCTTTGACGACGAAAGGAGGAAGTCCGCGGAGAAACCGGATCCCGGAACGCTGCCGCTTTCCCTTCGGCATCTCCCCCGCGTCCGTCTTTCGGCATGCGGACCGCTCGTTGCCGGCTGGGCGGTCTCCGTCGGGTGATGGCAGAGGCCGCCACACAGGTACTCCCGTTCCGTTGGTGTTTGGTCACTGAACAGAAGCTCAAACTCGCTCGCGAGAGCAGCATTCGTCCATGTTGACAGAGTCGGCGCAACGACCGCGCCACGGCGCCACCGCGCTGTAACCAGAGTCTCGATCTCCTAAATACTACCAATACCGACTATTCACACTTGACGTCACTCCCTACGTCACCTCCGTTTTCGGAGGCCCAGAAACGAGACTGGAGATGGTTCAGTTTCGGTTTCTTTACTTCTTTCGTAGGCACATAAATACGCATCATAAATGTCTACGAAAAATTGGGCGGCATGCTATGTTCCCAAGAAGCATTAAAACACCATTTAAAAAAATTAAATAAAATCGTCTTCATTGTCCCTTTAACTGCACGTCATCATCATCATCATTATTTTTTTGTTTTTGTTTTGTTTTCTTCCATTGTTTCTTCGCGCCTCCGCCCCACTTTCACGTCGCCAGTCGCCATTTTGTGCTCTTGGATTGGCGCCTCATCTCGTTCTGACAACGCTGGCTTGGATGTCTGCTCTTGGATTGGCGCCCCATCTGTTCTTCTGCCGCTGCGATCTGTCGTTAAGAAGCGTAGAAAGTACTCAACCATAACGCTAGAAAAGAAGGCAGCGATTCTCAAGCTAACAAAAAGCTGCCGACCGCAAACGGAGGCGTAACCTGAAGCAAGGCACTATTTACGGCTTTTTTAAGCCCATTCAGAAGTAACAAAGGCAACTTTTTCAATCTGCCGATTTTTCGAACTGCTCTATTATTCGGACGTTTTTTCGGTCCCTGCGAAGCCCAAATAATCGGTCGGCGACTGTACCCCTTTCTCGTATGCGCCACCTTTTCCACCGCTTGGTGGCGAGTTTGTCGATGGGTCATATCTTGTTTCCGTACTTTCTAAACTGCATTTGTTTCTTTTCTCTTTCGCAGTATCTTACCGTAAACTGTGGCGGCAAACGAAGAGGCTTCCGCGGGATAGGTGGGGATGCCTTCCGGAGTTGGAGGTCAGGCTAGCAACGCACGCCGCAAAAGTGCGCAATCAGACCCTACCCGTGACGTGCAATGCGATCACCGAGCAAGCGCGGAAGGTGCGGTTGATGCTGTCATTTGCAAAGTGCGAGAATTCAATGAACCATGCCGACAACGTGTTTCAAGAACGTAGCAGAGATGACAACGGGACTGACATCATCAGTGCGGACGAGTCAGTCTAGTCGCGGACAGAGTAAGAACGACAGGGAACAGCTTCAGTTGTCCCGCCTCCAGCGTGAACTTCCTAGCTCCGATAACACCTCGGCATCTCATGCACCTTGCACGTGCATGCGCAGCCAAAACACGCCACAAGGCATTGATTGCATGCTGGAGGTTGGGCTTTCGAAAAAAGTACTTTGCTATTCTCACGTGTTTGCAGTAAAATGCGCATCTAAAAATCTTCTTCTTTTTTGCAATGTGGGCGGGTCGACTTACAATCGAGTCAACTTACAATCATGTAAATACGGCAATCTCTTGCCACAATGGGACCACTTTCGAAGTGTGGGAATAAATGCACCGGTCAAAGGGGCACTCCAGGTACCGTAGATCAAACGCGGCACGAAAATGTTTGCCCGTTGGCGATCGTGAAGTGTGCAACATAAGCGTGTCGTTGTCGGGCAGAAGCCGAGGGACCGCCGACGAAGAAGTAATAAACCCGGCAGGCGGCAACGCGTCCTAGGATCTCCATTGCGCCGGGACCCACCTCCGAGGGAGGCCCTCCGGGACTTGACCCTGGGCGACCCGCTGTTGGGGGACCTGTGCCTGAATGCCAGCTTCTTGACCGGCCGCACCACGGGCATGGGCGACAGGCGCCCCTGGCCGGCCGAGGAGCCCTGCTCAAAGGCCGCCGCCTTCTCCAGGACGCTGCGGTCGCTCAGGATGTCCTCCACCTGTGAAACGTCAGAAAAAGCGTGGCGAGGAAGACGTTCGGCCTGGAGGAAAAACACTGCATGCCGGCCTTTACACAAGGATTCACAATGCAGACTCGAGAATTAGGAGCTCCGTTCGCCACTTTGGCCAGTTACGATGCAGACCAACATTGTGTGACGTGCAATTGTATAACGGAAACCAATACTGAATGATCAATGTTAAAACATGCCAGATTAACGGTCGTTAAGTACTCGCCAAACTGAGCCTCCTTTCACGCAACAAGGATGTAAGAAGCCATTTTAAAGCGAAGCTACTCCCCATCAACAAATCTGGTTTTAACACGAGGTAACACAAAACCTGACACAAACTTTTTGTTGATTGTTTTTTTAATGGTAGTGGTGTCAAGTAAGAAGGTCTGGTACTATGTAAAGTACCTTGAAAAATGTTTGTGCTTGTTTTACAAATACGGTCACGTTTTATTAATATGAATGCCCTGCTATACAGACAAAACTTTCCGAGAACAAACTTGCTAGATATGTTCATCTTGCTCTCGTTATTACGGACAACTCATGTTACATACAATTTTTTGGGAGTAACAAAGGTGCCCAGATTAAACGGACACAACCGTAGTGACTAATGTGCCAATGGACATGGTGCATGCCTCGCACACCCCTGATCAGCAAACGGCGGTGCAGCACTCGCTTGTGCCACGCGTCACGCTCGTTCGCACAACGATGGTTGTCTGTAGAGTAAGCTCTAATTAATTCAAACTCCAGGAAGCCGAGAATTTTGTCTGAAATATCAAAAATTCATCTAAATATGAGGCAAGATAACATTATGATTTGCCATGTGGATGGCTACATATATAAAGCAGGTATTTTATTATTTCTTCTGCACAGACCTGCTAATCATAAGCAGGTACTCCACACATGAAACATTTGTGAAACATACAGTCGAGCCCGGTTATATCACACCCGGGTATTTCGAATTATTGCTTATATCGAACAGTCCAAACATCCCCTTGAAAATCACATGTAATAGTATAGGAGCGTTGTCTTTTTGTATCGAACACGGAGGGGACACTCGATATACAGTCAAACCCATTTATTACGAACAGCAGAAAACACTACGATCAGTTCGATATAGCAAGTAGTTCGAAATAGCAAAAACCCTTTACAACGAACTTCCACGATGCATTCGTTGTAAGGCGAGAGCTTCTCTCTCCTTCTCATCTATTCACTTCCGTCTTGTAACACCGCTCTAAAACATTTTTTCTTTTCCTTTTTTTTTTTGCAGCAAAGTTTGTTTTTTAAGCTTATCTCCTCTTTTTAATCGCTTCTCTTCGTGGGCAAACGCTTTGGGATGAAAAGATATTTTTTTGTGCGCACGTGCATGCAGAGAGTATTTTTTAGCTTTCTTTCCCTACTGAATCGCTCCTCTTCACTCAATTTCGTTGGCAACTTAAGCTTTTGGAATTTTCTTTCTTTCCTAGCTCCTTTTTGGGGGAAGGGACAGGCTAGAAGATGATTGTTTCCTCGTTTTTGGAAGCCTTCCCGGGGGGAAAAGTTCAATACAGCCAATATGTTGTTCGTTATAAAAAGTACTTTTTACATGCAGTTTTATTTAAATTCTCCGTAACTTCGATATCGACAATAATTCGCTGTACGTGGGTTCGTTCTAAACGGGTTTCACTGTAGCGAACTAAGCACGGCGGCCCTTCGCTTTTCCCCAGGTCAGATTGCGCCCGCGGAGCACAAGCTCGTGATGCCGGGCTGGCAGACCGCCAAGCCAGCATACGCGCACGGGGATACTCAACAAAAAAAGCAGTTGCAAAAAAAAAAAAAAAGAAAGCAACGGAAAAAGAAAAAAAAAGTGGAGGATGGCAAAAGCAAAGGGAAGGGCACGCGCAAGCGTAGGGAGAGCCAAGAGTGTTCCTTCGCCTCAAAATAAAATACGCAAAAAAAAAAAAAAAAAAAAAGAAGTTTTCTTATACACGAACTCATCTCTGTTACATCACGGCGTGGTGGTGGCGCGTCGGAAGCACTTCCGGTCCGGGGCTGTGGGCGGAAGTGCCCATCTGAGACGTGTATTCCTGCGTTGTTTTGAAAGGAACCAGACAAGAGCCTGCCTTCTTGTCAAAATGCTGCGACTGGGGCTGTACCAAAAGGGTCGAGAAAGGTTTGAAGGTCAGTCTTCATGAGCTCGGTTCGTCCGAGAACGTGGATATGTGCCGTGAAAAGGGAAGACCAGACGCCATCGGACCACGATTGCTTGGATGGGAAGCATTTTGGGTTGAACTCATGGGTACTTGTGGTCATCAGATTTATTTGTTTTGTTCCAAAATGAACGCCGGAAAACCGTCAAGTTGTACGGACCACCTGCGGATTACGTTCAGTGCGTCTTCAAGTTCAAACGGCCGCTTGACTGTTTAAACTGCCGTCTGCTCTTTCAAACGCCTCTGCTTGTCGTCTGCTCTTTTAGAGGACACCGGCCCATAGACCAAACGTGGGCCCGGCACTTGCGATAAGAAGTAAGTGCAGGCCTCAAAAGACTTAAGTTTGAAGGTTGGTAAGCAGGCTCGACGTAAACAATAGATACAAGGAGATGTTGATCATTGTTACCAGTGGCCGTCACCGACTTGTTACGCCTAATTCACTTCGTTAGATTCTGCTTGCGATTTTCAGTATCGACGTCGACCATCTCAGCTACGGTTCACGCTTTTGCAGTCCGAGCGACGTCGCTACTGAAAATTGCGAGCGAAATCTCGTCGTGTGAATCAGACTGTAGCGTACACTCTGCGGCGTCCACGCGGAATGAATCACCGCAAGTCAGATTATTCACGCGATGTTTTGCAGTGTAACGAGCCTCGTTAATTTCGCCGACGCTGCTCAAGTAGTCAGACATCGTTAAGAGGACGTAGAATCAACAATTCCAACACGAAAAGGAACGTAGGGACTCACACCGAGGCCGACAACATTGCATTTCAATGGTTTGTTTATGGGCGACGGCGAGCTTCTTGCCCACACCCCCATCGCGCATGCGCGGCGCCGGTGGCGTCCGCTAGGGGCACTTCAGGCACTCCGGTTTGTTTGTAAACATGAGCTGGTGTATAGTCGAGTGTGTCAACAACGGTTTAGAAATCACACTTCGAACGCCTTATCTTCGTTTAGCTTTTCCTTCCGCCGTTTTTGCTTTGCGCGTTTTTTTTTGGGGGGAAGGGGGGGGGGGGGGGAGGGGGGGGGGGCCTTTCTTTTTTTTTTTTTTGTTGCTTGAATTTAGTGAGGTTTCTTTTTTTGTTTTAACTTTATTCTATGGATCGAGTGTTTTTGTTTGTTTTTATACAACTTGCTTTTTCTGTTCTTTCATTTTTTTTTTTTTTTTAATTCGTGTTTTGTCGCTGGTGATGTGTGGAGGTCGCGAGCGCGTAAACGATCGCAAGCATTGTGGCGTAAACGCGGCGGTGTTTGTGATCTTTACCAGCTAAGCTCTACGGTATTTAGCGACTCTTAGTGGCTCTATTTGGTGAGGTCCCGCTTGTCGCGGCCTTCTGTATTAGCAGAGAAGCGTGGGAATTTCAACTGGAGCTTAAGTTAACATATTTTTGTATATCAAATTATCGATATATCAAACTATTTTACGATCCCCTTTGAATTCGATATATCAGGGTTCGACTGTATGAGATAAGTTTATTTGTCTCAAAAAATATCATAGAATACCTATCATGGACTGTTTAAACAGCACACGACAATTCAAATCAAAATTAAGTTTGTTCATCCGGCAAAAATGTTGTCTATTGTGGACTATTAGCCTCATTGAGCACATTTCTTACTAAGCACCGGTGGACCACAGAGAAGCAACAACCAAGGAAGCAGGCTGCGAAGAGTGTTGTTTCTCGCTTGGAAAGAAACGTGCCCAACGGGGCCGCAAGGACATGACATAAAGTATGAATTACACAAAAACGCCGTTCAAATTAAGAGGCTTTTAGATACATAAAAAAAAAAACTGGGACAACCCAAATTTTAAAATTTGTTTGAATTAACCTGAGGGATGAAATATCAAACTTTAGATTATTGTGAGCCTACCGTACGTACTTGTGAGATGTGCAAAGGGCAAGTTTTATTAAACCCCCAAACCGTTTTGGACGAGCATGGCTCGTCAACGTGGAGCCGTCCCCAAACCGTTCAGGACGAGTATAGCTCGTCTGCTTTCCCTGGTTCACATACTCAACCGTTTGGGACGAACCAGACTCTCTCATAGCTTTGTTTGCGGCTCTGCCAACAAACGGCAGCATTGCATCTTTAAAAAAATTTTTCCCATCTTGTTTGTGGCTAGAAACTTGATTTTGAAGGCAGCAAATGTAATTTTGAAGACCACAATAAAGCAGTTGAGGGTAAGAAATGTCCCAAAACTAAAAACGGCTAAGGGGTCAAGCGCTGCGGAATGGGTCCCAAAGGCTGGACCTTGCGCGTGCCGTGCCCACCTCGGAGTCCTCGTTGGTGATCTGGCGGAGCGCCTCCACCCACTGGATCATGTTGGAGTGGTTGTCCGCCTGGAAGAGGTACTCCGTGCCAGACTCCATGCGCAGCCGAAACACGTGCTTGCGCTTGGTGTAGTCCCGGGCCACGTCGCTCATGGACGTCCGCAGGGACAGGTGCGACCCTTCCCCAAAGTCTATCGTCTGCCGAGGGAGAGAGGGCCACGTGCCGGCATTAGGGCAGCATCGGAGAGTGGCTGAAAAGCCGAAGCGAAGTATACTGCAAGTACGGTGCAATCCACTTACAATGATAACAGATATAATGATGTACTGCTTATAACGATCAGTTTCTAAAGTTTCTAGACTAGAAACGCTCAATTTCTACTTTAGATACAACTATAAACGGTTATAATAACTGAATTTTTCGGGTTTTCTTGTTATCATTATAAGAGGAGTGCACTAGCGCTTTGGCAGGGGAGCGCTGAAAGGAACACTGAACTCTCAAGAAAAGCCTTTTTAGGGGCCTGGACAGGATATGAACGTCACAAAATAAACATTCACAAGAAAAAATTAATTTGTAGTGCCATAATTAGGTTGCCAAAATGGAAGCATGTCGTGGAGTTGTTCTTCACTCAAAATTAGTCTCACGACGTTAAATATTGCACTAAAGATCTTTCTTTCCCGGGAGAGTTCATCTTGCGAGACATATCTGTCCTATCCGAGCACTCTTTAAAAGAAAACTAGCACATAAGCAAAAACGATTCTCATCCCCTGCTTTCTAAACCGGGAAGCCTAAGCCAGAGCGAAGAAAAACTTGCTTCGTGGTCTCTCCAAAGCCTGCTTTATTTCACTTTGTTTCTCATAAGCGCGACCGAAACTCGCTTGGCACCTTGCAAGCAACCTCGCACATATCCTGCCATGGCCTGTTCTGCACAGAAAAAAAGAAAAGCACCTTCCGGTCTTTTAAGATGTAAACCTTGTCTCCTCTCAGCACCAGCCAGACGGGCCTCCAAGACCGGTCGCTTGACCTCTGAAATAAACAACGAGTGCACCAATGCCACGTCTTCTGGACGTCCCCGACAGCAGCTGTAACCCGTCTTCCACAAAAACGGACGCTCCTACGCACCTTGCCATCCACAAGGACCGTCTTGCAGGCTAGCCAGCCCTGGACGTCGCCCGTGATTTCCGGGTCTTCCGTTGTCCCGTTTTTGACTTCGCTGGCTTGGGACGGCGCGCTTGATGCCTGGATACGGCAAGAAAAACAAAAAACAGACAAAATTTTACTCTGTGCAGTTATGAACAGGGTTGCCTGCTTTTGCCATTGACTTAAAAACACGGCCGAGCATATGCAGAATATCGTTTTGAGAGACTTGAAACTTAGGACGAAGGTTACCGGAAATTTTATGCGCTGTGCGGCATAGAGTTTTAGATCGCCTTATGCGTAAGTACTGCGCAGTTGAACGAAATGTAGACTTTGGTAATTCAAACTTTCGCTGTCCCGGCATATGCAATCAAAAAGGCTGAAGTAGCAATAAAAAAGAGAGCACATGTCTTACATTTCATACTTCTGTACTTTCAACTAACCTTAAGCACCGCTGTTTGCTTCTTTGCTCGATTTTCTCAGGTTTTACGTATTGAGGCAGCACCCATAGGAAATCGGCCTCAATGAGCTTTTTGTTTTCATCTTGGCAAAGTGAACACCAATTTATTACACCAAATTTGACCAAAAATAAATGGCAGAAACCAGAAACCCTAGTTACGTCGCCTGGTCAATTTCTGTTACTTCAAACTCGAAAGGAAGAAAACAAAAATAGATTTCACCTTATCTCCAAAGAATGCCTTTAGCTTTTGAATTCGATGAGATCCACTTGGAGTTGATGATGTGCTTTGACGAACAGAAAGAAAGAACAGAAAAAATTAGGAATCATTTCCAAGCAAATAGCACAGCTAAATGTATTTGCGCTAAAGCTGCTTTTCGAACAAGGAAATCTAGCTGAAATTACGAGCCATTTTGCAAGACAGGACCTGCATACCATCGCATTGACTTCTAAATGCAATATAATACGGGCAGAAACCAAGAGAAAAAAGGAAAGGAGAGCATGCAGGGACGTCAGTGCCACGAGCCCCGACTGGAATGATTAGTGGGTAGACGTAAAGCTAACTGGCCTTGTCTCCGCTCGTCCTTCGAACGCGTTCCAACGCGTCCGATGAGCGAGTATAGGGAAAAACAGCTAGATTTGCCCGTCCACCTACAAATCATTCCAATTTGAGCTCCGTATTCGGACGTCTCCACATGCTCTCGTCTCCTCGTCTCCCTCAATCGCTACCCGCACAGCCATGTTGCGAGCCTTTAAGTGCAATTGGCGCTCCATGAAGAATGGTCACTCAAACTTGCACCACAACAAAAAATCTAGAAACCAAATGGCACACAATAAGGAACGTAGCCACGGCAGTAAACTATTCAGGTAATCCACAATCAAGTGGATCCATAGCACCGCCAGATGATTTCGACATCCAGTGAAATTATTTGAGAAGCCTGATGCACATTGTGACCCAGCTATCCAAGTCACCGAAGTGTACACATGGAACCGAGTGAAGCTACCACGCAATACGGGAAAGACGAGGAAGCCACAACTGAATGAAGCCCTAAGAAAAAAGCTAAGCATAACAGAAAAGAAAACAACGTGTCCACCGAGTGCTTGATAGAGGCGACCTAAACTTCCTGACTGGGCGATAAATGGACGGTGGGCCCACCTGGAAATGGAGTGCTGCTCATCCTCGCTGTGATCAGACTCGAGGTGCAGCCGTTCGTTGGCGGTCGCTCGTAGGTAGGAAGTTCGTCGGGCGGGATGGGCCTTGTCCTCTGCGCCAGCAACACGTGCACAACCGTCAAGCGACGGGAGGGCGGGAAGGCACCCCCCACACAAGGCAAAACTCCCGACAGGCATGTACGTCGACATTATCTGTGGCTTCTAAAGGCCCCTTCACACTCTTACAACCGAGAACGACCAAGAGAGACGAGACTTGTTGAAGCCTCTTATAATTTCCTAGGACAAGAGAACACACACTGGCACCCTGGCGCCATCTATGTGGTGACCCTGGAACTGCATTTTACAAGAGCGAAAGTTTTGCGGGATTTCCAAGGTCAAATGTGCGTAATACCTATAAAAAAGGCTTGTTTATATTGTTGACAAAAGTTTTTCGAGCCAAGAAAGAAAGGATAATGCGCGAGAGAAATAGAAAATATGCCGGACCGCCAAGTTTACACTGCTACCCAATAGATGGCGCCAGTGTGTCCTCTCGTTGTAAGAGGTCTCAAGGTGCCAGGTTCTAAGAGGTCGCAAGAGTGTGAACGGGCCTTAAAGCTTTTAAACTAGGCTCCTTGGTATAAAGGAGGCCCTGGCGATAATTCCGACACTTTTTATGTGTTTACTGCCCGATCGTCTCTTGTTCCCACGAGAGCGCATAAAATAAACTTGAGGCAGACCTCCTGCTCACTACCTAGGAAAGGGAAATAGTAATGCGACGGGCACACACACAGGACTGCATTGTGTGGAGGCATATTCCCCTCAATTGGCTCACTTTCTGTTTGATTGGTAAGTTGGACAGGCAATCATTTGTTTAGATTAGAACTGGTGCGAGTTTTATTTAAAATGGCTCTTTGGCAAGTCACAGTCGCAAAATTATACTTCAAAAGTCGCTTCAGCATCCCTCTAAGGGTGAGACGTACATAAGCAGCACTTTTACCCAGAGAATTATAAAATTGCAAGACCCTAGATCATGAGGTGTTAAAGGGGTTATGACACGAAAATTAAACAGATAGATTATTCTTGAAATGGAATGTTCATAGGCTATTTAGTACCGTATTTACTTGCGTAATCCTCGCACTTGCGTAATCCTCGCACCCCTAATGTGAGCCGCCAAAAATTGGATTTTCCTTTTCCTCAAGTAATCCTCGCACCCCCAAAACTGCAGCAGCGAAAGTCACCTGCTCGCGAAACCCGCATGATGCGTGCGCTTTCCACCGCCCGCATTTCTCGGCGCCGCGCCGCTCCGTTTCGCTAGAGTCCTTTAACGCGGTGAAAGCGAATTATTGGAGAGAGCACGGCCCCTAACGAGAGACGTTCGGCGCGGTTTTATTCGTTCATGCTCCAAGCGCCCTAAGGCGCCCTAGGCAGCCTAGCACCATCTCTCAGACGCTAGTCACACTGTCGTTGAGCCAGTTTCGCAAGCGTGCAACTAAACGCCGTTCGCACAGTCCGCGGTCGTCACGTCGCCTACGACGACCAGCGATGCTAGGACTAATTTAGACTGAGGTCGTTATCAGCGACGTAGGTAAATTTTAACTCGGACTGTGTTTCCAAATAAACCTTGCTTTGTGTTGAACTTGTGGTTTTAATGTTAAGGTAAGTCCTGTATTGGTAGTTCTCAAACCTTGTAGGTAGCTGCCGGCGCAAGAACCCCAATTTGCAGCCGCATCGCGTAATTCTTGCACCCCCCAACTTTCCATTGATTTTCCGCAAAAAAAGTGAGAGGATTATGCGAGTAAATACGGTATATACACCAAGTTACACGATTTTTAGAGCTCTGATAATTGCAATAATCAGATTACGAATTTTTATAATTTTGATCTGGCGACCAGGCAACACTGCCCAAGTTAGTCACACCACGGTGTCCATAAATCATGTGATCATGAATGCTCTCATTCTAGGCGCCCCCATGATCGCCCAAGCTCTCTCACCGCAGTATGATCAAAACCGCTCACGCAACTCTGTAATCTGAACGCTATTCTCGCTCTCGCCCCCGGCCTGTTGACCTTCCACCCTGCATGCGCATGCGATCTTGGACTACGGTGACCACGACGAGTTCGTCCATAACTCGCCGTCGCTGGAGCTGGTTGCCAGCGGGTCGCAGTCAAAATGAACAGCTTTCAACATCTCTTTCACTCTAATCGCTAAAGCGATCAATGTCAAACACTTTGACAAGGCGAGCAATGCCGTAGACGTAATCGTCACGGACCGCATGCTCGAAACGCGGAAGGTAGCGAGGAAGCTGAAGCTTGAGATGCCAAGTGAGTCAAGTCTGAGTGCATGCAAGGTGACAATGCTCCGCCCAGATCCGCCCCTCCGAAGGACCCGCATATAAATCGATTCATCCACGAAACTATCGCACCATTTTCAAAACAAATTTAGCAGGACTATAGGAACATACAATGGGTCCTAGCAGCATTGTTATCCCATATTTTATTTTTGGCATGTCATTACCCCTTTAACCACAATTCAAAGCAATTTAGAAATTACACAAAGCATTAATGATCAATTGGGATACCAAAATTGCTTGCTCATATATCTCAGGAAACATGCATGCAATTCCTCCAGGACCCCATGCATCACGCCAAAATATATACCAATTCATAAAGGGTCGGCAGATTATATTTTTCTTCTTATAATTACATGCTTGGGGCGCGGGAACCAGATAGGACAAATGGTATGCAGGGATTTCAAACAGGCCCCACCAGATCCGATTAGGTGCTGATGTATAGGATGCTACAAAAAAAGTGAGGCTATATGTAAAAGACCCATTCTTGCAAATGGTTGTCCTCTGACTGCCATTTCTCTTGTTCTCCTTTAGCAACCTCATTTCAGTTCTCATGTCAGAGCCCTTTCAACAAAGTTCCGACATTCAATACCCATGCAAAAACGACCTTCTTAAATACGTGCAGAAATCATGAAATCCCCCATGCACATGCCACCTACCGCATTAACTGCCTACAACATCGTCATGAGCAGCCACTGACATCAAAACATGCATGCTTTACCAGTTAATGAAGCATTACCTTTCGAACCATTTTTTCTCCTATACACAACTGCTGAGGCATCATCAGACGTCACTGAGATATAACCATCCGCTGCAAAAACAGTTAGAAAAAGAGCTTTGCTGTAGTCATTGAACAAAGCACTGGTTAGCAACAAATGACATGTTCGAGCTTCCTCCACACAGCACAGAAAAACCCAAAGTTCCCAGAGATCAGTATCCCCTGACATATTGCTGTATGGGCTTCTGAATTTACCACAAGGTAAGAAATTGCAAAAGTGTTCAGAATGTCTCCTGCAGAGAATGAAAGGAACTACTAGGTTCTCAGCCGTGAGTGCACAAAAAATTTGTTACTTAAATATGGAATTTTGGTAAAAATGTAGAGGGGTGGGTTTGCATGTATCATGCATACATGTCTTGACAAGTGGTAGGTGACATTTGGCACAGTGGCCTCTGAAAGAGGAGGTTCCTAGGAATGTTAACTTCTTCCTATGTGTAACCAGACCAACTGACAGAATGCCCAAATACAGCTACATACCAGGGGTCCCACACGGCACAAGGTCAGTGTTAAAACATCCCGTAACAGGGCAACACAGCTGTTCTGTTACAGTAGCAAAGAAAGTCACCACCAGGCACAATGGCAGTTAACGAAAGCAATGCCAAAGTACACACCAAATGCTCAAAATTCATGCAAAGTAACCATTTGTAAAAAAGAAGAAAAAAACAATGTGATACAACACTCTCAGTTACAAAATCCCATAGAGAAAAAGGATTAAACAATTATTACTGCGCATAGATGGGTGAACACCCGACAAGTCAAGCTGCTTGGATAGCTTTTTTTCTCAGTCCCCACCATGTTCATACATGGTAAATAAAGCTATTATTATTATTATTATTAAAGAATCGCATGTTTATCGCAAATATCCGATGCAATTGGTAGACCCAAGACTAAATGGAACCAAAGATTCAAAATGAACTCTCAACTTAAATTTGTTTTAATAAAACTAGATGTCAGTGCTTTAAACTTGAGGCACTGCCAACACTGCATAGCAACACTTGCAAGATGCCATTTTTTCTCATAAACTACATTGCAGGATTTCAGCTAGCTAAACACAGGCCACTGAGAAAAGAATTGCTAAGGAGGTCTCCCAATGGCATCTAACCATAGAGAGTCCAACACCGTTGTCTGAACCCAGGATGGATGCTATCTCAAATTTCACAAACAGCTCAGTCCCCCAAGCTAACACCAGAGCCGATGCGGCACGTGCATGCTTTCCCAGATGCTAAAACCTTGCGCCGATAGCCTTATAGTTGTGCAAGAAAACCGGAATCAGCCACCGCACGTCGGGGCAAACCGCGTCACACGTCCAACACCGGCAATAGCAACCACAGCCGTTGCCAACGAAAAGCAAACTCACTCTGGTAGGCTCCGCCCTCTTCCAGTCCGACGTCCTCTGCTCCGTCCGCATACTCTGAGAGCGTGCTTTGGTCTGGCAGCGACGCAAAGGGTCGCTCTTCCCGCAGCGGACTGTCGGGCGACCGATCGAACGAGGGCACCCGCGATGTCGGCGAGGACAGGGGCAGCAGCCGGTCGTAGGCCCCGCCCACCGACAGGGAAGACGTTTCCGAGGCAGTTTCCTTGCGCCCTTCCCCGTCCATCTCCTCGAACCGCGCCGCGCGCACCGACACAATCGGCACGGGGCACCCCGATGTGAGCCGTGCCAGCTCACTCCGGTACAGCTTCATCCGCTCCAGCGAGCGCGCCAGCAGTCCGCCGGACTCGAAGAGATGGAGCCGCTGCGCCACGAGGTTGAGGGACGACTGCTCCGGCAGTGCCGTCTGATGATGCTGGACTGCCGTCGACATTGTCGTCGCTGTCGTCGTCGCCGCCACCGTCTGCTTGGGCTCGCCTTCCTCCACGCTGCCAATGCCGCTGTCCGTCTGCCCGTGCCAACCGTCATCTGACCTCGGTGCAAACCGCGTCTGCCCGCCGAGGCATGTGGGCACGCTTGTGCTCGGCGGCATTTTGATGCCCGCCGCGCCGCGACGCGGGTCGTTGCTGCTCGCGTTTGTGCTGGCATTGTTGGCGCCGTACGACGGGTAGCTCAGCGACATCGGCTGGGATGTGAGACCAAATGCGGTGCCCTCTATCGTCGGCGCGGTCGTCGTCGCCGTTGTTGCGGGTTCGGGGTCAAGGCCAAAGAAGAGGCGGCGTGCCGGGTTGACCGGGCGGAAGTGTGTGCCAGCCAGGCAATGCACGGGGGAGGTGGGTTCAGAGGCACCGCAGCGGGAGAGCGCGGACGTGTTGGCGAGGGTAGTGCGGAGGGGAGACGTCTCGGCGCGGGTGGTCTCCGCCGACCAGAGGGGCTGTGGCAGGCGCCGCACGGGCTGGTAGGCCGAGCTGGCGAAATACTGCGCAAGAGAAGGGGCATTCGCAGTCAGTGCTTCGTCCTCGGCAGATACTCGAGTTCAAGATTAAAGTTTGCAATGCAACGACGTGATGACGATTGCGAGTCTAAATCAATGAACCCTTAAAGGCATGCATCCCATCTTCTACATGAGCAGGTGCCGCAACCGGTGCGCAAGGAAGCAAGTTCGATTTGGTAGCAGTCGGTGCTTCGTCCTCGGCACATATTCAAGTTCAAGATTAAAGTTTGCAATGCAACGACGTGACGCTTGCAAGTCTAAATCAATGAACCTTTAGAGGTGTCCGTCCTGTCTTCTACGCAAGCAGGTGTTGCCACCGGTGCGCAAGGAAGCAATTACGATTTGGTAGATACTAAACGGGTGCATCCGAGTGCCTGACACCTTTGATAGTTGGAGAGCACAAAAGGTGTACAGACGCAGACCAATTTTTTGGACTTCGCAGGGACCGAAAAAAACATCCGAATGATAGAGCAGACTGAAAAATCAGCAGATTAAAGAACTTGCATTCATTAGATCTAAGCGGCTTAAAAAAGCCGTAAATAGTGCCTTGCTTCAGGTTATGCCTGTGCGCCTTGTTTCAGGTTACGACTCCGTTTGCGTTCGGCAACTTTCTATTAGCTTGAAAATCGCTGCCTTCTTTCTGCGCTGCTTAGCGACACATCGCGGCGGCGGAAAAACAGATCGGCAACGACGTCCAAGCCTGCAAAATCCGAAAACACAATTCACCGAGACTGGATCGAGATGAGAGGAAACAAGTACCCGACTGCAATGGCGAATGAACAAAGCAAAATGGTAACAACAATGATGGCAATAATGACACGCGATTAGAGAAAGAAAAAACCCATACAGCGTCACTAGAGGTAGGACTTAGCAGTACACAAGTAGCCCTGCCAAACCAAGCCAATCCATGTGCAGCCAACACAGAATCTAAAATGGTCGCATCTCGGTGGTGTTTCCCGCTGATCGCTCGCGACGATTTTGTTCAAAAAATTTAACTTTCAGACTTCAAGCTGTTTACAACATCGGTTGTGAATATGCACTAAACCTATCGGGTAGGCCACGGTTCCCCGTTTAGGTCCAAAATATCAAACAAGTCCAAATTATCGGCGACCGTACCTCGAGAGTGTAAGCCGGCGAGGCTTCGCAGTGCAAGTCTATAATATATGTGAAAGGTAAAAGTGCAAAAAAAGTGATTCCATACCAATTGCAGAATATCGTCTTCCTTCGGCACGACCAGCAGCTGTAGTGAGGGGCCACTGGGAATGAAGAACACACAGCGTAACTTCATACAAACATCGAGAAGGACACTACAGCCCAAAATCCATAAATTTCCCCAAAAAAAACCGAAACACAACAGTGTGCAACTGGCCGCGGGACAAAGTGCTCACCATTTGTGTATGAGCTCAATGACCTGGCCGTACGAGCGTCCCGTCACGGGCTGACCGTTGATGGAGACTATGCGGTCGCCAGTGACCAGGCCTGCCCGGTCGGCAGCGCTCCCGGGACGCACCTCCCTCACAAAAATGGTGTCCATGGCCTCCTGCTTGTGCTGGTCCCACGTCGGGTCTGCAACACACGCGTCCCCCTCGAGCACACGTCAACTTGTCGGATGCGTGCCGAGTTGGCGTTCGCAACCCCGTGCATGTGCCTTCCGACCTCGTTCACACGTGTGAGCCTTAAGGGGGGACACTACCCAAAAAAGTAAATTTTTGAACCACCTGTCTGATTTAAATTATATTTACAGGGCTTGTTTCTGTTGATGTTGAGAACATTTCTGCCAAATTTTGTTAACCTGGGTGAAATACAAAAAAAGCTGCAAATGTTCAAAGATGAAAGTGGGCGTGCTTGCGTAGGAAAACTATCGTTTTGAAATTACTAATAAATTTGTCGTTTTCATGTGTTATATTGCATTAGGACAGTTCAGAGCAGATAACTATGGAGCTATATTTCTATGTTATACCATCTTTCATGACAAAAAAGCCACATAAACACAAATACAGTTTCTTAGATTTCCACCCTTTGTCCAAAATTTTTGTTTTTGAGCATGAAAAATGACAAAAATAAAAAAATAAAAGCTCATAGTTATCTTCCCCTTTAAGTTTCACCCCAGAAAAACTCATAAAAATGAATCCAAGTTATGTAGTAACAAAACAATAGTTTTCCTCCAGTGAAACTTTTGCCAGAAAGGGGAATGGAGAAAAATGCGTTCAAAGTGCTCCAACCTCTACCTTTTCTTTAGTGTTGGTGGACCGAAAATAATTTATAAAAAATTATGCAGTACAATCTAATGAAACTTTCTGGGCATACCCTCTAGATGTTTGTGAATGTAAATATGAAATTTTTCAAAATGAACTTTTTTTGCAGAAATTGTTTTTTCTGGGTAGTGTCCCCCCTTAAGACAGGCTCACACATACAAACAGCATTACCTCAGTGCTCAATCAACACCATGAAACCGCACTGATGCATCACTGTCTCGAATGCAATTAGCAGTGATGCAACGGTGCACCGGTTTTGTGCTCCGATATACCGTAGAATACCGCACATCCGCCCATTCCACATTAAGCGCCCATATCCAACTTTTTTAAGATCTGAGAAAATATGCACAGTACATTTATATGTAAAACTGACGACCGGATAAGCTCCCATCCCCCATTTTATCGTTATTATCTCTATATTTTGAGAGGGCGCTTGCCCAGTATTTTACGGTAGCGCGAAGATCGGCGATTTTTCCACTGCCAAATTAGCGATACAATGTGTGTGCGAGTGGGCCTTTTGTCGCCGCGTGTTGCAAGATATTGTAGAATGGCACCGAATTAGCCCGAGTCCCAAACCGCTTCCCGTCTAAAACGCCAACGTCGCCTGCTTTGCCGGAGTCGCGAAAAGTTTATTGGCACAATGCACGGAGCTTTTCGACTCGGTGACTGTTCAGTTCCAAGAGCTATACCCTGCTCCACTTTAGGTGTGAGCGTAGCAGAAGCTGCAAGAGCGAGCTCCGGGCTTTCGAAGTACTTGCCGAGCTAGCACGCTCGTGCAGTACAGGCATTGTTCGGGGTGGCATGCTTGCGCTTGCAGCTTTGACTTTTTTGTAGAGGATAAAGTGAAACAAACAATAGTGCATGTGAAAGAAGGACAAGAAGAAGAATCCTTGACAATGATTCAAGGAGGTTGAAGCCACCTTTGGTTCAGGAAGTTAGGACAACCTGCTGCAGAACTTCAAGCTGCTTTTTGTCTTTCACCGGGCAACTGAGAAACAGTTCTTACTATGCTCTTTTTAACCTTCAACGGGAAGAATCGGCCAAGCCAATTCGGCGACAAGAACTTGCCATGTAACATCACGCTCTGCATGCTGCTGCGCCCTATCGTGACCTCATGCAATACCCTGCCCTATCATCTTGCCTGTTCAGCTTGGATATCTCGGATCATTTTGGAGACATCCTGATCCTGGTGAACACAATAATGAATTTTATCACAATGTTTATGTAGTAGACAACATAGCTGTTTATTTTTTTTTTAGCTCATTACCCGGGTGACTTTTTATCAATAAAATTTAAAAACGCACATTCAACACCACATTGTAAGTTTATAAAAAATTACAGCACATCCAGTGAACAAACTGATTTATGCAGCCCATAAATTGATGGAACAATGCAAATATTCACCCACTACTTCTTAATCAAACAGTACATAATCTTAACAAAAACCAAAAGGCAGCCTCCAGACACGAATCAAACATTCTACAATGGGTGACGGAAACCTTGCAAAACAATCCATTAATTGTATTAAAAAACCAAAGACCATACAAAAAAAAAAAAAATTTTGTTTAAACTTTTGTTGCGACTAGTACTTATTGAACAAACAGCCCGACAATCCCAACCACTCCATCACAAGGCATTCCGTCAAAACAACTCACACTCACGAATATTACTGCAAAGCGACATACGTTTCGTTCGAGACAGCAAATCCGGTAGCGTAATCCTGTCACGCCCCACCGCTACGAATTCAATGTAGGCCGTGCAAGCGAGCATCCCTTCCCCATTCCATGACGAGAGAGAGAGGGAAAAAGCATGACGTCGGCGACGAGGAGAAGTCCCACTCACCTACTACTGTCGGGTGCTTCCCTGCCAGTCGCGCCGCCTGGGCAAATAGAAGAAGAGTGTGTAACTACGTGCGGTCCCAGAGCGTACACAAAGAGACAGCGTCATGGCACGAAGCCAACGACCTTTCAACAATCAGCCTTCCGAGCCAGTGGCAAAGCAAAGTCTTCGGCAAATGCGTTGGCGGGAAAGCGCTGTGCCGTTCTGCTGAGGCTCCTTGTTCTTGTTTTTCCGGCACAGTCCCACATCAATGTAGGGCTCGAGGAACAACGACGTGCACGAGGTACGAAACAAAGCAATGTTCGTCATACCAAATGAAGACGGAGACACTTCAGCGTGTCATTCCATGTGCTCGACGACATATTCTCAAGTTAAGATCATTTTCCGGCCTTGTCCAGTTAAGTCGAGCAAGTTCGACAAGAACCGGCCACATTCATGTCATCGAACCAAGATGAAACTGTCTGATTCGGATTGGTTGGTTTGAAAGGGCACGCGTGCGTCACCTTGAACCGACCAATTGGATAGCGTGAGCCACGTCGAAATGGTTGATTAAAAGGAAGTTGAAGGAATACAATGGGGGGTCTCACATTGACAGTATCTGGCGGATAGACCACAAAGTGGCGCAGGGTGAAGCCGAACCCGCCGGGGCCCTTTTCCAGTACGACCGTCCTCAGTCCGTGCCATGTCTTGTCTCCGGGGGCTTCGCTCTTGCTGTTGGGCTGTTCCTGCAGCGAAGACAAAGGGGACACCGAAGACCCCACTGCAGGTTATCCGCAGGCCGCTCCCAAAAACGTTGTGCGCTGTCATAAGATGTCGGGAAAGAAGTAATGCTTCTGCAAGATCTGTGAATCTAGTTGTGGAAGAAACAATAGGCCTTGGTACAGATACAACTGGCGTTGCAGTATGATTGAGGAGGAGGAGGAGGAAAGAAGGAGGGAGAGGAGGAGGAAAGAAGGAGGGAGAGGAGGATTGAAAAGGAGAACAGAAGGAAGGGGAGGGGGATTAGAGAAAGGAGGAAACTGGGAAAGAGTCCCCAAAAAATTTGCTGAGAAAAAAAAAAAAAAAAGAAAAAAAAGAAGAGATTTGCGGTTGGGGAGGTCTTCCGGCTATTTGTGGTGGGGAAGCAGACAATTTGGAATGCGATATCTTCTTTTCACGTGCTTAGGGCATTCTAGCAGAGTTAGAAACTCTGTTTCTGAATGTCCGACTAAACGCTGGTCGCTTATTGTTACAGGTAATTAATGGGGTTAATATTTTTAATACCCTCTACTCAGCTCACCGTGGCGATTTGTAAGCGGAATAGGAACAACCCCTTTCAAATAAGTTTGGGAAACAAATTTTTACCCAGGATTGACCCAATCCCGAAGAAACTATAATTCCCGTTGTGAAATAAAATAACAAAAACAACCCAAATTCAACATGCTAAAAAGCAGCTCTACGAAATCAAAACCATTAATCTAGTAGATTCTTGAATACCTAAAAAAATAGGCCCAATGTGAAGAGTGCACGCTGATTGCTCCTGGGCTTCCAAGCGTAAAAATAAGTTCTAAATTCGATCACTTAACGGAGTATTGATGACGACACACGTTACACGTTTTCAAATCCCAGCCAAGAAAAAAAATGCAGAAAGTTTAAGCAAGATAAAACAGGTCCGAGAAAGCCGAACTGCTTCTATGCTCTGGGCCCTCCAAGAAAACACTTCAAGAACGCCTGAAAAGAAAAAAGATGTGTTTTTAAACAATCTGGTTGGGACACACGTGATGTTTTTTTTAAACAACCTAATTGAAAGACGCGTTTAAAAACAAATTTTAAGCGAAAAAAATTTTTTTAGAGCAATATTGACGGCGAGAGATTTATTTGAAATTCTGCGTGCAAAGTCAATGACGTCATGGGTCATTCTGGAATGACCATCTCGGTCGTGAAGGTAAAGTAGATCCACCCTCCTCCCCGCGCCCGAAACGCAGAGAGAAAACAAGTGGAAAAGAGGTGACTGCTGACTAAATTGCGTCTCGCGTCGTCAATATTGCTCTAAAAATTTTTTAATTTTTTTGTGCAAAATTAGTTTTTTGACAAATGTGTCCCACCAAACTGCTAAAAAAAAAATTCTTTTCAGAAATTCTTTAAATTAAAGACATAAAAACAGCACATGTTACAAGCTCTATGTCTCGGTTAAAAGACGTGTCCTTTGTAGGTTGTGGCTTACATGCAGCAAAACTGTTCCCCCAGTACTGAAATACAGAAAGCATATCCACATAGAATTGTAATGTGAAGGAAGACTGATTTGTAATTGCTATTACAAATTACATAAAAAAATTTTGTTTTGTCCTGCAGTCATAGAAGTGCAAACAAAATACAGGGAGCGTCTGTGTATGCCTTTGTTACAAGAGAATTCGTTACCTTTTGAAGGCCAGCATTGATGCAAAGACAAATTCTATGGTCAAATAGTTGATTTCAGTTCTAGACTAAATTAATTGGCAATGTCACCAGAACTGGGAACTTGGACAGGAAATTTTTGGGTAAAAAATTAGGAACTCTTTCAAAAATGCCATTTTTTCCCACAATCTACAGGGTGTTAAAAAAAAAACATTTACAGGGTTTCTTTTTTCACCGCTAAAATAAACTATGCATGGCTGACTGCACATTCTCTGTCAAAAGCTAGCTCTAGAGGTCTAAACAAGATGCCAAGGTTTCGGCACAAACCAATATTTTATTCAAAAGTTATAAGTGATTTTCTGAAAACTTCAATGGAAAAATGGGGCCCGTTTTCGGTTTATGGCACCATAGAGCATCATGTATTCGAGATCTCCGTCGGCCACCATTTTCCCATTGACATATTCAGAAAATCATTTACAACTTTTAAATAAAATATCTGTTCACTCCGAAACTTTGGCATCTTGTTCGGACCTCTAGCGCCACCTTCGGGCGGAGAAGGAGCGTTCACTGATGCGTAGTTTATTTTTGTGATGAAAAATAAACCTGGAAATTTTTTTCTGGGAGAACACGAACATGCATTATTCAGACAGCCTTAAAAGTCAGAAAAAGGAACACACAGTTGTCATCAACACAAAGACAGCAGCGCTTACTACACATGAGGAAAGCACGGCCGGATCCATCCATTCACTATTAACGTCCGCTCCGCTCCGTCTCATGTCACTGACTAATGGCATTCGCACTACGCCGGGTTTGTCTCCAAAGATAGCAGAAAAGTAGAAGTAGTGGAACCCACTTGATTTGTCCAGGTGATGTCACCTCCTTTTGAGACCATGGTCTGCCCCGGTGCCACTCAGGCTAGAAGTATGATGACCCCCCTGCAACAACAAGGGCCGGATTTGGGACAAGGCACAACGTTTAGACGCAATGTTGTGCCTCGCAGCATATCAAGTTCAGTTTGCTACCAAATAGAACCCAAAAGCGCTTCACAAACTGCTAAATTATCAAGGCGGTTATGGTACCCGAGGGAAAACCTAAGACACCATATCTGTAACGAAGTTAGTGGCATACAAATCTCTCATTAGGCCCATCTTAGGGTATGCCGACATTATTTAAGATTCACACGTGTCATAAAATATAAATTAATTTGAAAGAATACATAAGAAGGCCCTTAAATTTAGTTACAACAAACAGAGAAGACTAGATTCTTTTAGCAGCAGATATTCTATCCAGATAGCCTAGCATATCTCCAGTCCTCCTCCTCCTCCTCCCCTCCTCCCCTCCCCCCCACCCCCAAATGCAGAGGAAAATTAATAGACTGACTTTCCTCTATGCCACGATTAATGACAGCTCTAGATCAATAAGTGACGCTATGTCACTCTGCAATTTCTGAAAAGCACAAGAAGCTATCATACCTTAGAACTCGCAGAACACAAATCTAAAGATGACCACTTTAAAAATAAACTTTTTTTTAGAAAACTATTTAAGACTGAAACCAGCTGCCTTTGACACTGTAAATGTCGCCATCTGCACAGTCCATCACTCTTTTCACTGTTAAAACAAATTTGAAGTTTCTTGTCATCAATAATCGACATCACAGAATTACCCATTTTGCACATGGTTGCTGGTAGTCAGCACATTTTCACAGCACTGCTCTTGACTTATTCGTAGCGTATATCTGGTAAGGCCGGGAGTCTTTGCTGTCAGCGTATACACAATGTGATTTGCTTTTCTCCCATATGGGTACAGAGCACGACACTGTTAGCACGAACACGCAATCGCCGGTTTTTCCAGTTTTTTTCTTTGAAACCAAGGGATTATCGAAGTTATTAATTATTGCTATGGAAAGAGCTCATTTAGTTCTATAATGCAAGCGATCAAATTTTGTGCTCGCTAATACTATTTACAAGTAAAATGTGAAAAGGTGTTGATGTCGTGTTCGCGCTAACAGCATCGCGATGTGTACATGGGAGTCTGTGATTGTGCTGATTTTTTTCTTAGCGCTGATGTCTTGTTTGACAAATGTTTTCTTTTTCATAGCTTGGATGCATCCATTTACACGGTTTCTCCCACTCTGGCATCTTCTCATAAAGTAAATATGAAACAGAGCATGAATTATGATCCTTAAATGCACTTGATTACTTTATTTGTTGCTTATTTGTTTTGTTTGTTGCAGTGACAAACCTTTTCACTGTACCTTCACATTTTTTTACTAAAAAGCCCAATCCTATAATGCCTTCCAAGAGAAGGTGGTGGTGGTAACTGTATAAAAAAATATAAATTATTTTTTGTGCTAGTAATTATAATTGTAATTAACTACTTTCAGGGCAAACTAGTTGTAACTAAGTAAATTAAATTTCCAAAATAAGTTATCTAAGTATGAACCTTCAATGCACACCAACAACACAAATGTCAAGGTGCGGACCCGAGAAAAAAAGAAGAAAAAAGAGCTCTTAGAATGTACTACAGCCACACAAAACTATTGGAATCTTGCTCACAAGGAGTGCAAACTTTCCCAGAGTCAGCCAATGACAAAACCGATGGCACGGAAAGCATTGTAACCGAAGCAAATAAAAATAAGTTATGCTTTAAAGTCAAACATAGTCCACAAAGTGCAAAAGTTGTGGTAATGTGCTTTTCACGGGCCGCTAAACCATGACCATTTGAAGGACAATGGGGTGCTTTGCGCCCCGGCAAGGCCTATTGTCGGCCTATTGTCAGCCTGTTGTAGGGTCATAAAACTGCAGTTGCCGCTCTGCTAAGCGAAGGGGACAGGCCGTGTGGAAGTACCGATGACGATCATGCACGGGAGCCGTGAATGGTGGAGCTGCAACCGTCATTGAACCGTTTCGCGTCCGTCGTGTCACGGATTTGCTCCACTTTGCTCTTTACCCAACCCCTAGCAAGGTTTGCATTGAATGAACGACGATTAGTGTGGCAAAGCCAATCGAAATGGGACTCGACTACTTTATTAAACATGTGCAGGTTCTTTTGCTGACCATAATATAGCAAACTTTGACAGCTAACTTTGTGCAAAAAAAATGTCAGGTAAAAAAAAAATGAATGTCTGCCCATGATGCTTTAGCTTGTACAGTTTCTCCTTTAAGTTCTATGTCGACAACTGTGCAATTTTTTGGTGCTGTAGATTACTCGACCACTGATAAAGCAGAAGTTTTCTTTTGATGCATTTTGAAGAAGACGATTTCTTCTAGCAAAACATTCTCTTCCAATCCCATCATAGGATTAGATTGAAGATTACCTTTTTTTGTTCTTTTCCACGCTGAGATGCTGAGTTTGTGACGCTTGTTTTGGTCACCTTCGCAGCATAGCACAATTACTGGTTGAGTTCGCTAGTGTGTATACACAGTTTAAGGTCAATTAGTTTATGGTGTGCAAGTGTTTCTCATCAAAGAAAGGTGCCCTGTATCATTCTCTCCTCCCTTCTACTTCCACCAACTGTGTCGGTTAATTCTGCACAAAAGCTAGTGCAAATAAATGCGGAAATTGGAAAGAGCTCTGTTTACAAACTCACAACCAAACGTCCAGAGTGCCATGTCTTCCTCATGACCACGGAGACAACCCACCTCGAATGCCAAACAGCCCGGTGAAGGCCACGCAGACATTTCAAGAACGGTCATTAGCATGAGAGCAGCCCTCCCAGGCGAAAATCAGTCCACTTCCAGCTGGATTATGGAACTGGAAATGAGGCATTCCAGCTGGATTCCAGCTGGGTCCAGTTGGATTCCAGCTGGGTCCAGCTGGAATGCCTCATTTCCAGTTCCATAATCCAGCTGGAAGTGGACTGATTTTCGCCTGGGCTGTTGCTAATAAGCGCTTCCCGAACCCTGCAAAGCCATTCGTCAGAGAGCTGTCAGTGCGTGTACCGTTACTGCCTTCAAGATGCCCGCTCGCAAGCGAAGGCACGGGTGCGATGGAGAATTTTCTGTCAGATGTCAGATGGAGAAGCCTTCGCACGAGACAATGGACGTGCGTCGTAGAATGCTGGGAGAAGTGACAGCCCGGGGGAAAAAAGTGAACAGCTGCCGTCAGATACACACAACCGTTGCACGTAGCACTCAAACACCACCCCCTGCACTATGCATAAACGCCTTGTTTCTCATTCTGTTTTGTCCATCTTATGAGGAAACCATGGGATGAAGCTCGTAACAAGTGGCCTCCAAAAAATTATGATGGGTTTGTCAATTTCTTTATTACTTGGGGGCCTTTTTAGCCAGAGTGGATAAAGGGCTTTGCACAACCAACTACTATGTACCGGCGGTATTAAAAAAAAAATTGTGCAGAAAGCTCCTACATTGTTATTTTGTATTTTTCAGTTCTCAAGACCAAGTGCAGGCCGTTGTCAAAAACATGCATCCTTGCAAGAAAAAAAAAAAAAAATCTTGACATATATTGTTAGTTTGTGTTGCAGAAAACAGTTGACGTGTGGCATATTGCTACAATTAACTTACCTTCCTCTCCAAATATGACTATTTATTTCTTATATCTGTGTCTGCTATTAACTCTTTCACGTATGGACTGGAAAGCGAAGGCACATCTGTGGAAACCTCCTCTAGCAGCTCTGGTCATTGCTATGTGCTATGTTGCAGCATTCCCGAGATGGAACATGCAGCATTTGCAAGCTAGAATCTGGAAGCCTTTTCTGAGAAAGAGGTACCTCCAACACTGCCCAGAAGATTGATAAACACAGTGCAAGAACTTGTCGTAAAACTTCCATAAAAAAGAATTTGGAAACCTGTTCTACCCAGAGGTAAGTCTGGATAGTTGACAGATGACACGAGCAAGTTTCTCATAAAACAGGGTCCCAAAACCTAATATCTAGAAAAAGCTTTGGAAATTTAAGTCAACAGTAGCTACATGTACAGCTGTCAGCAATAAGTCAGAAGAATGATGGAACAGGAGGATGGCAACTATTATACCCGAGAGTAAAAATTTGAGCCATAACCCACATTCGGCCCAGATGGACTACTGATGACCAACATTAGTCAGTGCGAGCTCAAGGCTAGTTCTGGTTCAGCCTTCCATGATGAAGCAAGCATCACTCTCCTCTTTGTTCTTTATCATATTGTCACTGGCAGTATTTATTCCAGAGAAGAAAAACCTGGAATACCTTCTTCTCTCATAGAGTTCATCAACAAGAAAGGGAAGGCTCTTCTGAACAAACTTCGAACACAAGACGACACCACAATGGGCAGCAAACTAACGTTAGCAATGGAGACCAAAAATTCTAGAGCGAAAACCATCAGTATGCCTCTAAAGACCTAAAAGCAACCTCCTAGGACTGAAACAGCCAACCCATAAGCGCTAAACTGAGAGAAAATACTCTCGCAAAATACTCTTTCGAAGACGTCATCCTGTGTTCCTCGTCGTGCATGAAGACACTATCTCATTCACAAATGCCGGATCCATTACGTAGGACTGCCTACGCAGGCAAGTCAGAATGAACTACATATCTTTCCCTTTGTGATTGTTTTTTCTTCTCCCACAACCTGCCAAGCTAGGCAAGGGCGTAAAGATCAAGCGCTCGGTAGCGGTACAAGTTGTTTTTCGCGACCCCAGCTGCTCCTGGCGTATGCGTGCAAATATTATGACGCCTGGGATCTGGCCTGAGTACTTGCAACACGTAGCAGGAAGTGGCAAGCGAATCGGAATGAAGCTGCCGTGTCAACATGTGCGCACAATTGCCCAGCCCCGTGTATGTGAATGGCAAAGCGATGCTGTCATTTAGAAACCCGGAAAAGTGACGCCGATGTGGACGATTCAACAAAAAGCTGGTAGACGAAGGCAAAGGAGACAGTGTTGCACTGTATGTGGAAAAGTTTGATTGGTGCTAGGAGTAACCTCTTTGAAGTATCCAAACTTACGAATGGCTGCGGTACTTACAATAAAGATGTATATTTTTTATTCTAAAGAGTATAGCATTTTTACCATGCTTTTTAACACATAACATACTTTCTCGGCTGAATTTCATAAAAATGTTAACGTTTGACTGTAAAAAAAAAAAAAAAAAAAAAAAAAAGTCACCGAAAAGCATTGTTTTTGGGCGGAGGCCGTCCGGCGCACGGCCTTGAAAATATGTAAGCGAATAAGGACGGTTCCTTGAGCTGATGTCATGCTACGCCACCTCACAGCGTTTGTCAGAAATGGGAGCCAATCTTTCTTCCAACACAAAACGCTCCGTGGCGAGGCAGCGCCGTTCAGACACCTCTTCCTCCACCGTTGCCATGGCCCCTACGAAGCAGACTGCCGCAGAATGTATGCGAGCTGATTGGGAACGCAAGAAATGGCAGAGGGAGCAAGAAGAGCCTTCACCAGGGGCTTTGCAGATGAACCACGACAGGTGTAAAACATATCACACATTCTGTGCTTACCAGTCTTTGTCAGCATGATCAATGATCAAGCTTGTATAATTTCTGTGGAAAGGGCATGATGGCTTCCTGAAGCCTTATGGAGGGACCGTCTAGAAACAGAGGAATTCCTTCTTGAAAGCAACGATACAGGGTAGCCATTTAAAACAGAAACTGCATTCTTCTGAACAAAAGTGGTCTCTTCGTCAGAGCAGTAAGTTCTCCCCTGAAAAAGTGCACATCTTTCATAAAAGAAAGCCAAATGCATCTGCAGTCCCACTTAATAGATAGAGAGGTACAACAACACCTCTCGGGTGCCACAGCGGTGTCTGTCACATCACGCTCCATTGTTTGGAGCAACATAGCCTTCAAAAATAAGCCAAGTCAGCCTCCGATACCAGGAAAACCAGCACCGACGAGGTGGCCCTCGTTGCCGGAGAGAAACTTCTCCGAAGCCCCGGAGATGTAGAGAAAGAGGGGGGAGGCCGAGCTGCCAGTCAGTGCCAATCAGTGCTACCCCTCGAACCGACCAACAGGTTTCATAAGTAGTAACCTCATATTTTTAGTAGGTCAGGGCTTAAAAATAAACTCAGAAAGCGGGAAGTGTATATGTATGCACGCGTGTCTGGGGGGTTTGCTTATTGAAAACCATACCTTCCCCACGACCCTTCCTGGACGCAGACACGGGTCGAATGTATATTTTTGCAAGGTGCCTCGCCACACAGGTTGCAGTGCACATCGCGTTTCTACGCTCCTGCCATACTTCATCTGCACGTCGACCTCTCTTTCATTTTTATATAATCTAACAGAGACGATAGTAAATTGGCGGGGATTGCGGACAGAGGGAACACGCCAGACTTCCTGAGGACGGTATTTATTTAGCTGTAATCTCCCCCTCGAGTGCTCGTGCACGCTTCAAAAGAAAGGATAGAAGAGGGGGGGGGGGGGGGGGGGGGGGGGGGTTGTATCGGTGCACGGGCCACGGACAACGCAATGCTCGCGCGCTCGGCGCCGGATATGCCGCTGCTTTTATGCGCGAAAAAAGAAACAAAAAAAAAAAAAAAGAAACAAGGACAGTGAGCTGGCTGCTCCGACCAGCCCACCGCCCGGTCGACCGGCGCCGACAGCGAGCGCAGGGCGTCCGCATACCTGGAGGAGCGCATTTGTAGACACGCACAGGGGAAAAACGTCAAAACAACAAAAGAAAAGAAGCAACAAAAACAAAAAACGCTTGCACGCGTTTCTTGCAAGAGCGTCGACTCGCGCGCAAAGGTAGAAAGGGAGGTATCGGTAAAAGCAAGCAGAAATGCCGCATGTCTTTCTGCTTGCTTGAAAAAAAAAAAAAATAAGAAGAAAACTTTTTTCGCTACCTTGTAGAAAGTGTGTTGTTGCCAATCTTTCTCAGCATCATGTCTTTGCTGTTGATTTATTTTTCTTTAACTAATTATTGTGATCTCTTAAAATTTTTGACGCAATCACACACGTGTCAAAACATTGCAACAAAAGAGGACCATAGGACAGGCAGACCTAATATCCTTCGCCCAAAAAAACGGTAAGTAGAAAGAAAGAAAACAAAAATTCGTGGCAGCTACGGTGAGGCATTTGCGGACAAACTAAGCCACAACGTTCACCCACGTGGTGGCCGCGAAATGAATTTTAAGCACCGTTTATCCGCATTTTCCCAGACCGCTTTCCTTTCGTTTCGGCTCCTCCCTTAGTAAGGAAACCCGACCACACTTCCGAGTTGTTTATTTTTATCTCCTCTTTCCGTTCTGTTCGGTCAGTCGAACCGATTATCATCGGATGAGACTGTCGACGAAAGGATTTGGGAGAGAGACAACGGTTTCGTTGACACGGGAAGCGTTTTGAGCACATCAAACCGAACCCGAACCCCCCGATCGGTTACGCGCGGTTGCATACCCATATTCGTCGAGTCGCCGACAACGCCGCTATTTCGACAAATCGTTTCGGTTGACGTTCTTGCATCACGCGCACGACCCACGGGGTGATTCCTACACACCTCTAAAAACAGTTCAATAACTAAGTTATGAACAAAAATTGCGTGGCGCTAAGCACGACAAAGCGAACGGATTCATACATTTGACCCGCTTGACGGACCGACGACTGAAAAGGGGGGGAAAGGGAGGGGGGGTATTTTTTATTTTTTTTTATTTTACCTTTTGCTTCGTAAACCTTTGGATACGAAATTGACGAATCGGACGGAACGAAAGAAACCAACAACTGCTGCGTGACGCTGTTACATCGTCGGATAAACCGAAAAGGAGCGGGATATACAGTACCTCTTATTGATCGCGTTGGCTCGTACGAAAATGTGTCATTAGCCGAAGGGGGTTCTCGTTTTTTCGTCGATCGCCGTTCGAAGCACTCACCACCGGTGAAAAGCTCTCGATGGTCCGCATGGCTGTTTGTTATCCCAAGCTGGAGCTTCATGGCGGCTCCGGAGGTATCCAAGGGTTCTCGACGAGCACCAAATCTTAAAGGTCAACAAAATCACAAGCCGAAGTAATCCGATCGCCTGGATCCGCCATTTTGACTTCTAACGCTCTCTGGGAGTCTGGGAGCAAGAGTACAAAAGAAGCGACCGCACCGCACTTTCTTCTCCCATTTTCTGTCCTTCCGCCGGCCGCTGCACGTAGAGGAGCGCCCCGCCTTCGCTTGACCTTTTTACATCTGAAATACAGTCACAAAAATTAAAAAATAAGATCTGCTTAGTTATTACTTTATTATCTTTTCACGCTTACCCATTTACGCTTCAATGTTTTTACTTGGCTCATTGAAAAACAGGTTTTGTGCACTATTTTGCGTTGCGGACGATTTCCCTGCAGCATTTACCACAGCGACGTGAGAAGTGAACCAATCAGAACGTTCGATGCTTGGAGAACTATTTTTTGCGGTATTATTTTGCGGGCGTTTTTTTGTCGCGGGCTTCGAGTTGCACTTTATCGCTACCTGAATTTATGATTCGAAAAAAATATACAAAATACAAACATTCGGCAAGTCTGTAATGTAATGTGTAATGGGTGTGAACCCCGGTTGTGCCCTTCTCTGTGTGAGCGTGCCTGGCGTGCCGCCAGTGCCGCTGCACTGACTGAGCGTCTCGGTGGTCTCGGTGCTTTGGAAGACGGATTCCACCAACAGCCATGCGAGAAGACCGGCAGTCTCCGAAACCATCAAGCTTATTGCCGTTTCTACGACCATGTAGGTAAGGCAGGCCGAACGATGCCAGGACCAAACTACAAGCGTACAAATACTCAACCATCGAGTCCACACTAGTTTTGTCCTGACAAGAACCGCGATGTACTACACTAGGCAGTGGTGCCTGCTGTGGCTGGTCACTGTAACCTACGTGATCGGACTCTTCCTGTTTTGGAACGGGTTCTTCTGCGTCACAAAAAGACCCTTGGGACACTCTGCCCCCGAAGATATACAATATCCGGACACAGTGTGCGGCGTGTCGATGCCACCTGACGGCCCGCCTCCGATCTCGAAGCGAACGCCTCTAAAACTCGTTTTCGTGCTCATCGACGCTTTGCGCTTCGACTTCGTCGCCGACCGATCGCGTTCGCTCAGTTTCCTCGGTTCTATGCTTCGTGATCGCAAGGCTCTACTCTACCGCAGCCGAGCGTATTCCCCGACCGTAACTTTGCCGCGGATCAAGACGCTGCTGACGGGAACAGTACCGGGGTTCGGCGACGTGCTCCTCAACTTCAATGCTGACGTGCTGCGCGATGACAATCTGGTGCACCAGGCGCGAGCGTCGGGTAAGAAGACGGTCTTTTACGGGGACGACACCTGGCTGAGGATCCTGCCGGGTTGCTTCGACAGGTACGAAGGCACGACGTCCTTTTTCGTCTCCGACTACACCGAAGTCGACCGAAACGTTTCGCGTCACGTGCCTTCGGAGATGGAAGCGACCGACTGGGACTGGCTCGTGCTTCATTACTTGGGACTGGACCACATCGGACACACGCACGGGCCGTCGTCTTCGCTCGTTGACGACAAACTGGCCGAGATGGACGGCATCCTGTCGACGATGTACGCGTCGCTTCGGCGAAGGGCCAACGACAGCTTCCTCATTGTGGTCACCGGCGATCACGGCATGAACGCCGTCGGCAACCACGGCGGCAGTTCGGAGGGTGAGGTCATGACGGCGCTCCTCTTCATACCCACAAAGCCGTGGGACTTCGGCAGCCAAGACGTCAGTACGGTATCGCAAGTGGACATCGCTCCCACCCTGAGCTTGCTCACGGGGCTGCCCATTCCGAAGGGTAGCTACGGTAGAGCGCTGGCGGATGTGCTGACCGCGGCCAACTTCACAGCCGCTGAACGGCTCTTCCTGCTCCAGTACAACTTGCAGCAGATGCTGCGCATCCACCAGTCCGAGTTCGGGAGCGAAACACCTGTTTCAGCCAAGGCAGAGGAAGCCCTCTGTTCTTACGTCAAGCTCGTACGAGAGAAGGCCCTTGTCGGTTCTCACGAGAGCAGGGTGGAAGAGGTATTTTTAAGCATCATGTCGAATATCCAGAGTGAAATTTTGAGTAGCACCACTGCATTTGATATGGGCCTTGTTGTGACCGGCATATGCGTAACTTGGCAGGGTGCGTTCACTCTCATGCTTCTGATCCTTTCAATGAACCAAGGCTGTAGCCACCTCGTTCCCAAGTTCAACCTGAAAATACTGACCTTTGGTGTGATCTTCTCCTTTCTCCAAAACTCCATCCTGTGTGCCTTATCCCCATCCAGTGAAAGCTGCCAGTCGGGCATCCGTGTGTGCCTCTTATCATTTCTTACCGCCGTAAGCACAGCCTTAACTGGTGCTTTCTATTTCTGGCCAGTTGGTGGCCTCGAGATTCCAGATGTGCCTCGGGCTTTCCTCCTTTCCTGTACCATTCTCCATGGCCTCAGCTTTGTGTCTTCCAGTTTTATAGAAGAAGAGCATGTCACATGGTACTTCCTGACCAGTACCATCATACTATTGCTCTGTTGGTACCACTACCAGGAGCAGTCATCAATGTATGGCAGACTGATGCTATACAGAAAAGCATTTTTCGTGCTGATAATTCTCAGAGTACTCCGTTCGTGGAACAGTACTGGGGACAGGTGGTCTCATCTTCCGGACACTGCAGACTGGCTTGCCGACAACAACCACAGACATGTCCTAGCCTGTCTCATCCTGGTTGCCATCATCTCAATTATCCTTACGTCTGTTCGCCAGAAGAGGCCTCTCTGTTCCTTTTTCCTCTACCTCGCTCTGCTTGACATCTGCCTCTACAAGATGAAGCTCATCTACTATGGTAATGCAGACGGTGTTGAGAACTTCTACTGGTACCTGCCGCTTCTCCTGGCCCTTGGTGTCTTCCACCAGTTCCGTTCGGGCAATGACCCCGACCTCCTAGAAGCAGTCATCAACTCCTGGACCCTTCTGTGCCTCATCTTGCACACACCACAGAATGTTCCAATGTTTGCACTGGTTGTGCTCTTGGAGCGTGCAGTGCATGACTTCCTCTTTGACCTCCCTCTCCAGATGCTTCCAAGGGTCATCCTCTACTTCTGGTTTGCAATGAGCTGTCACTTCCACCAGGGAAACTCCAACAAGCTATCCACTGTCAGCGTCTCAGCGGGCTACATTGGCGTCAGCAGTTACAATCCTGTAGTGGTTGGCTTGCTGATGGTCAGCTACACATACAGCAGTCTTGTCCTCTGGTTGCTGATGCTCTGGAAACGGTTTGCTGAACCAGAAGAGAATGGCCTGAAGCGTAGTCGCTCCAGGACCAAGCTGCTTGTGTGTGCCTCTATCCTCTTCATGAAGTTTGCCACCACAGCCTGGTACATGGTCTTGATGGTTGTGCAAAGGTACCACATATTTGTGCTGTCGGTCTTCAGTCCTAAGCTGGTTTACGAGGGTGCCCATGCAATAGTGGTGCTAATGGTCACTTTTCTTGCCGTGACAGCTCTGTGCTAACTTCTATGCATTGATAGTAGGGAGTTTTAGAAGAATATTCCAATACCTCTGATGATGATACGGTGCAAAGACTCCTTAATTTTTTTGCTCCTGTGCATTTGGCATATGGAGCATGGACCACCTATTTATTCTACAATGCTGTTTCCACTTGTTGAAGAATTAGGTTGTTGTGCAATATGCAATTGTGGGCATTTTTATGGTTGCATTTTGACCTCGTGATGTAGTTGTTTAAAGTAGGAACTCTATTTTGGTCTGTAGATATAACTTATATAAGCCTTATGATGCTACCAAAAAGCCCCACTTGGTAGCTCAAGCATTTGTTCACATATTTTCATACCAGAAGAAGAAGACCTGACTGGGCTACGACAGGTACAGCTAAACATTGCTGTCATTCAACATAGGTGTCCTAATTTGTTGGCAAGACCCAATTATTTTGCTGTTATTAGCACTGTAGACATCTGTCTATGCAGCCCTTTCGAATCTTGAAAACATAACAAAAAAGCCCATTCTTACAACATACTGCGAAAGGTATTATACACAGGATGCCCTGTAGACTGTATCACAGTTCTTCCAGCATATTACCTAAAAGCTAGATGCACATGGTACCATCTCATAGAAATCAGAAGCACAACTTTAAACTAATGGCACGGCAGCAATACTTGTCAACAGTTCCAAGAGACCAGATGCGTAGACCTACTTACTAGTCAGCGTTCACTTGCATTCCAAGTCTTCAAACTATTCTGTGATGTATTCCACAAGAAGGTCCAACACAGTGTAAAAGTAGGATCTCCTATGAGCACAACCTCCAACACCGTGTGACTAGAAACCAGGTCCTCTGGACGCAGACAGTTCTAGCTCACAGTGATCTCCGAGACGTCTAATAATGATTACTCCCCAACGAGGTACCTCAATAAAAGTTAATAAACCTTGGTTTTCTGCCTAGGTATATTTTAATTTTAGCAGATGAAATGGTAAACCAACGTCAAAGGTTCAATGACCTCCCTGAGCCGTTCTTGGCCATAACCCGATGAATAACTACACAAGGTAACTATTGTTTATCATGATCCCAGGCACTTGATCAGTGATTCTTTAGTCTCACTTGAGCTACAAACGGCAGTAACTGACAGATCAACCTCGAGCACGTGCAGCATGCACATGAAGGCAGTGGCATCACAAGGGGGGGGGGACCGCCCCGAGTGCATCGCTCGGCGCTGACCCTCGCGACGCAACTACATGAAGGCATCTTTAGCAGGCTTTCTATCTCCTAGTGCTTGGCAGGTAAGCAAAAGTAATTGAAAACCTGCCAAAGGTAGTTTTGTGTGCATGCTGCTAGTGCTTGAGGTTAGTCGGCGTTGGTTGTTTGTCACCTAAGTGGAACTAGGGCTTTAGAAACAAGAACAAATTACTGGGCAGCAATTTGTCTGGGCTTCAAATCTGTCCGTGCTTGCAAAAACTATACTGTAAAACCCAACCTTGGGTGGCGGCTTGGCGAAACAGGAACAGTTTGTGAAACAGAAACAGTTTGTGTTAAAGCAATGTCCTTTTGTAGGTTGGACCATTACCGGCAAAACGGTTTCGTCTTTCTATTTTAAAGTGGAGACGACAAAGTCTTCAGTTGCAGCGTGAACGAGGGGAAGAGAAGCCACGCTTTTCTGCATTTTAGAGCTTGCAACGTACTTCAGGCTTTTTCTTTTTACAGAGCTTGGGTTTAAACTTTGAGGAGCCAGAGTGGTAAGCGTTTTCACTTGGTGTAACCATTGACGTGTGCTCAGTGAATGATGCTGAGTTACATTGTTCTGCAACTGTGGGCTTTGAATGTTCTTTCTGTATGTCAGAAATTATGGCTTTGCAAGGCAGCAGAAGGCTTAGAATGCTCTTCCCCCTTCGGAGTTATGTCCGGCACTGACAAGGGCACAGGCAGTGGAACCTCTCTGCAAAATAATGCAGTTGCGCGAGCACTGGTGGCGTTTTCAGCACTTCTAAAAACTGTATGCCTTGCACGACTTTGCACAGAACTCTTGATCCACTCATTTTCATGACTGTGTAGACAAGGCCATGAATTTTCAAAATTCCAAAGCCCACTGGTATTAGATGTTTCCAGTGAGACATAACTAATATATTTTGTTCCAGATGACTAATTAAGGTCAGCAGACTAGAGTACAATATGGATTTGAGCACAAAAGCAGCGGAATTCAGGTTAACAGTGCAAAGATGGACCGTGGGCTCGACTTAAATATTTTCTTGCGACATTGTGGTCTTGCTTATTGCCAGTGCTAAAAACGGCTCTTTGGAAAAGAAAGCAAAAAAAAGAAACAGCAGCCAGTTTAGCCTTATAGCCATGTTACAATAAGCACAGACTTCCTATTTTCACAATCTTTGAGAAATGAGCAAAGTACATTTAAAGCGCCTCCCTAGCTAACCGAGCTTCCTCCCCGTGTCAGCCACTTCACCGAGCACGGCAATGCATAGCGGTCAGTGTTGGGAAAAGTACATCTTAAAAGTAATTAAAACTACAAAGTAAAAGAGAGGTGATGTACTTCAAGTATTAAGTACACTGGGTGCAATGTACTTAAAGTAAAGTACTATAAACACAACTCCGAAGAATATAAATAATCCTTCGGAGTTGACAAAGCATCATTTTGTTATACAAATTTAATAGGACCAAATGGGAACATGCTTTAGGTCGGGAGTAGTGCTTTCCTCAAAAAGCACTAGAGAAAAAACAACTTCAAAATGTAAAGTACAAATACATACTCGAAGAATGTACTTCAAGTAAAGTACAAGTTTTCTAAACCTATTTGAAGTAGTACTTTAAGTGCAATGTACTTGAAATATTTCCAAACACTGATAGCAAAACAGCTTGATGCGCACGCGGCGTTGCAAAGCAGCAAAGCAAACCCCACCATATGCTCCTGCATTTTTGCTTCCGGACCTGACGGGCACCCTTCTCACCGGATTACAAAACTACCTCCACAATTTTGGGTGCGCACTTGCTCAGTATTTTACAATATCTGAGGTCCAGTCAGTGGGATCATGGGTCCCGTTATCTCAACAACTAATGGGCCCCATTACCTCACCAGTACGAAAATGTCAGATCGGAGTGGTTCCAGTTCGGAGCCGCGCTGTTCTAAACTTGTAAACAGTTCAGATCCGCACAAATCCGATCTGATACCGCGCGGTTCTGAGTGTAACCAGTCGGATCCAGTGAGACGCAACGCACTGGAACCGCACGGTGATGAATGGATCCAATCCGTTCCCTTTGGTTCCAGTAGTGTGTGCTCTAAGCCAGCGGGCGCGCACATGAGCAGCAGGGTCGGCGAGGAACTTTTGCGGTCTCTCGCAGGACACATGTTGGGGACAGGCGCATCCGCTATGCAGGCGCTGCAAGCGGGCGTTCGCGCGCGCTTCGCTTTGTCTGTTGCAGTCGGCGGCAGTGCTCTGAGAGTTTAGGTTCTTCTTCGCTTTCATCGGACTGTCGGTAGGCGCTCGCCCGGCGGCAACGTTCGCGCTGCGGGCGCACGGATACTGACGCGCCCATCGTTTGCCCTGGATGGATACTCACTGACCTCGGCTTTGAATCTTCATATAGTGTGAAGCTGCCGACCCATTGCACTTTGGCTCGGCATCTGGATGCGCTTGGCGCTGGTGTGGTTGGTGACAATACTTGGACAACTCGGATACTGCCTGCCCGCCGGAACTTCCCGATGCACTCAACACTGGATACTGTGCTTGAGCATGCTTTGTGTGTGTTCCGTGCACCGTGTTCGGTGGCGACGCCTGGAGGACCGTGTGCGTCGCCGTAATTACCGCTGCACTCACCACTGGACTACAAAAGTATTTGGCGCACTGCCCGTAGCCGTTACAAGCGAGATCGTCACCATTTCCAACCGAGAGTAAAGCTATACACATTTCGTCGTGCACTTGGTCCGGAAATGACTATACGCACTACGCAAAACTCTTATAAAATGAATGCTTGCAACGAGTTTTCTAAGCGGTAATTCCAGCGACGCACACGGTCATCCAGTCATTCATAGCGGTAAGGTATCGGCTTCGTACGCAAGTGGACGCAGGTTCGATCCGGGGTGGGCCTACTTTTTTTTCTTGAACATTTTGTTTTGTCGAGGCATTTGGCGATATTTACAACATTTTGTTTTTACGATAAACACTGAAAAAAAAAAAAAAAACCACGAATGTTGTCGACGAAACTTCGCAGAACTAAATGGTGTGGGACTCCCTTTCCGGAGGTGCGATCGGGGACAGCGGGGCTTGGGTTGCCGGCTGGACGCCGTGAAGCGGCGTGTACTGGTTACGTTTTGTAAAAAGCAGCCGCATACTGACGCCGCAAAGCGGCGTGGACGCAGGCGGGGGGCTGTGTAAACGAACTCCCCAGTGTTACACGCGCCATTCGAAAAGGGTGACCCAAATGGCATGAGCTCAACGCGTAGTGCGTAAAGCGATTTCCGACCGAAGTGCACTTTATAGTACATATAGCTTTACTCTTTCATGAAATTGCAATGATCTCTCGCTTGTAACAGCTAAGGGCATCGCGCGAAATACTTATGTAGAGTCCAGTGGTGAGCGCAGCAGGAATTCCGGCGGGGCGCACCGCCCGGGGTCTAAACTCGAGGCACCGCCACTGGAACCAGCCGGTTCCGCCTGGATCTAAAATTGGGGCACCAGTTTGTATCCCGTCTGGAACTGCGCATTTCCAGGCTGGATACAAACTGGTGCCCCGATTTCGGGTCCAGGCGGAACCGGCATTTTTCATTCCGGCCAGTATCTGACATTTTCGTACAAGCAGCCCCGTACGAAAATGTCAGATTCAGGCCGGAATGAAAAATGCCGGTTCTGCCTAGAGCCAAAATTGAGGCACCAGTTTGTATCCAGCCTGGAACCGCACATTTCCAGCCCCAATTTTAAACCCAGGCGGTGTACTGCCGGAATTCCCGCTGTGTTCACCACTGGACTCTACAAAAGAATTTTGCTCGATGCCCTTAGCCGTTACAAGCGAGAGATCATTGCGATCTCAGACCCAGGCGGATTGGGTCTGAAATCGCGACGATCTCTCGCTTGTAACGTCTAAGGACATCGCGCGAAAGACTTTTGTAGAGTTGAGTGGTGAGCGCAGCGGTAATTCCGGCGGCGCACACGGTCGTCCAGGCGTCGTCATTAAAGACGGTACACGGAGCACGCACAAGCACAGTACCCAGTGTTGAGTGCATTGGGAAGTTCCGGCGGGCAAGCAATATCCGAGCTGTCCAAATATTGTCGCCAAGCACACCAGCGCATCCAGATGCCGAGCCAAACTGCAATGCGTCGGCAGCTTCACACTATATAAAGATTCAAAGCCGAGGTCAGTGGGTATCCATCCAGGGAAACGATGGGCGCGTCAGTATCCGTGCGCCCGCAGCACGAACGTCGCCGCCGGGCGAGCGCCGACTGACAGTCCGACGAGAGCGAAGAAGGAAACTAAACTGACTAAACTCTCGGCGCTGGGCTGCCGCCGACTGCAACAGACAACAGTCAAAGGCAGGTGTGCGCGCGGAGAACGCCCGCTCGTAGCGCCTCCGGAGCGGATGCGCCTGTCCCTAACACGTGACCTGCGAGAAACCGCAGAAATTCCCCGTCGACCCCCCCCCCCACCCCAACCCCACCCCTCCCTTCCCTCCTCCAGTCACGTATGTGCGTGCCCGCTGGCTGGGAGCTGACTCTACTGGAACAAGGGGAGCGGATTGGATCCACCAACACCGTGCGATTCCAGTGCGTTGCGTCTCCCTGGATCCAACTGGTTACTCCCAGAATTGCGCGGATCGGAACTGTCCACAAGTTTAGAATCCCGCGGATCCGAACTGGAACCGCTCCGATCTGACATTTTCGCACGGGGCCTTTCTACACACATAAGCTCTTCAAAGTATGGGTGTGAATATATAATTTTTTATTGCAGATTTAATATGACCATTAAACTCTGACTGCAAATTAATTTCAAACTTTTTTTATAATAAATCGAGGTTGGAAATCTTTTTAAGAAAGCATACCTATGAAAAGGTACTGCAGTGATGGAGGTGCTGTGCCAATGGCGCCATCAAGGAAAGTATGCTACATCCTGCGCCAAAGTGCCATTTTCACTAAGAATTGCGCCACACCTGCACCAAGGTGAGCCTGAACAAAGCAAAAAAAATAAAAAATATTTTATTATTGGTTGACTTTAATATTTTGGCAAGTAGAAGGGAGCAAAAATTGTACAAATCTAGATTTCACGGCGTCTCTACCCACCACATAATTTGTTTAAGCTTAGGTCGGAGCAGAATTGAAGGCCTAAACCAATGAAACAGCACATGCAAATAGATGACGAATGCAAGGATGTCGCACTTTTGACGCAGCTCGATTGGTCCCATTGACTCGTAGCGTCGCTGGCCCCGTCATCGTCTGAATTTCCAAACGATGTCGGCGCTGTTGGGAGCTAAAAGTCGCGAGGGAAATTTGCAGAATAGTCGGATGGCGGCTACTGTAATAAGAGAGACCCAGGTTTTTTTTACTCCCGGTGATGCAACTTGATTATCGCGTCTGCCACATACAGTGTACCGTGGCACTTTCGCCGCCCGCGGCAACCTTTACAGCCCCGCACCTGCGCAAGCGTGTCGAGCTCCACCGCTTTGCACCGGTGCTAGGAGCAGCGGCCGACATGGGGGAGCGCGTGGCTTTATGCTTAGTACTCTAATAGCTCTTTGGTTGTGACTGTAGGTTAACCTCCAATTTCAAAAAGCTACGTCAAGAAAGGAGAAAAAGCTGTGGGCCTCTGTTTCAATAAATGTGGCAGTCAAAGCAGCTCGCGTGCAGCAGTCAGTCGAAAGGGCAGCGAGCTTTTAATCAAATCAAATTTATTTCTCATAACTTCAACTCAACTCTTGCTGGAACTTTGCAAAAGCGCAGTGTCGCTTATAATGCAGAAATATAGATTTTCATAATGTTTGTGGGTGGTTGTTTTGGCAGTTTGCGATATTAGAATCTTGAGTTCGGTGTTCATAACACATGGGGGGATGTATTTTCATTGATGAACATTTTAGTGGAGAGGCTGCTTTTTTGCCATCATTTTACGGGAATTATATTTACAGGTTAAATTAAAGGAAAACTGAAGCAGTCCTGTATTTGAGGAAAAACACTTAAATCACCTTCATTTGGCCTCCAAGATCAGGAGTATGGAGATTATTTTTCAATTTGGTGCATGGAGGCTGCAGAAATTAATTTCTAAAGTACTGCCGAAGCCCCTCCTTCCCAGGACGTGACGTCACACACTAGGAGTGTTCACACTTTCTGCTCTCGCGCATCTTCAGCGCCTGTCAAAGCTATGCACGCGCACTCTTGCTATTTCCAAAAAAGGTCGGAGAGAGACGTCACGACTGGCGTCTGTGCAGAAAAATATACCTGGCAAGCTTGCAATTGCATGCGCTGCCCACACGAGCGGCACGCGCTTGGCGGCCCAAAGATCCTAGTATGACGTCACGACTGGTCAGAGGTTTTTCGCGTTCTCTTGCATTTAGTTACATCTTTGGGAAAAACGAACGTGATATACGCCAGAATACACTTCTAACTAGTTTTATTTTTTTTTTCAAAAAGTGTTTTCAGTTTCTTTTTAACTAGCGAGTGTAAGAGGGGGAAGGAGAGGGAGGCTACATCTCAGCTGATGTGTTGCACCATGCTTAATTTTCCAGTTATTTTTAATACCCATTGTAAATGGAACCTACTTTGACCTTAGCCATTTTCTAAAAAAAGGTGCGTTCCTTTTGCATCCAGTTTATTCTTACTACAACAGGTGATAAGTAATATGCTTCAGTATCAAAGAGGAACCATCAATGATTTTCAGATATGGATTCATTTAGAAATGCAATCTCATTTTCATATTAATATGACACGGTAACAGATTTTGGCATCTGCTCAAAAAGCGTCAGTGGCTACTCCAAACCAATATTTGTCCTGCTACCAAAGCTGCTACAGAAGGTCCCATGCGACTTCCATCACTGGAACTGCTTTTTTACGGGAAGCAGTAAGAAAAAAAAGAGACTCTGATGAGTTGGGTAAAACATGCGACATGGCAAGCGAAGCAACAAACACCTTACTAGATAACATGAAGAATAGAACAGAGGACGAAACACAGACAAGTAGATACTTGTCTCTGTGTGTGTTTCGTCTGCCCTGTTTTATTCTTTCCGTTATCTATAGTCCGTTGCAACCTAAGAACGAAGGGCGAGGGTAAGACGGGCCGGGGAGGAGGAAGCAGACGGAACACTGGAGAAGAGAGGGGGAAAGCTCCTTCTCTCTTTAGCGTTCCGTCTCCTTCCTCCTCCCCGGCCCGTCTTACCCTCGGCCTTTGTTCTTAGGTTGCAACGGACTGTAGTGTACTCTACCAAGACGCTCGTTAGAAATATAACAACTGCCTTATTTGTTTGAATATATCTCGAGGTTCACATTTATGGCACTCAATTTTAAGATCTGGGATCTCACTAGAGTTCCAGTTTCCGAGACTATTGAGCCAGTCGAGCTGCACAGACATGTTGACTGTTTCTCCTAGCATGCCAGCGCAAAGTAGGGAAGCCCGACGTAAGCAGGCCAGTGCAAAGTTGTTAAGTTCGATGGCAGAGCTCTAGTGCACAGCACTGAAGCTTGATGCAAGAAATCGGAGAATTCTGAAGTACTGCAAATCGAACCAAATAGCAAACACTATTAGCAAATTATTTGAATATTTGCACACCTCTATTTGAAATACATCCAACGTTTGTATGTAACATGAAACTCAATCTAAATAAAATGCAATTATTTCTTGCATCGTTTACACCTTCTGCAAATTCTTATCACATTCGGGCGCAAAGTCCACCCGACAGGAGCAGGCACGAGTATTCCGTTCCTACTCAACGAAATGTAGCAAGCCTCAACATGGGTCGGTGAAGCAACACAAACCACACAAAAAAGTGAAAACAATATTTTGAGTAGTCCACCTTCTTTTATTGTAATAATTAATGGATGTTCGTCAAATCCTAGGTACCTTAGAGGCTCGTTCGGAGAAGGAAAAAGGCCGTGGAATGAGGCGACTGCGAACTGAGATTTAAAAAGATAAGGCGCACGACAACCGAAGTTGTTCGAATTACAAAAGCACAAAGAAGCGAGACTCTTCTTTCTCTGCAAACTAGACGACCTGCGGCGGCACTGGCAGGTCGATTGCGTGACGCACCGCAGTTTGAAAGCTAAAACAAAACGCTGCCCGCGGCTAAAATCGCCGAATCGAAACGGTCAAAAGATTCGAGCACGATGACGCAAGATCAGAGCAAAGGCGCGTCGGGGGAAAAGGCGACGCGGCACCGCCGAGCCGACGACCCCGCCTACCCCGGCGGCCGCACAAAGAACGGCGCGCGCCAGGTCGCAGATAGTGCTAGTTTATGCAGTAATAAAAAATAGTCCACAACGTCCTTATGTACACGAGTCAAAGAGAAGCAAGCAGTCCGGGTGCCTCTCCGCAGACGTCCGTAATATGTACATCGTAAGCACTGCGACACTTCGGAGAGCGCGACCACAGCGGTGGAGCAAAGCTCGTTGCGTCGTACCGAGACCTTCGTTGTCGTCACCGCGGTGAATCTGTGCCGCGCACACCTCGCACCATTCCTGGGAGGCCGATGGCGGACGCCAACAAAGCCGGGGTGGTGCCGGTGATGACCCGGTTCGCGGGGGTGGCACTGTATCGCAGTATGGTCCGTTTCTCTAGGAAGACAGCCGCTATCACTTCTTGTGCCTGAGCTGAGAGTAGACCCATTCCAGTCCTTGGTACAACCTGCAACGATAGAACGGTCAAAAGGCCTCGTTGGCGAATGCTTTAGACGAGTACAGTGGTGGAAATGACAAGTGGTGATTCGGAGCTGCTCTTGTAGCAGAGAAAAAACGGGTTCTGGAGCAGAGATTCCCACTTTTGTCGCAAATGATTTGGAGCTATCATGACAGAAAATTTTATGCCATCTCTTTGAAAGTTAGCTTGTGGGGACAACCAGTTGTTGGAGTGTTGGGAGACTATTTAAAGTGTCATACCTACGGGAACCTGGCCATACAGATATTTATTTATTTACTGAACAATCATACGGCGGTAATATTGCAGATGTCTCAATTAACCTGTTAGCAGTACCAATGGCGTCCTCGGTTTGTGTTTGACATGAAAATATGTTTTTGGCTACTTTGTAGGGTGTATATTACGCTGCTTTTGCTTCTACCCCACCTGCTACTGTTTAGAAAGCAGTACTCTAACCGATCACAATGAGTAGTGCTAGCTATTCATTGCGATCGATGTGAGCATTGTTAGCACAAAAACCGACAACTCCTCGTTAGGTATAATGGATTTTGGGTTGAAAGGAAATTTAAAGTGAATAATGGTTTTGGCCGAATATTTTTTAATCAAATCTTGAATAGTTGCTGCACCCTTCTCCACGCCTTTCACAGCTGAACCCGCAAAGGTTGTTCCCAAGCCTCTAACTGCCCACTTATGAGCTCTTAAATTTAATCTAGCTATATTTATAGAATGTGTCCTCAGAAAGTCTAATACCTACACAGATTTTACATAAAATTAAACCTATAAAGGAGCCTAGCCATACCTGATTGAGGGGATTTATAAATCTTTTTGCTATATGCAAACATTTTCTTCGATTCTGAATTAAAAAGAAAACAAGCATAAATAATGAGCACAGGTTGTTAGAACATCGCTGCCTAACATCTGCTCTTGCATAATAGTTAAATTTTGAAAATTTTACAGCAATGCAAATATCAAAAATAGCAATGTTTCCTTTTTTTTTTTTTTTACAGCTGAGCTGATCAGGGCTAGTTTCCCCAGGATCGTGTCCGCCAGCAAATAAATGTAGACACAACACTCCGGACAGCTACCGCCACCTATGAGCGACGGCGGCAACCTTTCCACCCTGGCTTGCCTTCTTGCAGCCGGCCATTGCTTCATTCCCACCATAGTGCAGCTTTGCTGGTCTTCACCAAAATGGAAAGGCTGAAAGTTTTTTTTTTCTTGTTTTTATTACACGCGTGTGCACCAGACCACTTTGACAGTGTGTTTTCCGCCTAAACGCACGGCTCCGCTGCAACAAAGCAAGCCGCGAGATTGCGGTGTCAGCTTCCTGGATATTGGTTCTTTGCAGTGCACCGGTGGTTGAGGAGAAGCGCACTCGAGGCGGCTAACCTGCCGCAATCAACACTTCGAAAAGTATGAACTTGCAGTTCACTTTGAAAAGAATATCTGATAGAATATTTTTTTTATACTACTATTTGAATATTCGCACAACCCTACTCTTTGCACATAGTACTCAGGCACCTCCCCCCCCCTCCCCCACCACAAAAAAAAAAACAAGAAAAAAAAACTTACTAGTTTTTCTATTTTGGTGAAGAAGGAAGACCAGCGAAGCTGTACTATGGTGGGAATGAAGCAAAGGCCGGCCGCAAGTCGGCAAGCCAGAGTGGAAAGCAAGGAGGTTGTAATGTGGAAAGGCTTGAAAGGTTGCGCCATCTATGAGCGACGGCGGCAAGCAGACAACCGGCAAACACAACGGATGGATGGATGGATGAATACGGCTGAGCCCTTTGGATCGGGCGGTAGCTTACGCCACCTAGCCATTTTGTTTTACCATTTAAGCTTAGAATATTTAAATGTGAAATCTATATTCACTCCGCAGTGCAAAGAAAGTGAGGCTATGAAACCCCCTTGCCATCAGTGGATAAGAAAATACCTAGTTTTCTCTCGATTTCTGCCACCATTCACTTAATCTTTGCTTGGTAATCTCTACAGTCTTGAAATCCACTCTCCCTTCGCTGTCTCTAAAACCCAATGACTTTATTAAATCTATGTTGTCTTCGGTAGGCATAGGGTGAAGCCCTTTACAGTAGAGTATCAAGTGCTCAGCCGTCTCGTCCTCCTCTCCACAAGCAGTGCACACTGTATCAATTTCCTGGTACTTCACTCTGTATGTTCTGGTTCGCAGAACACCCGTTCTTGCCTCAAACAGCAATGAGCTTCCCCTAGAATTGTCATAAATGCTTTCTTTGGCAATAACTCTTTTGTTTAATCTATAGCTTTCCAGAGCCGTCTTTGTCTGCATTCCCTCTAGCCACCAATCTCTTTCTGTGGCCTTAACTTTCTTCTTAACTGAGACTTGCTCTTCCGTATCTTCGCTATAGCCCAAAAACTTTCCTCTTAATTTCCTAGTGCGCTGTCTCCACTTTGTGTCTACACTCCTCATGTATAAATAGCTGAAAACCTTTCGTGCCCACTCTGGACAGCTACCGCCATCTATGAGCGACGGCGGCAACCAGAGTTTTGTGTCAACATTTCTTTGCGCGGGACACAATCCTGGGGAGACTAGCCCTTAACAGCTCCGCTGTAAAAACTGCACTTTCTTCATGTTTAGTGGCATCGCCAAGAATGCCATGTGCCAGACACATTTCAGTTTCCTTTTCGAGAACAGCTCCCTTTTGGTGCAGACACGGTGCAAATTGTGTGTAAATACAGCCTTTGGAGTGGCATGTAGCAGGTTGTTCATTTTGGCACAAACGGCGCAGCAGTTCCACCACCGCGAATACGCCGGCAGCGTAGACAGTATTTTTTACTGCCGGTGCAATAATGAGTGCTGTGAGTCTGAAAGTATCTGTTGTTAGCAAGCAGATTAAGGAGAGCCTGACAACAGAAAAATTGCTAGAGAAACTTATTTTTTTGTTTTGTAGAGACATAGGCCTCTCTGCACAAACAAGGGAGACAAGCATAGTCTGCATCTCAATCGGCTCCAGGCATTTCTTCTCGAAGTGATGGAAGAAATGCTGCCATATTCACAGGCAGTGAGAACACGTAGCTGACGAACGGTGGGATAAAATGTCAAATCGGGGGTTCCAGTACCAAAGTGGCCAGTTCTCTATGTTTCTAATAATTTTTATACACTGTCAGTCACAGATAGCAGAAAAAGAGCTGCTATGAGAAACACAGAGTTAAATATGTACGCAGAACGGCCACCTTCAACCAGCAGATGCAAGATTTCCTCCATCCACTGCAAGTTTCGAGCAGAGTCGGCAAAAGTTTTTGACACACCGAAAATTCCGTGCTTTGTTTCAGAACGTCGTCGCAACACCCAAATTCGACCAGGCTGAAGCTTTATAAGCTCCCACCCCTGGCTACGCGGCTATGTCTCGTCAATACAGACTCTTTAAAGGAACAAACTGCCAGCCACAACGAACAGCAGGGATTGCAAAAAAAGAAACATGCTAATTAGCTAGATAATTAACTAAAGAATTTTCTAATTGGCTTTTTACAACTAGTAAAAAAAAATCACACGGCCAAAGTTAGAAACTTGATAAGCATCAGCTTAACAAGAAAATTTAGCGCCGCAGAATGGACGCTAAAGCCCAATTTATGGAGTTAAAAAAAACATTTGGTTTGGACGCGTTTCCAAGCTTTAGTTTCTATCGGAGCACATCTTTGCACCAGCGGTCCCGCATTCCAAGGCCAAGGCGCACACGTGCGCCACATTTCCTTCCATCCAACGAGGGAGAAAAGGGAGGCCAGGCAGGCGGTACTAGAGTAGCTGTATACGCTTATCTTGCGGAGCAGAGTTTCGCAATTGTGTTCCCAGGCGGCCATGTTGGATCCAAGGTCGCACTGCGGGATGCGACCATCGCTTCTGCAGGAGACTTGGAGGCGTGGATGGAGTGGGGCGCCTGCGGAGCGCGTGCTGCGGCGTGCGGAGCGGAGAAGATAGAGTGCGACGACACGCCGCACATGCTCCATTGTCCCGTCGTTTGTCTTCCGTTTCTCTCTATGCCCTCGGTTTCGGTAGAACGTAGTATCCGAAAAAGTGTCGTCCCTTCGCAAGGCGTAGCTGCGCGTTGTTGTCTGGTCCAAGGTGCCTGGATGTGCCGGTCATGTATCACTCCGCGAGCGTCGCAGTCTCGAGCGACACAATTGTCCTCTGTGTCATCTGCTTCCCAGACTTTGGAAACATGTTTTAGAACAACGCCATAATACTGTACGCAGTGGCTACACATAATGTTCAATGGTCAAAGAACCCTACAGTTCGTTCGATTTTCGTGTAGGATGTACATTTCACAAACGCAAAGCGAGAAATATGCTCCGCCTGAAGCTCGGCACCTGCAACGTCACTTTCCCTTATAAGGTTGGATACAGCTCAACGGACATGACTGCGTTTCCGCCAATACAAAGCTGGCAGCACAAAAAAAATAAAAAAAGGAACCCAATACTTTGGCTCTGAGAGCCTATAGTTACTTTAGGCAATAGTTGTGCGTATTGGCCTCAGGAAGGTGCATTGCTGGCGCAAAGGTGCGCTCCGATAGGAAATCGAAACTGAGAAACGTGTCCAAATTGAGTGTTTTTCTCAGAATGCCGTGAAGTACCCTACGTGCCTTATATCTCGCTAAAATGGGTTGATTTGGTGGTTTGGGATGACGCTTAGCAAGTTTCTAAATGGGACCATATGTTTATTTTTGTTAATTAGAAATTTAATTTACTAATTCCTAGATAATTATTTAGCTAATTAGTCTGTTTCTTACAATCCCAAACATCCACTGTGACTGGCAGTTCGTTTTCAAACCGAGTTTATTTTTTTTCACAGCCACCCTACTTTTTTCATTTTTGAAATCTTCATTGAAACACTTCAGTATGCAAACCAGTGCTGAGATAATGAAAACACGGCGCTGCATCACTGCTACTCTCAGGGCTGATTCAGTACCGAGTTAGCATTGCATTGTGTTTGTGTGTGTAGGAAAAATCCGGGATAGCAAGCAGTAGAGCTGAGTTAGCACTGCGGTCAGGGCCGGCTCATGGGAAGGGCAAGCTGGGTGGTCGCCCAGGGCGCCATCAGGGTATTGCTGCGCCCAAAAGTGTTTTTTTGGGGGGGGAGGGGGGGGGGGGGGAGGCGACACGGTGGGAGTTCACCCGGCCCCAACGGCGGCGCATCCGTCAACAGGCCTGACAAACTCGCTCGAAGCAATGTCTCTCCCAAAAACCCTACAGCAGTGACTGGCACTCACCCTTCCCCCGTGAGCGCACAGCAGGCCTGTATCTGCCATCGGTTCTTCTTGATGGATGTCAAGTTCAGCTGCTCGGAGATCTCGGTGGGCGACATGCAGCCTTTGATGTCCTGCTTGTTGGCAAAGATGAGCACCGCTGCCTTTGTCAGGTCCTGCACCAATCGAGGCAAGCCATTGTAGCACCTCCACAGACCCGTCGGCCCAAAGCAGATGCCACCGTCGCTCAAACAGATTCACAGAGTTGTTCGCAAAAATGAATCGAGACCTTCATGAACAAAGCTCGTGCATGTCCTCGTTCCGCAGTAAGCCGGCTGCTGCGATCAATAAAAGCGAATGAAGAATCGCAAATGTGTAATTTTAACTCTGACATCTTCGATGACACGGAATAGGTGGAGCCATTTTTGCATCACTGAGAAAGAACATGACTGGAGAAAGAGTCATGTTGCCAACTGCCAATTTTGCTTGCATGCACAATTGGCAGTGACCATTATCTTCGAAGTTCCATAATGCATGAAATGCAGTATTTAAGAGTGATTGTTTCAATTGTTTGAAGACATTAAACAGTCTTTCCGGGAGTGAAGAACCTATACACTAACTCGTGCTTAGAAACAAACCGGAGCGCCTCTAGCAACAAACGCAGACGCGACAGGGCGTGGGCAAGGAGCGCCAAGTCGCACGTCAACAAACCACTAGAATGCGATGCTGTCGGCGTAGGTGAGAGTTTCTGTGCTCTTTTTTGCATTAGAATCATTGATTCTACATCTCCCTAGCAATGTCTTGCTACTTTAGCGGCTTGAGCGAAATTAACGAGGCTTGTTACACCGCAAAAATTTGTGCAAATAATGTGACAAAGCGGCGATTCATTCTAGGTGAACGCCGCAGTATAGACGCTAAAGCCTGATTCACGTGACGAGATTCTGCTCGCTATTTTCAGTCATGACGTCACTCAAGCTGCAAAAGCGTCGACGGTTGCTTCGATGCTCAATGTCGATACTGAAAATCAGGCATAACAAGTTAGTTAGTTAGGGGTTTGTTGGCACAGCAGCATCGGGGCTCTAGTGCACCAGTCAGGCATAATAAGTTGGCAATGGCCACTTGTAACAATGATCTACATCTCCTTTACACCGAGCCTTCTTTCCAAACAAACAACCTTCAAAACTCTTGAGGACTACACTTACTACTTTTTGCAAAGTTTGTTCTACTGGCCACTGTCGCTCGAACAAGTTTGAAAGATCAGACGACACTTTGAACATGAAGACACACCCAGCGTGGTCTGCGGGTGGTCCGGATAACTTGAAAGTTTTCTCGCTTTCATGGTGGAACAAAACAAATAAATCGGACAACCACAAGTACAGTCGCCGACCGAGCTTTTGGGCGCCGGTAATTGGGACTTGTTCGATATTTCGGACCTAAAGGAAGAACCGTGGCCTACCTGATAGAAATAGTGCATATCCACGACCCATGTTTCGGACAGCTTGAAGTCCAAAAGTTTGGTTCTTTGGAAAAAATTGTTGTGAGCGATCAGTGGGAGACACCACCAAGAAGCCGCCATTTTGTATCCTATGTTGGCCGCACATGGATTGGCTTGATTTGGCAATGCTACTTCAGTACTGCTAAGTCCTACCGCTAGGTGACGCTATGCTACGGCTTTTTTTTCTTTCTCAAGCTGCATTTTATTATCATCATCATTATCATTTTGCTTAGCTCATTCACCATTCTGCACATTCACCATTCTGCAGTCATGGACTTGCGCCTCTCATCTTGTCTCGATGAATTGTATTTTCAGACTACGCTGGCTTGGGCACCATGGCCCCGTCTGTTATTCCGCCGCCGCGAAATGCCACTAAGAAGCGCGGAAAGTACTCAACCATAACACTAGAAAAGGGGGCAGCGATTCTCAAGCTAATAGAAAGTGGCCAAATGCAAGCGGAGGCGTAACCTAAAGCAAGGCACTATTGACGGCTTTAGGTTACGCCTCCGCAAGGCACTATTGACGGCTAAGACGTAATGAAGGCAAGTTTTTTTAATCTGACGATTTTTACACCGAAACTGTATATGGCTAGGGTTCTGTGGATTTGGCTAGGGTTCTGTGGATTTTTCATGTGCGTCAACAAAAACTCGCAGCGCCCCCTCTTTGTTGTCGTTTCGACCACTTGTGTGCCTAGCTTCCTTCCGCTCTTCCAAAGTGGCAGTCCCGCCGCGCACGTCTACTTTCCGCCAGGTGGCGGTCCCGTCGCACGTGTCTAGTTTTTCTGGGGCTCCTCGGGGTGGCGATAGTTGTCCATGCAAATGTATGTAAAAAACCAGAAAGACAAGTTGCCATCCTCCATTTTCAATTTCACTTCTTTCATCGTGATGGGAAAGCCGAGCAACACACCTATGAAGAGCAACGGAGGGAACAGCAACGAGAATGGCAATGGTGGCGGCGGGCTGCAAACACCCCTGACGAAGATCGTGCATAAATGTGTTTGTACCCTTGTTCAAAATTCTGTGTCACATCTGTGTCGTGTGCTAAACAGCTTCGCTGGTCATACACCGTCACAGAGTGGAATGGCTCATGATTTTTCGGACCGCTCTATTATTTGGACATTTTTTCGGTCCCTGCGAAATCCGAAAAATTGGTCGGCGACTGAATCTAACGCAAAGTGCTTCCCCCACAAGCAATTGTGGTCCGACAGTGTCTGGTTTTCCCTTTTCACGACACCTATCGAAGTTCTCGGATGGAGCGAACAGGCAGAAAACCCATTAAAACTCATCTTCACGCATTTCCTGGCTCTTTCTGGTACAGCCCCAGTCACAGCGTTTTCACGAGAAGGCAGGTTTTAGTCAGGTTTCTTCCAAAACAACACAGGAATGCCCGCCCACATGGCAACTTCAGCCCACACCCCAAGACTGGAAGTTCACCCAAAACACCACCACCACGGCGTGATGTAACAGGGTTGGGTTAGTGTATATTTAGCGGGGAAACTAAATTGGTGTACAGGTCATGGGACGTCAATTCCCGTGCTAAATTTAGCGGAAAAACTGAATTGAGATATAACCTATATGACATGTGACGTCAATTTCCCCACTTGGTGTATACTGTAAATCACGTGACATTAGGTCACGACATCAATTTCCCCGCTAAATTTAGCGGAAAATGCATCAACAGATGGACAGACACAATTTTGGGTTTGGGGTGTTCCGTTCAAAAGAATGCTTCAAAAAAGAAGGTGGTTCAACTGTGCCTGTTTCTACATATACGATTTATTTACTACTTTACTTCAATGCCCTCGGGGCCTAGGGTAATTTTAGTTTCGCATAGAATTACCAACGGGCAACCATTTCCGTTCACCAAAACGTGGACGCTTATGTTCAATTTTCGGTACTAAAATAGCGGCAAACTCACCCGCCAGGACAAAGACAATGACGGCGCCACTTGCACACAATCACAGTAGAACCCGTTCATTGCCGCTACAAGTATGAAATGCTCACCTCGTGCGACAACATCTTCCAGAGCTCTTCCTTCGTCAGGGGTAGCCTCTCCCGGTCCATGCTGTCCACAACAACTATGAGAAACTGCACGTGGAAAAATAAAAAGGACACATTGTTAGTCCGGCACGCTCGCATGCACAGTTTGAAAGCACGAAGACTCCCATTCAAACCACAAAGCAGTAGAGTCACCGATGGGACAAGAAGCACAGGGAGTCTCTTTGAGATGCCCCTGTGAAGCATTCGCTGCCTTCTGCGGCGGAGAAGCTGCGCATGCTGGCTGGAAGATCACGAGACGCCAAAGACTTATCGGAGGTATAAAACTCACACCGAAGGTGAGACAACTGAACGACCTACCTGTCGTTCTTACTCAGTCAGTGACCATACATAGTCCATAATTTTTGCATGACAAAATGCTGTATGAGGGGGAGGGGGGAGAGGAGGTCCCAGCAAAATTGATGATTTCGAAAAGGGGGAGGGGGGGGGGGGGCCGGGCCCATGGGCCCGCCCCCCCCCCCCTTTCCTTTTTTAAAATCTCTTTGCCGAAATCTCTTGGCATGTGCCCTTTGGCTACATGCCTGCATGAAACGTTCTAGCATCAGGAACATTTAGCGACTCCCATGGCGCTCTTCATCAGATAGTTTAGCACATATTATATGTGCACTTGAAAGTTATTCTCAGAGTTTCACGTACGCGTGACAGAATTTGTTATCCGAATTTGTATACTGGAGGCAGCTGCACCTCGTGGCTGCACCGATATGCTATCGGTATCTGAACTGGTGTATAGGTCACGCGACGTCCATTTCTTCGCTAAATTACGTTTGGGTGTCTACGATATCCGACAACGTCTGCACAACTGCAGCATCAGTCTGCGCATGTAATGTGAACGAAACTCCGAGAGAAAATTAACAGAAAAGGTGGGACGACGACTGCGTTAAGGGCAGGACGGCTGGACGGCTCCCAAGGCTGAGAAGCGTGCTGCGCAGGCACGTTACACCAATCACGTAGACATTGCTGCATGCCGAGGGGAGACACTGCTGATGTCACCTGTTACGCTTGCCGCGAGAAGCAAGAACAAACAAAAAGTAGCAAAGTTGATGACGTTTAGCCCAATGCTGGCTATGCCAACACCCTAGCCTTGACTGCGCTGTTGATTTCGCCTCAATGTGCTCGATTGAGTCAGCCGATTTTGGCAACTTGGCGCGTTCCAAAGTTTGCCGGACCGTTTAAGAAATATTTGACAACACTAGGCAGCAATATTTGATGTGTGGTCTTCTTAGGTGATACAGAAGAGGACTGAATTGTTTTATTTTTTTTTTTCAAAAACAAAAATGAAGCGGAGTTGTCCTTTAACGTGAGTTGCCATTCTGAGTCCAAATACTGTAAACAACTTAATTTTCGCAAGGACCTAATTTTTGCAAATTTTGCAAATCGCCTACAATTTATGAAAAATAGGTCCAGCGAACAGTGCCGGTAAAATGTAAACACATTGGAATCTATATTGAGATCCCACCGCGTCGTGAAAATTATAACCCGCAAATTATTCCAGAACTTCAGCTTTGACCTGAATTGCGAAATACTGAGCCTGCGAAAAATAACTTGTTTACAGTATGACCCTGTGCCTCTTTAATCACTGGTACCCCTCCGTGCATTGCTGTAAACTGCGGCATAATTTACGAGCGAGAGAGACGCACAGGCTATGCTCGTAGCAAGGTTGCGCTAGCTTCGAGTAAACAGTCATTTTCCCCTGTCGCATCACAGGTGGCAGCTGAGGACGCGGTGAAACTAACCCACAAAACCCCCCTCATTTTTCGCAGCACACATTCGCTAGGTTGGCAGTGTCCTTAAACACAAATGAACAGGTGCCATGCACAGAGCCCGACGTAGTTTGCACAAACAAGCGATCCCAGTTTGTTTTGTTTTTTTCTTCTAGATTTCTCTTAGAATTGAAAGGCTCCCATCAAAACTACTACTAGTATGGTGGAAGGTGCCCATTTGGGACGCTAACTTAATTGATAAAATTTGACGCTTGCCAATGTCCTTCCCCGATGCTTCCCCGATTTTGGCTCTCCGGAACCCCGCGTCTGGCAAGTAAGGACCTTTTCTTACCATGCCAGCACAAGGGGCATTTTGAATCGGGACGTCTTAGTTCTTTTAGAAGAGTGTTTTAATAAATACTCTTGGACTCTGTCCTTACTCTCGTATGTGTGTCTTCTCTCCTGCTATATTCGAGACAGTGAGACAAGATAGACGATTATTGACACAGGCGGAGGTATCTATCGAACCGACCCGTGGTAATGTAGCGTTAAACATAATCTATATTGCTGCAGAGATGTGGGAAACGCGTTACAAGGTTTGACATCTCCTTCGAGATCGCCTCCGCTTTTGAGATGACCCTCTGTACCTGTGTTGGTAGCTAGCAAACCCCACAATGTTAGCACTGTGCATAAAAGGATAAAAGGCTGGTTCAGACATTTGTTATCCTAGTGTGACCGACTGTGACCACTTATGATGGGGTGGCTGCTAGGGAAACCCGAGGTGCGTGCAATGCGTCAAACGGAACTGTCTGAACCAGCCTCGACAGTGTCGAGCAGTGTACCATAATCGTGGCAACTTTTTCTGCATGCTGCATGCACTGTGCGCTCAGTGTAAGCCACTTTTGCTAGCGAGCAGGAAGAAACCGTGGTCTAGAGACTCAGAGCACAGTCTACCAAATAGAGACGGCGTGGTTTAGAGAGAGATAAGCGTCTTGCCTCTGCGTTGGAGTAGTAGGTATTCCACGTGGTCCGGAGGGACTCCTGCCCTCCCAGGTCCCACATGATGAAGTGGACGTTCTTCCAGACCACCTCTTCCACATTGCTGCCAATGGTCGGTGACGTGTGCACCACCTCATTCATCAAGCTGCAGGGAGGTGAGAAGAGAGACGGGCGCATTGCCGCGGCTTGGACAGCAGTCTTGTGTCACAGAAAGGGCAGAATGCAGGCTCCTAACTGACCTCTGTTTCGCCTCACCGCAGAGGACTCTACGAGCCAACGAAACCAATTCAGAGTTGTGTGTGTCGCGTGGCCTTCAGGAGGGTTAATCAACATGTGGGACACTTGTTCACGTGACACATTCATAATGCTGGACTGGCTGCGATGGCTGGTAGCGTCCTCTGCAGTTCATCGTAAAGGGAAACGGAGGGTAATGCAATGCATCCCTCAGTGAGCCACTGCGTTAGTCCTTGTTCAGACCGAAGGAATGCACCCGACAAGAGCGAGTTTGGCTACACTCTCCCCATGCTTATAGCAAGAAGCCACATCCAGCTGCTCATAGAGGAATCACGACAACGTACTGATGAGAATTGTCGTGGACTTGAAGGGATGCTGAACTGAAATTTGGATTTCACAAAATAAGGCCGCAGAAGCATTGAGCGAAATGCTACAAACACAAAACATATCATACATCGATATCTCAAATGGACGGCCATATATTTGGAAAAGAACGACACGATCAAGCGAGGACTACGACATCACGATCCTCCTAAGAACGGTTGAGAATGAGGGGAAGTGCCCTCACCTCTCTCCACCCTGCTTCGGTTCACCAGCTCAAGGGGACGAAGCGAAGAAGAGAGGGAATGAGAATCCTGACAGTGCATGTCTCTTTGGCCTTGTCGGCCGTGTACGACCGCACACTTGTTTTCCAAAAAAAACGGCCATCCGTTCCGAGATATCGCTGTACGAGTGATGTTTTTAGGCTTTGCAGCATCCCGCCTATTGCTCCGTCCTTGTTTTGTGAGCTATAAATTTTGGTTCAGTATTCCTTTAATGCCATAACACCAACGGTCACCATACTGCGCCAAACTAATTTATTTGATTGTAGAGTGAAATAAAAATAACAAATACTGACGTAGCGAGCCAGCTCTATGTATAACAGTGATGTGATTGGTCTGAGCCATTTTGGAACACCTTTTGGAGCAGCCAAAAATCGATTTTGAGGCAGCAAAAAGTACTTTTGGAGCATAAGCACACATTTCATTTTCATTCATACTAGTTTGAATACCAGAGTTGATTCAAGCACATGCTGGCAGGCCTAAACAGCCACGGAGACCATGTGCCTGAACTGCTTTGAGAGCTTTGAAGCTGGCTTGGCATGTGCCATGTAGAATAGAAAGGCTATACTATAGTAAGCCAACTAACAAGGCCATGTAAATTTGTAATAGGGCTCCTACTGTCGCGCCTCATGTGGCCATGTAAATTTGTGATAGGGCTCCTACTGTCGTGCCTCATGTGGCACACCACCGATGAAGGGAGCAAGAACTCCGAAATTAGAGAGCTTTTTACTCAAATATGAAAGATCAGGTGACCAGGTCAGACCCCCGTCAATAGTGACTTCAAGAAAATGTGGCATTTGGCGTATGATAGTGTTTTCTTGCATATACGTTATGGGTATTTGTCCCTCTCCCCAAGCAGAACAAGAAATATGAACCCCACAATGGGAGGCCTCCTGTTCCTAATTTCCCCTCTTTCCACCTTATCTCCAATAAACTCACTCACTCCCTTTTGCAACATGTGAACGCAATGGCTGCTGATATGTCAGTGGAAATTTGGAGTCCAAGGGTATGAAGATACTTGGTAATTTACTTTAAAGCAGACTGAACCCTCGCCTTTGTTTGAATTCGTGTAGATCCAGAGCCCCATATACAGATGTCAACGACGTAAAAAGAAGCCTGAATGGTTGATGGCAGTATTTTGGTTAGAGGGATGGATGGATGTTACTGGCTATACCCTTTGTAGCGAGCGGTAGCTTGTGCCACCTAGCCTAAGTCTATATTAACTCGTTCCTGACCATGGGAAAAGTACCAATTTTCGAAGGATTCATGCAACAGCAACCACTTTTATTTTCTGAACTAATTTGCATATGGAGCAATATGATACATCAAAATGTGGCCAATTAGTTGTTCTTTCAGAAGAAACAGAGGTCAGCATAATCTGGGAAAAAGATTTTAAAATCTAATTTCTTCAAAACACAATGTATGTGCGGAAGGCGTATAAATGCCTAAACTAATATACCTATGTCAAATTAAACAACGAAAAAAACAAAAAAAAACTTCAGAATATAAAAATTGTGCCCCAGATCCACGGCTATTATTTCTGAAAGTTAGTGTCCTCTAACTGACGTCTATTTTTGGTCTGTCAGAGAGTTAGCCTCCGCAACACGTGCTTTTCAACGAAGGAATGCTTATACAGTCAAGACTGGTTATAACAAAGTCAACGGGAATCGGAAATCACTTCACTATATTCACTATTTCATTATAACCGACTTTGGTTATAATGAAGCGCTAAAGGGAATGGGAAATCGTGATCGCTGCGCTGTAGCCGCTATTTCGTTATAACCGGTCTGGACAGCATTGGTAAAACACTGATAGTGCATCTCACATCCCCTGCAAAATGCTTTGTGTTCTAACTTGGTTTTGTCATAGCCTTGATTTCGATTCCTTCATGTTTAGCATTTTTGTTCACCTTGCTGGGAACATAAAACATGCACGCCGGCTCGGGAAAGCATTTGAAATTGTAATGACGCTTATTGACAACCATCTGTTAAGCGACGCCTATAACATTACTTAAAGTGTCCCCACAGCACTTGAGATCTTAAAAAAAAGTATGCCACAATACAGTTAAATTATTTAAATAATGACATCTTCGTTTAATTTAATTAAACGAAGATGGCATCAAACTCATTAAACCCAATAATTTAACACAAATTAATGGGTTTAAGCCCATTAATTTGTGTTGGAGCTCAAACCTACACTGAAACCGAAACTACACTTCTTCGGCCATCCACAAGGTTGTGGAACATAATTTCCACAATAAATTGAATTTCCTGACGGCACCTGGAAACCTTTGATCGATGGCCTATTGCGCGGTCAGGAGAGATTTAAATAATAAAGGGCTGAGGACATCCCCCTGCGGAACACCACGAGTCACCGGGTAAGAGAGCGCATCTCCTGTGTTTGTAAAACATAAAAATGTATCGTCCTGTAAGGTAGCTTTTTATCCATTCATATGAGCGTCCTCCAACGCCGGTATCACGGCGGGCTTGAAATATTGCTTCATGAATGACATTATCAAATGCTCCTTTGATATCCACAATGCTGCTATTTAAAGGGACCATGAAACGATTCTGAAATCGAATGTTATTCACCGCACGTCGTAAAAGGTGTGAAAAGAAACACAAAAAAGCAAAAATAGGGAGCCAAAAAAAAAAATCTTCGCTATAGAACTTTTAAAAGAAAACCGGACTGTTTTGCGCCTTCTTTCCTTCGAAAGCTCTCTGCCCTTTCACTGCGATGCATCCGCGGAACCGCACAACGTCAGCCGAATCCACATCGCCTATTGGGTAAGAGCCTACCTCACCAGCACCATGATCATAAACAATGAATAGCCGGCGAATGTTTCCTAAAAGTTTTGTTAAATAATATGCAGATCCACATTTTGTAGCATAATTAGAGATGTGACGAAAATTGCCAAATTTGATAATGCTCAGAGCCAAGCGCCATCTATCGTGTGGTAAACGAAGCAACTACAGTAGGGCCGACAGCGTCGTTCAGTAACTTGGCCGCGAAGACCAACGAACGTTTATTTTTCTATGTTTTCTTCTCGCGCATCCCGACTTCAAGCAGCAAGAAAAAAGTGCTTGAAACAGACCACGACGAACAAGAACGCTGGATCCACAAACACCCAAGAAAAACTACAATGGCGACGAATCTACCGACGCCGACCAAGCAAGCTCGGCAGATAGGCCTAGCAGGCACTCCGACTCGGCGCAGCGTTGCTTCAACGGTACTTGGCTAAGACCGTCTGCCCACGAGCGGCTGGCGTGCTGAATGGAATATTCTCGCGCGACCCTTGTGGACCTTTCCCGTACTATGGTTTGATCGCTGACCTCAATTTTAGATTAGGCGAGGTCAATCTCTTCCCCTTGTTTTCCGAGGCAGTGTTGACGAACACTCTCGTCGAAAAGGGACTCCCGTCGATTCTATCTTGTTTTGTGTGATATAGAGCTCAAATGAACGCCGTATGGATTACCTTTGTAACACGGCATGTACACTCTGTTATTAGTATGCCATTTTTATTCTGACACGACTGCACGTCACTGTCGAGCTATAACAGTTTGTGGGAGCTACGTGCAATGCCGGTCCAACCTTCCTTTGCCAAGTGTCGCGTCAGTATCGAGTTGCAATCGTAAAAGATCGGACCCGAAGCGCTTACCAGCAGCACGAATACAGTACTTCCATCAAACGCGCGTCCGCTCCGAGTGTGAACAGGTATTTATGTGGCTCTTGCTGACACTGTCGTAGTTCAAACGTATCTTTTTTAACGTCGCCTTGCTCCTGCATCTCCGAGGCCGCGAAAAACGCCACGGCAATTTGTTTCCATCTACGTCGCTTTGCTAACGACAGACATGGGCCGCCTTTTACCAACAATAACAGTTGGGTTGACTTCTGGAGTCTTCACCGGAAGACTCGCCACACTTCCCAACAGGCATGCCGGTGTATGGGACTAGTCACATGCTGTCGCTGTAGCGCAACATATATCATTGAATGTCGCTCAGCTGCGATGTGTCCATGGCTATCACGGCGATGAGAGGCGCCGATTCAGAAAATACATCGGTGACATCAGCGCAGTAAAACCTACCGGCGCACCCCCAACTCGCCGCCGCTAACACTCCCATTCTCCTACTGCCGAGAGAACTTCCGGTTCCTGTCCCAGAGTATGTCACGACCGTCAAAATTACGCCGCAGCTTGTTTTGCGGTCAGTTGGAGAGAAAGAAAAAGTCGACATTTCATTCATTTTTTGTGTAGAAATTAATAAACCGAGACGAAAACGGATGCCTGTTCGGCATTCACTGAACGTTGAAGGTTTAATGTAAAAGTTATCTGGCAAAAGGAAAAGGTCATTTCATGGTCCCTTTAAATCTTACGATGTGGTTGTCCTTGTTGTACCTAAGTTACTAGGTCAATGACTCTGTCGAAGGAGCTTCTCACTTGTCGGAAGCCTTGCACGATGTCTGGATACAGACCTCGTTGTTCAATATACTAACCTAGTCAGCAATGAATCTATTTTTCCATAACTTCTTTCCTAAACAACTCATGAGTGCGACCGGTCGGTGCGAGCTCAATTGAAGTGGTGATTTGCTGGGCTTGAGGAGTGGAACAATTTTTTCCACTTTCTATGAGTTAGGAATCTTTGCTATGGTCCATGAAGAGCTGTGCATTTAAAAAAGAAAGTTCCGTGCATCGTTCCCCATATTTATCAGATGACTACACTGTATCAAGTCCCGGAGATGCATGAGGTTTCACAAGTCAGTGCAGCATCCAGTTCACCCATAGTGAGAAGGTCCTCCACAACTTCTTGACACATTCACGGCACAAATGTGGTGCAGGATGAAGACAGGCTGGATTGGGTTGTCTATGTTGTCAACAAAATGCAGAACTGGTTGACCACTTCTTTCTCCGAACAGTTTCCTGACAACGCCAGCGAGTGAAATGGATGGGGTTGCGCAGGAGAAAATTTGAGTCCCTCGCAAGATCTTCCAAAATTTACTTATTTCTGGGACCTACATTTTCACACATCGTCCTCCACCAATGTCGAGCGAGCTTCTCTGCATAATTCGCAGAGATCTCTAATGTCTTTAGTTCTCCTGGATTGTCTGTCTGCCCTCCAACGTATGGCATGGAGGCACTCGTATTTGGTGTCGATAGATTTTGCGTGAAAGGGACATTATGTGCGCTTGTTTTTTCTGCACAAGATACAATTATCTTTTCAATGCTATACAGTTCAGTAACTTCCTTGCATTCGTTTGTCACTGCTTCTTTGAACGTATGCCAGTTGGTTCGTCGAAGAAGACACATTTTTCGTACATCGGTGAATTCATTAATGGTAGTGTACATGAGTATGTAATCACTCCAACGAATTTCAATATCTGCAAACCATGTTGCTTGCTATGTTAGCGCTGCCAAAATGAATGTCAAGTCAATGCAACTGCTTCTTTTCATTCCATAGTAATAGGGGCTTTTAGCAAAACATTACCGCGTACCACACTACCGGAGCCTTTGAAACATGCTTTTAAGCGTGCACACGGGTGATATTGTGACCGCGGGGCGCGCAATGATTCAAAGGCTCCGGTAGTGTGGTATGTGGAACACTAACGGTTTGCTAAAAGTCCCTAATATGTTGGCATTCCGTCATTGAGGGTAGGTAAGTGATAATTATCGGCTAGCTCCGCCAAGCCTCTTCCTCGAGTATTTGTTCTAATGCTTGTCCATTGGGATGGTGGGCATTAAAATCACACTCTCTGAAGTAGGGCTGTAGTAATCACTTGATTATCAAGCCGCTCACGAAAGTCGGTATCGTCAGTACAATGTCAGTAGACTGAACGTCGAATTGTAGTTTTGCGGTGTTATACGAGACAAGGGGTGTAAGTACTGCACCCTCTTATTGCTGAGAGTGCACCTGTAAGAAAGTATGACAATAGACCCTTCCCGAAATTCAGTGCCATCTGGTGGCTCAGATGGCAGTTTAGCTTTCGGCGTACTAATGGCGGCAATGAACATGTAGTCTGCCGCATTTTATCGGGCGCCGTCACTTTCGCAAGTCAACGGCAAACATCAGTGTGCGCTTCACTGTACATTCCCTTCTCTATCTCTTTCAGTGTCGATAGGAACGAAGATGCGACGAGTCGGAGTGAAGCATCAACCCACGTAGACGCCTTGATAAAGTTCTACAATTTAAGGGGCTTTGAAGCACCTTGAGGCTACCAACAGATTGACCGGGCCCAAGCTAGAAATGAACGCTTACGCAGATCTTGCTTTCAATTCCTGCTTCGCATTGCGCTGACGTCACGAATGCATAAGCCTCGAATTATCTGCTAAGGAGCATCTTCAACTTCTTCCTTCATCAGTAAACAGAAGGCCGCTATTAGTACGGCACATATGCCATTTTTCAGACGATGATAGTGATCAAAGTGGCCAGATTGAATTTCGGAAAGGGTCTATTGTATTGTATTTAGGATAGATTCCAAATACTCCTCGTCGGATATGGACTTTGAGAAAATAAATTATGCAGTTATTGCGAACTTTACTTTTCCATTTGAAGTCGTCACATAAGCATATTTGTTTGTCGCGTGTGCTGGAACGTGTGCAGTACACATTAGATCTTTTCTAATGAACAGTCGCACGATTTGTACTATTAGCACATGTTGAGTCAAACATCTTATGGCAAGTTTGATTCAAATTACAATAATGGGGAAGCTATATTTAAAAACCACCTGTCTGAAGTGAGAAAGTCGTGATCTCAAACCTCTTCCATTCCATTGTAGGACGGAGGCCTTCTTATAAAGTTTGTCTATTGTTCTGACATGTGTCATATGCGATGCTAGCTATCCAACCAGAACAGATGAGCATGAGAAATATTGCAAAACTTCCGAGTATTCTCAATGTTCGGTATAGAGATCAAACTGAATATAATGTCATTTGAGGCGATAATCGAAAGTTTTGGAAATTTGCACAAGCCTACCGTGACGATCCGGCCATATAGCGGGGCTTGATTTATTATATTTTCAATATTAATAAAGTGAAAATAAGTTATGGCCCAACGTTGGTGCAAATTCCTTACATTTTGGCAAAATGCAGCAGGATGAGCTCAGCACAAATGGTGCAGCAATCACATCACTATTAACCGCCGACAACACCGTCATTTGACGAAATAGGATGTGCGCCCGATGGAAACGCGGAATGAACAGGAATTTGACATGCAAACAGCTCTGCAAAGCAATTGCTTCGGTTCAGCACAAGACCAATGCAAGACCATACAACATGCAAGATAATGGTGCAATGCTGCAGCATTCACCGCTGTGGAAAAGCAAAAGGGACAAAGGTAAAATAAGTGCCAAACCTCAACCTTTTGAACTATATATCTAGGTGCACACACTTCACTTTCAACATCTGTTCATAGACCCTGTGAAACATAAAATACAAGAAGCAGAGGGATGGAAAAAGGTCACAAAAGAATTATGCAGTTCACAAGAAGTCTTCTGCAGATAAATAGAAAGCATAAGATGGATTCATGTGACAATGAACTCACAAAACAGCCTAAAGGTCACCGCAGATGGTACTCTCCCGTGGAAAGGCGCACATGCCACTCCGCACCACCATTGCTGGTGTCAGCAAACGATAATGATTCCGATGCCTACGTGAACTCACAGCCAGTTTCGTAGCAATATGTGAAACTTGCTTATTGTCTATTTTAACAGTCCACTTACACAATGTTAGAAAGAACCAGGAATTAAACAAAACTTGAAGATATGCAACACTTATTTGTGTGAGAAAAACAGACAGAAACTTATCACCAGCAGAGGAGCAGCAACAAAAAAGCAGAAGGCAAAAAGCAAGAAGAATGTAACAAAATTAAAAGCAAAAAGTGTATTCTATGCAAGAGGTGCAAATATTCCAGACTCCCAGCTGCAACTACTCCCCGCCATCCAAACTCGCTGAGCCTCCCAAGCTGCCAAACATCACGGCATGAGCGTGTAGAGATCGCAGGTGCTCCAGCAGCGATGGCGAGGGTCTTAAATTACGAGTAAAAGAAAGCACGACTTAATGTCCAATAACTTGCTCGTTCTGCGAAAGCCACTAGCGCTATGTACCACATTTATTCATGAGCCAACTGAATTCATGTCAAGATGCCGTCTTGAGCAGTATCGTCTTTATGTCCTTTTCTTCCAAAGCTCTATTAGGCAAAGTATACTCATACTCATACTTCCCTTTCGAGGCAACTTCATTTGTGGAAATTTTAAAACTGGAAGGAAATTATGCAACATTTGCAACTCAAATAAATCTTCCGACATTGGTGGATAGAGGTATTTATCACAGGTGCTTAAATTTTATCCTTGCATACAACTGGTACTCGAAAAAATATGTTCAGTCCTAAATGTTTTGAAAAGAGCTAGTTTGACTGGTAGCCAAGATGGCCCTTCCTTCATTTTAGGACTAGGACTGGAAACAAGCAGCTGGTGAAGCAGCAGTGGGGTCAACATTTTTTTTTTATTCATTTCTATCTTTCTTTTTATAAGTGTAAATAAATTACAGTGTGCTTCTAATGTGAGCCCACCTCGATGCCCCACTGTAAAAATATGAGACTTGTCTGCAAGATGGAAAAGAAGTTAACCCCAGTGGGCACACTCACAATTGATAGAGTATTGTTGTCTTGCCAGCATTATTCAGCCCAACAATGACCACCTTGTGTTCTGCAAGAAAAAGCAAAAACATATGAGACCCCAGTAGCTGTGAGCCACAAAGACTCGTGCCAGCTGCTAGTGCAAGACTGCTGCAAAACTTGAGAGCAGTCTTGAGCCTGCCAACATTTCCTTCACAAAAACCGCAGCCATAGCCAAGCAAACCTCAAGCCATGGACCAAGTTCAGCAGGCAACGATGGTCTTCCAGATGGTGAAATAATTATATTTACCTTAAGCCTGTGTTTAACTGGGTAAAGGGTTGATTATTGTACTAAACGTCACTTCACCTTGATGCTGCTTTTCAATGCAGTATGAACCTTTCTATTAGACTTTTGGATTAGCCCAATGGCAGTGATATCTTGGAACACAAGTCAGTTGAAAGTTCTGAACAGAGTTCTGTGACTATGCACCTTGTCTTTGCTGTGCATTCACTTGAATGTTCCAATATAAATCCTGATTAAGCTTAAACCCAGAAGACTACCTTTTTTTTTTTTTTTTTTTCTATTCCTCTCCTTTTGAGACTTTCCTTTACTTAAATAGATTCTACGGTTCCCTCGATCGGATACATTAAAACAAATTCTGATATATAGATTCTGATATTAAAACAAATTCAACTCTTTATGAGGCAAAATGCTTCATTATTCTCTATCATTACAATTACACCAGGAGAACAAAGAACTTTGGTCTTTATATTTCTGTTTTCTGTGCAGAATCAACAACTCGAGATTTCAGGCGGCTGTCAGGCAACTTGTACAAAAAATCTCATTCATACTTCAGAGCGATGAGGAGGGTAGAAGAGCACGACATTTATCCACAATGACAGAAATATCTCAACTTGGCTTAGAAGAAACACGTAATTCGTAAAACAAGTTTTAAAGGTCTGATCAACTGATCTGTACCACCCTGTGACAATTAAGAAAACATGGTATCTCCCATTTTGTTCTTAGCCCGAGACTGAGGCAGGAAAAGAGGAAAGTTACAAAGTAGAAGAAAAATTAACAGTCTTCTACTTTGAAACTTTCCTCTTTTCCTGCCTCAGTCTCGGGCTAAGAACAAAATGGTTAACATCCACCAGCTCGCCTGCGCACTCACTACATTATCATAGTATCTCCATTTGATTTATTAGCGTGACCTGTCTTGAAACAGATGCCTGAACTACATAGCTCTATAGAAGCAGTCCACTTCCTGCAACGACACTCAATAATATGTATCCAGGGGTTGCAATGTTTCAAAGTAAACAAAAGACGAAAGTAGATGTACATCTATGTCCTTCGTTCTGTAAGCCTTCTGCCTAGTGGTACCTTCTCAACATGCTAAAGTAGACAAATTTGCATTAAACACAACACACTATTGAGAAACATAATTATCTTTCTAGCTGTGTATCAATCTTTACTCCAGTGTTTTGCTTACAAAGAGGAGCAAAGGCTCGAACCGACATAAAGGCAACTCTGCGGCATGGATGGATGGATGGATGTTAATGGCTATACTCAGAGCCGTATATGTAGAGAGTTTGGTCAATGGGAGGCGCGGGAAGAGCCAGGCGTGCACCAGACTCGGAAAGAGGGCTTGGCATGCTCTCTTGACCAACCAGAAACCGAAAAGAGTCCCCTAGCGGTGGTAGCGGCAAACACTTCTGATCAAAAGTCTATGTTCGTATATGGTTTTAAGAAGCGCGCAAGAGTGAAGTCTAGTAACTCTTCGTGGTTGAAAATAGGGTGCACATGTTGTTTTGATCATGATCATGCAGAAAGATGTAACAAACGAATGCGCAGCGCAACCTCTGTTTTGCGCGGACAGTGTGTGACCGCTCGGAGGGCAGATTCCCGGCCCTTGGCGCTTGGCATACGGATTATGTCGATCGTTCCGCTAGTCGCACTCTTCCACCATCATTTTGGATTAACGCGATTGAAACATCACGTGTACCATATTTTCAGCCATTGAGAGTTACTCCAATGCAGTTATCAGGTTTGTTTCTCGCGACCACGGCCAGGGTATTATTTCCGGCTTCTGGTTGGTCACATTCAAATTTCTGAAGACGCCCTGGAACACGCCCAGCCCGCTTTCGGCCAATGGTGCCTCCTTTGTCTCCTATACTTCCCAACGAATGGCCAAACTTTCTACATTTACGGCTCTGGCTATACCCTTTGTAATAGCCTGACAGTGATGACCCCAGTTGGCCAGACGTTGGCGGCTCAGCCTTTTTACTGCAGAACCTTCCACGGCAGCTGAATCCAGCAGATGCCTAAAATCTCGTTAGACGGCGAACTGTGCAGACCTGTTTCACTTCTGGCGGTGATGAAGAACGCTGCGAGATACAGTCCACCAAGTCCCCGGATATAACGGCGTGCGAGGTCGCGTCCGGTTAGAAGAAAAATTAAGAGCGAACGCCCGACAAGTGTCCCAAGGCAACTGAGACCCTACTCAAGGTCTCCTTGCGCAACAACCTGTTCCAGGAGATCTCTTTTAACGGATACCTCGGCGGCAGTCCATACGGCTCATCAGTTACGCTCTCTCTCCGACTCTAGAGTTGGATTACGTCAACGAACTAATCCTTACGGCGAAAATAGACTGCTCGAAGAGATATAGAGCAAAAGATTACAGTACAGCGTAGTGCGACAGTGACAAAGATAAAATAAAGGGAAAAAGAGGCGGCTTCGTTGTAAAAAATGCACCGATGTGAGTCAGAACGGTGACGCAACTAACGTATATAATAAGGTGCGCAAAAAAAAAAAAAATTAGCAAAGTTAAAGCTTTTTCGGCCGTTGAGCACGCGTGGGGGAGAAGCGAAGAATTTCTGGTATTCGTAAGCAGATGGAAATTGGTTATAGATAACGTCCCGCGTTACAGGTCGATCACTCTGACATAACTGAGCCCGCAACAGGTATTACGAGAGGTATTTCAAGCGCGCGCGCGCGCATAATGTCAACGCAGAAAAACAGCTCGAACTTGACCGACGAGTCGTCACGAATCAGCTGTTGCGACACAATCGGCCGAAAGACGACCTTTAGTGCTGCGTCTTTTTTTCTTCCTCGTGGGCACTGCGGGATCATCTGACTCTATCTTCAATGCCAACGCACTCTCAAAATGCCAGCACCGAGCAGCCTGTGACGAAACGAGGCAGCCTGCTCATCATAACGCGCAATACATAGCGTAGCCCGAGCCGAGCACAGAAGCAGCTACCACGAAAAGGCCATCTGTATCACGACTGCTGCTCTGGTGTACACACTACGGACTGGTTTTCCGCACTATCTTGTCCACTCTAAACTAGGTCAGACGGAAATGCAGCGCAACGCTTTCTTCGCAGCCTGCGTTTGGATATTTTTTGTTGTCTCGTCTTTCAATCCAGTCCCTTGTCCCGTCTCAGCGATGCAACTTTTCATAAGGTCGATAGGTTCCGGAAGGGTTCCTCGAAACAACGTAGCTGTTCGGACCGTTCGGACGGACAAGTTTGTCATCAATGACGTTCAGAAATGTGTAACGATGAGAATGTCCAAAGAGCACTGGCTGATGCGACCCAAGTGCCTTCACGCACAGCGACGCTCGTTTTTCAAGCGCGGATAAGAAGTAGGAACGAACTCGACTTGTACGAAGGACGTTATCGTCATGCCCGAATGACGGGACAAAATTAATGCGTCTCTTTTCTTTTCCGTGTAAAAGTCAAACGCGAGAAGACGGAGGTGCGAAGTTCAGTTCGCTCTCCGCACCACAGCCGCCGTCTTGGAAGAAAGACACATACCTTCGTTGGAGAAGAGGCTCCATAGTTTGGCGAAGAGTATCCCCATGGCGAGGCGGTCGAAAAATGCGACGATTAATTAACTTAGCCCTCAGACACAGCGGCCATCCAGATGCAAGCGAATTTTGTATCGGGCACCACACCAAGCATCAGGACCGACGACGAATAGACACGGGACACTGGTTTCGTAGCTACGAGATAAACAAAGAGACAACAGCAGCCGCCCGTTCGTATGTCGTAGGCCGTGCTCTGTTTCGTAGCTGCGCTGGTGGCGCGCTCTACGAAAGCTCTCGATTCCGCTCGTATCTCGTATAACGCTGTAACCGCTGTAACCCTTGCTGGACAAAAATAACAAATAATTCAGTGCTTTATTACAATAAGAGTCACTCGGAGTCACTTTTGAACATACTTTTTTATCCGCTAGGAGCGCAAGCCACCGCCAGATTTAAAGGGTTCAGCCAGTGTCCATCCATCCATCCATTCAGCAATGTGTGCTACCTCGTTGAATGTGTGAAGGAAATAGGGGAAATCGACGTGTGAAATGCGCTGTTTATGGGTGTGAAATCTGAATTTTATTTTCTTTTCGGGTGTTTATTCGCGGAATGGATCTTTCCAAGCAGTCTGGCGTCGTGACAGAATCAACACTCTCAGCGTATCCTTTCCATAGCGGTCTACCGCCTCGTATAACTTTACCGCGGTGGGAAACGTTCGTATGAAGACCCCTACTGTAAAAGTATAGTTGTAGACTTATTGAGCCTTTTGTTACGATAATTGTTAATTGAAAATTTATTGTTTTCCGTGTCAATGCTCTAGTAGTTTATGCATCTCACACAGAGCAGAATATTTGCGATTCCAACGGAACACAACCGCTTTTAAGGTTACACCTTACTGCGGGAGGTCCAGCACTCCTTTTTCTTTTTTTTCTTTTTTTTCCAACAGAAAATATTTTATGTGGGAGAATGGGAGCATCCTTTATACGAATCAACAATACAAACAATCAACAAGATCAAAACATCAATGTGACTTTACGCTCCACGAGACGAAGACATAAAGAGCTCGAAATTGTGAACCGACAGTAACTCTTCCATTCATTCGTTTGTATGCGGTGTGTCATGTATGCTTGCCACAACCGGATATTCAGGGGTTACTAGATATGCGACTCAATCAAACAGATAATACAATGGAGTGTGTGTCAACCAAGGTGATGCTCCTCCAGGAAGTCGAGCACCGTTCTCTGCTATTTGGTAACATTAGACGAGATGCCCCTAATCCAACCAGTACTCTTCTGTAAACTCCATTCTAGGGTGAATTAATAATATTTAGTGTGAGTTAGGAGAGCTGCAACACCGCAGAAAGGCAAGTAGCCCATACCATGTAGAACTGTGGCACCACAAATAGTGATAATGCAATGACCTTATACAGATATGATTGTACTGACCTATGGGAAGGCTTCGTGCATTTACTACTGGTGGCCATTTCTACTGCGTAAAGGTGCGTTCAACTGTAAGAGCTCACTTTACAGGACCCAGGTATCATTGCTGTATCCGATTCCTGCCCCTGGAAATTTTGATCTGAATGAATGTGAACATTTGACAGACATCTGTCTGGCGGGGGCAAGACAACACCAAGAAACATCAGTGGGTCCCTCGGCACTTTACCATCTGCCTACATTAATGGGCTTCTGAAAACAAAAATACATTAGTCTTTAGTTGTTTAGACAGTACCATCTGCCTACATCAACAAGCTTCTGAAAAAAAAAAAAAAAAAAAACACATTAGTATTTAGTTGTTTAGACAGTACTATCTGCCTACGTCAATAGGCTTCTGAAAACAGTGGTTGTTTAGACAGCAGGAATTTTGTTTTCCAGAGTACGGTGACATTGTCAACCACTCTAGACAAGGAAATTAGCCGGTTCAGTATGACTGGGGTCTTTAACGGGCATCACGCATTAGTGATTCACGACAGCACGCTGATAAAATGCTCATTCAGATCGAAACGGGGGGAGGGAGGTGTTGGAACCCAGGATCCTTGGGTTCTATAGTGCAAGCATTCGCTCCATGTGCTCTGAACTGAAGTGCACTAACACACTTGGCTACCGATCCCCCTCAATGGGTTTTGCAATATCGTCAACCCAAAGAGAAATGCACCACCATAAAACTAAAAAAAAAAAAAAAAAAAAAAACTGCTCCTCAATGGCTATTGCCACAGTCACCCCTGAATAAGAGACCGAGCGGACCTGAAAAGGTGTGGTTCCTAATTAAGGGTTGGTTGGACGTCTCCCCTTTTGAACTTAAATTGATGAGCATTATACTGACATGCAGCCTTGTAATCACTACTGCATGACTCACATTCGGCGTGCAAGATTGCCCGTCGTATTTCGCTGGATGATTTGCTCATCTGTTACAAAAACTAGGTAGTGTCTTTATGTCTCAATGGCGGACCTCCATCTCACTGCCGTGACATTTGATGTCTGGCTCGCTTTTTTTCTTGTGCTGTTGAATTCTTAACAACACTTGCAAAACATGTTTTTTAGCCCAACATTGCTATCTCGTCAGTTTTGCCTTGGGAAGTTCCTTGACGGTGATTCCGCAGGTGTGTCAGAGTTCCGTTTCCGTCTGAACGAGAGGCAGAGATAGCGTACAACTCCCTTCGCGTAGATCCTGAGCCAAAGAGGTCCATGTGCAGCAAGAAAATGACATTGGATGCGTGTGTGCTCCAAGTGTGAGTTGTCCCTTGTATATCTCAAAGTTCAACACACATTTAAAGGCCCATTCACACAGTTGCATTTGACTACGACCGACTTCGACACAACCGGTTTTTAAGCCTCTTGCGACGGCTTACATTTGGCTGCGCTGCTGCGGAGCCGGTCGTAAGTCGTCGGAAAAGGCTTAAAATACGGTTTTTAGCAGCTCCGGTCCTAAGACCATAATTTTCGAGGCCTTAAAAACCACAGCCAAGTAGGATTTTTTTATTCTGAAAGACTTCAAGCGATATTAACATATTTATGCGTATATATGCCTGAATTGTTTCGTGTCTGCCCAAATAACTTCGAACATTCCAAAAATTATTCTCAAGCATATTCAAATTAAACACAACTTAAGGCGAATATGTCACTGTCCAGCATTAGAATATAATTGAAGGGACTGTTGCTCTAAAAAAGAAAATGGATCCTGTGGGATTTCGGTTCTTGAGAAGACTCCCAATGTCCTATCAAAAACCACCTATTTTTCTTTGTGTGTGTGTCTTGCATTTGTTTCTTTGTCCTATCCCTCCGAGTGCTGTTTTTCGTCATATACAACGATCACCAACTAGCCAAACTTACCACATCGCTCCCCTAATTCTGTTTTTTTTTCTTTCATTGCATATACTTTGCCCCTTGTAAAGCTGCTCTAAAAGGCTAAGGCCATTAAATCAATAAATAATACTATAATATGCTCACAAGCCTTCCACAAACAGCTACTTCTCTACCTCTTTGCTACATCACAGCACACCGCCCTTACCATGCAGGGATTTCTGCGCCAAGGAGGCGCGACAGCTGCGTGTAGCCCTCAACTCCTTTTTCGACTTGCTGCTCCTAGCCACAAGCACAATGGACCGTTTTGGACCGGCCGCCTGACCCCTAGGCGCTCCCAGGAGCTCTTCCCAGGGACCGCCACTGTCACCCAAGATGGCCATCCGCACGCCGGCACCGTTGCCCAGCCGAGCCATCTACGGCTACGTTCTATTCGTGGCATGCTACCTCGGACTCGCATTGTACCTCTTCTGGGCCTACGTCCCTGGTGCGTGGTTGCGAGCCGTGGGCATCACTTACTTTCCCGACAAGATGTGGGCGCTGGCCCTGCCCGCAACCATCGTGGGGGCTGTGGTGCTTTTTGGGACGTGTCTCTACCCTGGAATCATCCTGCTGGCCACCCCGCGTCTCGATGACGTCAACACGGTTACTGACAGTCACGCCGTGTACGTCTACCAGAAGCCCGTACCTGCGGGGGCCATACCTCCGATACGGGACGTGCACATATTGGAAGCATGCAGAAAACTTTACATGAACGACTAGAAAGATAAAAAACACTCCCTGTTGCACATTTCATGTGATGTGGGACAATCTTGTAAGCTGCTTTCGAACGATAACATCTGTCAAGAGACTTCAGTGTGAGTGTGTAACCAAATTCAAACTGGTTCGGCACATAAATTTAATTTTACGCATGTTCCCTTGTCACCATCTGCTACAACTCTCAATAACCCCTCCAAAAAAAAAAAAAAAAGAGAGACCAGTACACATGCACAATTTTTTGAGGATGATTATTTCGTATGGATACATATGTACAGGTGCTTGTGGTTGCCATGGGTGATCTATACAGATGGGCGTGATGTATGTACAAAATGAAAGGGGTTGCAGACGGGATGGCAGGCTGTTACGAGTCTTCAGCTGGTGCACATCGCATGTTGTCCTGGTCCTGGTAAGATCTCCAGACAAACTCCTTCCTGAAACGTGAAGAAGGCTGTGTTTAGAAGTTGCATCACCGTGCCTTTCGTAAGGTCCAAACCTGTTTCTGCAGAAGTCCCATAGAACCTCCATAATTTGTCTCAACTACAAATATGCTTTGTCAATGTTATACATTAATATAAAAAGTAGTTAATTTAACTGCTCTACTGCTCCGAGAAAGACCTTGGAAAACTGGAAAGCTTCCATCTTGGGGCATCCTTTTTGAACCAGTAATAATAATAAGAGTAATAATATATTTATTTGCGCATGAAGAAGCACATAATGCAGGAGGCTGAAATATATGTGCGGAACATGCGTAAAAAATAGCACGAGGTTTGGAACATGCAAAAATTGTTTTTATGCCATTTCCGGAAATCGAAGTGTCCAAAGCGCAAATGTTCGTTTTTCGAAAATGTTGGGCGAATATAATTCCGAGTTGCATACAATTTTCTGCTACTGCCTTTTTTCACTCATAGACTGATAGATACCATAGAGACTAGCAAAGTTGATCGAGCATTTTCAGCTGGCTGCCTTCCCGAATGCCGAGTGCGAAAAGGCTGTCTTTGCGGAAAAAAAAGAAAGAAAGAAAAAGGCGTCGCTTAATTTGCGGAAGCGCACCGTTTGTGAGAAGAGACAGTCGCGTGACCAATCGAGCTGTTCTCTCCAGGCCAGCGTGATTGGTCACCTGGCTGTCTGACGTCACACTGGCGACCTGCGATGGGAGTTGAAAATGAAGAAAGGGGGTACGGAGTGATTAATTGAAACGTTTCAGTATGCACGGTGCTCTGTAGACTGTTTTCTTTTTTAGATCTGAACATTATTGTACTTTGGGAGGGTTCCGTAGTGACTTGGTAGATTGACATTGTCCAACCTGTTCATTTTTATGTAATGAATGATAGTTATGCAAGTGTATTTTACCCTTTGTACGCTTTTGTCATGCTTTTGGTCTTTTTTTTTTTTTCTCCAGTTTTTACCATTGTAAAATGGAAATAGAGCGGTTATTATTATTATTATTATTATTATTATTATTATTATTATTATTATTATTGCGAACGAGGGTATCGTACCCCAGCGAAAGGCGAAGCTCAGAATACGAAATACGCGATGATATCCCTGCGCACGTCGCATTTTTCCGGTCTTCGCGTATTGGGAGCTTCGTCATTCGCTGCAGGGACCCTTCCGTCCTTCGCGGGGATTGGCTGTTTTCGTGTTCTGCGGGAAAGTGAGCACGCGGATTTTTAGTAGAGTGGAGATGATTGCCGCTAGGTTTTCCGCCAGACAATTCGCGGGTGACGCGTATTATTGACTTCGCGCGATGATGGTCCCTTCCTGGTCATCCGCGGGCGCAAGGGCATAAAAATATGCGGACGATTTAAAGTTGTGATTTCAATCGCGTACATACTTTTGTGAGCGCGAGAACGAAATATGTATATAAACGTATTTCTGCGCTTTGAATAAGGTAAGAACTGCGTAATCCATCTAACATGTACGTATGTAAAACGAAAAAAAAAAAGAAGACTCACTTCTGTATTTTTTTAACGATATTCGACCTAAGTACAAGATGCTTTCTTAAACTTAGGAATCTAAATGTTTTTCACATAAAGCTTTTTTGGGGAGTTACGATTTTAGATTTCAACCATCCGGATGCAAACACTCGTTAGTTGGCTGTTTCACAAATCTTTTCCTTGTTCGCGGAACGGAGCAAAAATCAAAGAAAGCACGCGAAGTTTTCACACTCAAAACCAGACGAATGCGCACAAAATAAAAGACTGCATTGTGCGATTCCTACAAACAAAACAAATATTAACGAAAAAAAAAAATCAAGATGACACAGAAACAGGTGTGCCGCTGAGCTTGGGGCGCTTTTGGTGAGCATACGTCAGAGCGACGTCACATCGCCGAACTGACGTCAACTCGACAATGTGTCGTTTGCCCCGACGAAGGCTATCGCACGATGCTCCGTCCCACGTGGAATCTATCGTGCGGCTATAGTGTCCGACGTCACGGGAACTCGTGTTGCTCCAGTTTGCAACGGAGACAGCTGCGTTTTTCTACGTCTGGCCTTTGCGATACTATCAACTGTGCAGAAAAGAAAAAGAAAAGAAAATTGCTTATGCTTTTTCGGTATTTAAACTAAACAATGCTTCTTGCAAGCGGTTTTGCTCGACGTCATATGTTGTTTCCGACAAAAGTTTGGTTGTTTTACTGTCGAGAAGGGGTCTGGGAACGTCTCAACAACACCAGGGAAATCATCCAAAAATTTCCCTGAGCCCTTTGTCAAAATTTTTTTTATTAAACGTATTAGTAATTTGTTAACGTATGCACATCCTGCGGTTGATTGGGTTTTACGGTTCCCGAAATTCGCAAGTCGTTGTACCCCGGGAGTTTCGCTGTGTGTATGGGAAATCATATGGCAAGTGTTGGTACAATTCTATTTTTTTTTTTTTTTTTTTTTTACTTTGCGAGTTTCGTAGTTCTCTCATACAAACCAACGTATTCTTTTTTTTTTCTTCCTTTTTTTTTTAGACTAAACTTTCTTAGAATTAATACATATTTGTTAACTTTATGAAAGTTTATAAATTCCATATAGGTAAAAGTCGTAACTATCAACTTGAGATCAAAAGCGCTTTGCAAAATTTCAGTGTTTTATCGAAGTAAACTATGTATTGATCCTAATGGAACTTCTTTAAAAAAAAGCTCCACTAGAATTAATCAAAAAGGTGACTTATAACTAGGGTTCCGTGTTTTCAGTGTTTATTTTATTTTCAATTTTTTTTTTTGGGGGGGGAGGGGTATTTTTTTTCTGAAAGATTCGGTGTTTTTTATGGAAAATAATTATAACTTTACCGATATTAAAAACACCGAATATGCGAAAAAAATACCCCCCTCCAGAAAAAGGGAAAAAGTGTAACTGCCAAATAAAAATAAGTAAATAAACGAGAAACGAAATTTAATTTATATTTGCTAGCTCTGAAGCCTGAAATATTGGCTTCGAATTCCTCAAAAACTTTCCAATATAGTGATTTGGAAAGTGCGAACGGGATTCAAAACCAGTATCTCAACTTGTTTCCCAGCATACAAGCTTTCAGTTAGAGATCGTCGAGAATGAAAGAGCCAGCGAAAAACTTGTAGATGATGAAGAATGTGTAATGTAGTGACAAGTTTCACTGTTTTAGCTATGTTTAGCGGACTTTGTGTTTTGGTTGTCAACCTTGTTATCTGTTTGTTACCGGATCAGCAAAGTAAAACCTACCAGTCGTAACCAAGACCGCGATGTGTTCGGCTCAAGTCATTACAATTGGCGACGAGAAACTAAGCCTAAACGGCGACGTCCGTTAGAGAACAAAAAAAAAACCCACGGCGGCAGAAGCGGCCACAGCGACGGCACAGCGGCGGCAGTATGACAACCAACGGCATCGGAGAATACCAGCTCGGAACAGGGAGCGCATGGGAAGAGTATGTGGAAAGGTTGGAGATGTACTGCGTGTGTCACAAGCTGGCTAGCGAAGAACAAAAGCGCGCGGTTTTACTCAGTTGCTGCGGCGCCGAAACGTACTCGCTCATAGTTACGCTGGTAAAGCCTAGTCGTCCGACGACAGCGAACTATGCAGACATTGTGGCAGCAGTGAAGTCGCACATGCACCCGCGGCCTTCCGAGCTCTACGCAAGATTCAAGTTTTACAAACGGAATCAAGCGGCGGGGGAAAGCATCGCTGACTACGTGACAGCTCTCCGCAAGCTAGCGGGCGACTGTGAGTTCGGGGACAAACAGTTGCCGCTCGATGTCATGCTCCGTGATCGCTTTGTGTGTGGAATTCGCAGCGAGGCGATACAACAGAGGCTGCTCGCCGAACACAAGTTGACGTTCGACGCGGCGTATGACTTGGCGCTCACGGCGGAAGCCGCAGCCAGGCAGCTGAAGGACATCAACGAGGATCGAAGGACGGTCGTGGAAGGGGACGCCAGCGTGCATGCAACCGCAGAGAAGAGCTCGCCTCACGAAAAGAAAGAGAGTTGCTACCGTTGTAATGGTAAGCATCTTCCAACTTCATGCAAGTTCAAGACTTCGACATGTTATAAGTGTCAGAAGCTAGGGCACATCGCGGCAGCGTGTCGTTCGGAAAAACAGGCGGTGAAGCCAGCGACGGGAAGCAAGCGTGGGAGCGCAAAACAGGTGCACGAAGTGGATGAGTTATTCTCCATCTGCGAGCTAACCGAGGCACCAAAGAAGTACATGGTCGAGGTTTCCATTGCAAATGAGCAAGTCACTATGGAAGTGGACTCTGGTGCATCCTGTTCGATAGTCAGCGAAGACACGTTCAGGAAAATTGAAGCAACCTCAAGAAAAAAGATCCCTATCGTGGAATCGAGCACCAAGCTGGTCACATGGTCCAGTGAAACGCTGCCGACCCTCGGTAAAGCAATGGTGGACGTCGTGTTCAGAGATCACGTTGCAACATTACGGTTGCTAGTGGTCGGAAGGCAAGGCAACAGTTTGTTGGGCAGGAACTGGTTTCCAGCGTTGGGGATTGGAGTGCAAGGCATCCAACAGCTGAGTAGCTCCGAAGAGGACCTAACGGAAGCTTTTCAGGAGATTTTCGGCAGCGACTTGCCAGGATTCACAGGAGCACCCCTTCACATTGAACTGAAAGACACCGCTGAGCCGAAGTTCCTCAAGTGTCGTCCAGTGCCATTTGCTCTTCGTGAAGACGTCAACAACGAGCTGGACCGCCTCCAAAAGCAAGGCATCTTGGAGCCTACCCAGTATGCCAGCTGGGCGACGCCACTGGTAGTGGTAAGAAAAAAAGACGGGTCCCTGAGACTGTGTGGGGATTATCGAAGTACGGTGAACAAGGCAGTGAAAAGCAATGTTTACCCTCTACCGACCACCACCGAAGTGTTTGCAGCAATAGGCACCAGCTGCATCTTCACAAAACTCGACCTCACGCAGGCCTACCAGCAGTTGACGCTGGACGATGAGTCTGCAGAGCTCCTCACA